GAGCCCTAATCTATGTACTGAAACCCTGTAGACCCAAAAGCCCGAATATCCTAAACCCCTATAAACCCCTCAAAGCCCTAAACCCCAAACCCTAAAACCCCTAAAGCCCTAAACCCCAACCCCTAAACCCCTAAACCCCTAAACCCTAAACCCTAACGAGTCCTCTATTCGACTTCTGGGGTGTATCAGAGCTTCTGGAGACTCTTTCGCGGTGGTTCTCCACATCTGGGGCCACTTATATACTATAGGGGCCTAAATAATTAAAGGGTCCTATGCACCGATATAGTAGAATGTAGGGTTTCCATTTTAGGGATTACTATTATGACTTAGGGAAGTATCCCCCATAACAGTACATAGGACCTTTTGGGGTAATTACCAATACTACTCCGGGGAGTCCTTATTATAGCTACAGTATTTTATACCCCCAAACCTTATTATTCTAGTTATTGTCACGCCCCTATATTCCTATCACAGGTCCTCCAGACCCCCCCCCCCTACCGGCACGGGTGTAATTTGGGGTGTATGTTGGGACCGGTTTCGCTGCGCCCTCCGAGTTTTTGCGCTGACTTGCCATCCTCTTGCTTTTGATGGCATACGGAAACTGTAGCAGTTCCAAGTAGACGCAACAGTTTGTGTTTCGGGTTCAGGTTTAGGGTGTGAAGTAGGATTCCCAGAAAATGCACCCTGCGTCAGAACCCCCGAAGGCACCTACGTCACTTTCAGGCCCCTGTAAGCCCTAATTACATACCCTAAGCCGCAACGGTTGATGATATAAATCCTGCATTACCCATAATAAGGAGTATATGGGAATTATGGTATATTCCTTATTATGGGTAATGCAGGATTTATATCATCAACCGAAGCAAAGGACCCTGCATTCCAGGCTCTTCGGGTTAAACTCCTCAAAGCCCGCAACGCCCAGGAAAAGAGATGATCGACAGAATAAAGGCCGATCAGGCCGTCCGAAGGGGGCTAAAACGAGGGTCTGGACAATAGTCACAGTGTGTCCCTTACTCTCGCGATGTTGTTCTACCGATCATTGAACTGCCCCACATTATCCCCAAAAGACCTTAAACGCTAAGCCTTAAACCCCCCTAAACCCTAGGCCCAGTCCTCAAGCAGGGATGTGTTGTCGGGGGGACCCACCAGCCGGCAATGTCAATGTCATCCTCCAGTCAATGCTCAGTCTAAGAATCACCCGCAAGCCAAGATTCAAGTCATATTTCTTAGTAGCGGAGTAAGTAGCCTTTAACCTTTTGGGCTTTATATAACCCTACCATAATTGCAAAGGTTAGCTTGTTTTGAGCTAGGAGAAGCCTATTCTGTGCATCACTGTTTTTCACCCGAAGGAGTTTGTATAGTCTTACGAAGCCTATTCTGTAGAAGCCCCTGTATTGTACCCGAAGGAGTTGAAACTGACGGTCTTGCACTACTGAGCGAAGGCCCAGCAGCAGTGTCGGGGGGAGTTTCTACGAGTGCTACTATGAGGTTTTAGGGGTACTCGTTCCTCCCAAAAAGAGGGCTCGTACAGGAAAGGCAGCAGCCACACTAGAAACCCTTGCGAATTTCTGACGCACTGAATCCTAAACCCACTTTTGGTGAAACCCCTCCCAAAAGGAGCCAGAACGGAGACTACTTGGGGGGTCGGGGACTTAGTAAGTAGGTAGTAAGTAGACCTCTAAGCACCTGAGAAAAGGGACCCTAATTGGGGTTATGGTACTTACAAGTCCTTAAAATAGCCAGGAACTAAGTCCCCCGACCCTCCTAGGATAGAGCCCGAGCCTCCCTGTATACCCCATTAATGAGGCCCAGAACTTCAAAAGCCCCAAGAGTCTTGGGCCCGAGCCCGGGGAGGCTGAACCCCTTCTCCTCAGACTGCTTAAGTTTAGGGGTTTTTTGGGGGGGGATTTGGGGGTTTAGGGCAAGAGGAGGGACCCTTTAAAGGGATCTATAGGGATTCCATAAGGGTATAGGGCCTATAGGGTTTAGGGGTTTTGGGGGGGATTTGGGGGTTTAGGGCAGAAGGAGGGACCCTTAGTGGGGACCCCGACCCTATAATGGGCTATATAATGGGTATATAATAGCTACATTAAGGGTATCCTGTGCTGCTATAGGGTTCTAGAGCGTCTCATGAGGGCTTTCAGAAGGTTTCTTAGGGGTGTGTAGGGTTGTGTTATCAGGGTTTGACAGGGTTTAAGTTGAAGTGCCCAAAGGGTCCTATGTGCCGATATAGTAGAATGTAGTTTCCAAAGTAGGAATTACTACTGTGACTTAGGGAAGTATCCCCCAAAACAGTACATAGGACCCTTTGAGGTAATGAATGTATCAGGCTTCATTCCTAAAGGGCCGACAAGTGGCTTCCTTGGCAAGTACGGCGCAAACTTGAGCAAACTCCCCTCAAACCTTCGTCGGATGGCAGTTGTCATCCTGCTTCAGAGGACTGCTGGTCTGGTTCTGACGGTTACATGAAGCGTGAAATCTTGCCTGTCAAGGAAGAAGGAGATATGAGGATTTAGCCAGGGTTGGAGATTTCTTGCGGTCACTAACACTAGTGTTGCGTGCCAAAAACCCTGAACTCAAAACCCTGAACCAAACCCAACCCTTCAGACCTTAATGTCCATGGCTCCGTAGTGTAAGTCAAAGTGGCAGCAAGCGCAAATCTTCATGGCTAAGCGGGCTCTGGGTGTTTAGGGTCTAGCGCTGTTTAGGGGGTTCAGGAGGCGGTTTGCAGGCCTTCATGTTCGCGACTTTACTTTGTGATTTTAGGCTCGCCGCGGCAGGTGCTAAAGGTCGCTGTCATCCTGTCTTCCGCAGTCCCTACGGGCTTTGTGATGCTAATCACCGGCAAAGCCGGAGAGTTCTCAGATGGCCTGGGCACGAAGGTTGCCCTATTAGCCTTTCAGCCCTGTCCTGTCAGAGACGAAGTATCGTCGTAACAAAGTAATCGACTTCGTGCATCTCCCAACTTGTTTGATTCTCACGTGCAAAGCCCTAAACCCTGCGAAATCCGGAGGAGTCGATGTCGCTCTGGCGGCAGATATTTCTGGATTGTGGCTGAGCACCTATCATGAGCGCCTCAAGTGAAATGTGGTCCTGATGCTGGCAACCAGCACCAGGGGATTTAACATCCGTCGGTCAGAGCGCGCGCAGCGTCAACACTGGAAGTTTCCTGCTGTGGCTAGAGTTTAAACAGCCTTGAAGCTCCCAAAGGGTCCTAGGTACTGATATGGGGGATACTTTCCCAAACCATAATAAGGATTCCGAATATGTTTTTGGATGGATTTTAGTATACACGTGTATATGTACATATACACATATTTAGATGTGTGTATATACATATATATATATATAGATAGATAAGTAGTTTGGACCCTGTGGGGCTTAAGTAACCATCAGCCTGGAACTTGAGCACCATTGTCTCCAGGGTTGGGCCGTGGGAAAGGACGGCTCTACCCATAGGCAGTTGCTTTTTGGGATTACCTTATTTTGAGACTACCGTAAACTTATAAGATCCTAAGTATAAACCACAAAAAGGAACTACCATGGAGCGTACAGGTAGACCCATTCCAAATCACAGGTTCTTTGAATCGACACAGGGCAGAGCGGGCTTGGCATTCCAGGTTGGTCCAGGTGTTCTGGCTTATACAGGATCCAGGGCTCAAGCTTTTACTTAACAGTCTAGATCTGATGTGTCGCCATCCACATTGCGCTTTATCCGCGTCCCCGGCTCTTGTCTCAGTGCAAAGGCACTGAGTCTGATCTTGGCCCTGTCAGCAAGCCAGGCAAGTACAGGAGCCACCATAGCACCGGAGCTACAGAGCGAGCGATTGTCAGCGCTTCAGTTGCCCAACATGGTGAGGACCAAAACCCCTGTGTTTGTGCTTCATCATGAAACCGCATAGCGCTGAAGGCTTTAAGGTTAATGTTTGAGGTTTAGGGTTTAGGGTTTAGGGTTTCCGAAGCGTACGAAGTTCCTCGGCCCTGATACCCCAGACTCTGTATGCCTCAAATGCTCGCTCCTCTCGTCACCAACCTCCGACGCCGTTGGATTTTCTGCGCGGGAGCACTCGTGGAGAAAAGTTTTCATCCAATGAGTCCCAGACTTCAAGTACCTGGACCCTCAAAGTATGCAGAATAATAGCCTCTTATAGGTATGGGGCCATTATTTTACCTACTTTGGGGGTTTGGGTACGGATTATATACCTTAAGCTGTAATCTGAAACCCCTTATGATGTACGGTATTTCCCCTTATATTGATTCCTCAATTAAGTGAATAGGTCGATGGGCATCCCCGGGTGTTGTTATCGAAGTTCAGGCTCATAGTCCCAAAGGGTCCTAGGTACGGGACGGGGGGAAGACATTCCAAGACCCTAAACCCTGAACCCTAAACCCTAATCCTATTATAGAAACCCTACATTCTACTATAGAGATGCTTTGGACCCTTTGGGAGTTCATGTAGCATGTTGCCTAGGTCAAGTCAACATCTATAGCCCCCGAGAGCCTCTCCGGAGCCTTCAAGCGGTGCAACACCAACATAGGCACTTAGAGGATCATGGGACTGAGTGAGTAAGGTTATAAGTAGGCTATGATTAGGATAACCCCACTTAGCGGGTACTTATAACCCTACTTATACCCTACTTACTGAGTCCCATGATCCTCTAAGTACAGTTATCCCGTTTAGGGTCCTCTCTATAGGGGTGAGCACGTGAACGCGATGCTCCCCATCCCAAGATCGAGCTCAGAAGTTCCCCGAGCCACCCTCCTACCTTACGAACTGGAAGCTTCGGACCTCTGCGACTCGCTCCAAGTCCTGGGAACTGTAAATCCTCAGCTCACTGCCAACCCCACCTGCCATGTCTGCAACAGCCCTGCACCGGCCCCAAAGTTCTACACCCTAGCAAAGCATCACTTCTGAGATGGCGAAGTTGGGTTTAGGGTTTAGGGTTTAGCGGTGCTTCTTAACCCTAAACCCTAAACCTTCTCCCCCTGTGTTCTGGCAGGTGCCCCCAACAAGTGCGACGAAGGCCCCAGCGGGGCAGGCGAGGCAAAGGGCCTTGGGACAGAGCCCAAGCCTGAAGCCTAGACTTATAGTAGAAGCCAGAAAGTTGGAATATGATTATCCTAAACCCTTTATGGTAAATTATAAGGTATCCGGTATCCTACCCTGAAACCATATTCCAACTTTCTGGAGTTCCCTGTCAACCTAAACCCTGCCTTAACCCTATCTAAACACCCGCAAAAGTCGGCAAATAATGGCCCAATACCTATAAAATGGCTATTATTCTACATACTTTGGGGGTCCAGGTAAGGACTTATGTGTCTCGGGCTCTGTAATTGGTTGGGGGGGAATCAAGGCCAGGAACCCCACCAAAAAGGCAGTCTTTGGGGGTAAAACCTGTCGGGATTGCTTTCATGGTCCGGAGCCCACTCTACCTTAAACTACCAAACCCTACTTTTTTGTGGGTTCATATTATAAACCTTAATATGGAATGTATAGGGGCCCTAAAAAAAGTAGGTTTTTGGTAGGTTAAGGTACAAGTTCAGAAGTTCCACAGCTCGAGCCGACAACTTTGCGGCCCGCAGTCTCTGTAGCAACTACTGGCAGTTACCCCAATACAGGGCCCTAAACCATTAACCCTGAATCCTACACCCTAAACCATAGAGGAACATTTGCCGGAACCCTTTAAGCAGCCCTTCAACCGCCACATGGGAGGCGAAGCGACCCGAAGCGCCTCCAGTGACCTACGAGGTGAGCTCGGTGCATTCCTGAGCAGGGCTCCGGGCTGAGGGTTAAATGCACGTAGGGTTTAGGTTGTAGGGCTGAGAGTTCAGGGTACTCCTAATCATAGTAACATGATATATAATAACACCAGCAGTGATTTATAATACTGTAGCAAACTAGAACACTATAGTAAAAGGTGCAACAATCGTAAAAGGGTTTCGGGCGTTTTAGGGTGTAGGGCTCAAGGTTTGTCGTGATGTTGCTCTGCAGGTTTGAAAGCTTTGCAAAAGGCAGCATTGGCCCGGCTGCAGAGGGAGGGCCATCCCACAATCCTTTGGGGTATGTTCCCCCAAGGGTCCAAAGGACCCACTAATCGGGTACACGGTTTTAGGATAGTAGTTATGTAGGTTAGGATTTCGGAGAGTATAAGATGATTAGGTACTTGGACCCTTGGGGTTTACAATATGTCTATACTAAGGAACCCTAAGGCTCTAATGCATAAGGTTTATCACATTTTATAACTATTCAGGCTTCTGTGTTACACCCGCCCTGCGCTGTCTAAGTCCCACACCTAACCATCGAAGCACCGGCAGGGTTCCAAAGTTCGACCGGCCTGTAGCGTATTCTGCCGACATGAGAGTTCATACAAGACAGCAACTGCAAGCCCCAAGCCCTACACCCAAAATACCCAAACGAACCCTCGATCCCTCAACCCGGAGTCCTGGACCCCTGAATCCTATACCGTAAGCCGTCAACTCGAAATACCACCGACATGTGTAGTTCTCTAAAGGAAGGTCCCTGTTTAGCTCAGCCCAGGTTGTACAGCACCCTCGTGAAAAAGGATCCCCAACAGGGAGCCTAGTTTAGATAACAACACCAGTCCCGAAGGGTCCATGTACCAAGTAGTAGATACTCTGGCCCGGGACTACTTTAAGGCCAATGTATCTACTATATGGGTGGTTGTCAATATTAGGGTCCCTTTTTGGGTCCTTATTATAATAAGGCATCCAACAAGAGACCATGATTTTGACAACCACCCATATGGACCTTTATAAGGGAATGAAGGGGGGTCCGAAGAAAGTGCAGCCACGCTTCTTTCCAGGCAGCCGGCTTGAGCAGGAGCCCAAGAGTGATGATGTTTCAGGGTTTAGGGTTATGGGGTTTAGTGTTTAGAGGTTTAGGGTTTAGAGGTTAGGGTTTTAGGGGTTTGGGTTTAGGGGTTTGGGTTTAGGGGTTAGGGTTTAGGGCTCGTGGGCTGTTCTCAGGGTAATATGTGGCTGTTTGGGGGTTTATAGGGTGTCACATTGCAAGATGATATAAACGTGTCGTGGTCTTGTAAGTCTTCTGCAAGGGACTCACAACGGTTCGTGGGTCCCTAGTGCGAAATTTTGGAGTAGAAGATAATTTGGTTGTAATATTGGTAGGGAGCCAAATAGAAAAGGATCTTCCTTGATCAGGGTCTACGTTCAAAGAGGGAGCTGGGAAATCAGTGCTTTGGGTTGAGCAGTGGACAGCACTTGCTGCTGTTGCTTGAAAGCTGAACCCTAAACACTCAAAAACTCCAAATCCTGAACATCCAAGCCATTCATTCGGCCAGGCCTGACATTTTGTGTATGGGTGGCTGGGGCTGGTGTTGATGCTTTAGTGGCTGCAGTGTAGATAGACCCCTGATTCACAAAACCTCTCTCCCTTAATAAGGAGTATAGCCGGGATCCTAAGATCAAGGCCTTCAAACAAACGGGTTTATTACTTTATTGGTCAACATTAGGGTTTAGGGGGGGTAGGCTTTGGATTTCTGCAGAGTCTCAAGTCTGCGAAAAAGCAACCCATCCCTACCCATAGGTTCCATTGTCGTTCCTTTTTGTGGCTCATATTTAGGATTCTATAAGGTATGTAATCGCAAAAAATGGAACTACTGTGCAGGTTATGGGTAAGCTTATAGTAGAAGCCAGAAATTTGGAACATCATTGTCCTCATACCCGTAAGGTAAAGTATAGGGGATTCTAGCACTAAGCCTCCTAAAGCCATGTTCCAACTTTCTACTAGAAGCGCCCCGAAAAGGAGAAACCGGAAAGTCTATAAAGTCTTAACCCTCACGCCAGGTGTTGCCTTGTTCCTCTGCATCTTCCTCGTCCGGCGCATTGTGCCAGGGGCAAGCAAGCACTGGCCGGACCCCTAATTCTGCAAGACATGTCCCCAAAGGGTCCAAAGTACCTATAGTAGAATGTAGGGTTTCTACATCAGGAATTACCATTATGGTTTGGGGAAGTATTCCCCGTAACAGTACCTAGAATCCTTTGCTTTCGTAGCTTCAGAAAATTGGTGGACTATTGGATGTTGCGCATGTCCCTGAACCCTAAACCCTAAACCCTCCTGGTATAACAATTCTCGCTGTACCTGTATTTGGAAAAGAGCACAAAAAGACAACCCTAAACCCTGATCCAAGAGGGTTTGTGTATTTGTCATTTTTTGCCAGGGGGTGTTCAACTAGGCTTGCCTTGTGCAGGGGTCATTTTCGTACTGAGGCTCGAGCCAGTTATTTGCAGGTTCGTTTGTTTTTGTGCAACTCTCGTTTCAGAGGACGGCTTCTTCGGTTTCGGTGCACCAACCGTCGCGCTGGGCTGATTTTGCCATGAAAGATTCAGGTATGTGCAGGTCCTTTTGTAGTCCAGGGGTCTCTCTCTCTCTCTCTCTCTCTCCCTCTCCGTCGCTGCGCCGGACGCAGGGAGTCGGATCGGGGGATTCAATTCCTCCTCTCTTCAATTCTTTCGGGGGCGGCGCTGCCGCCTAGTAAACCGTAGACTCTGAGCTCTCCATCTTGCAAGGCCGACAATGATTTAACATGGAAGCAGCAGCATCGTAACAGTATCCGTACCCCCCCATATAGTTCCTGTAAGATCATACCAACTAATATTCCAAGGCCCCACCCTTGTAGTGCAACTTAGCACGCTTAGTCCGCAGTTTGCTGCGAGCGCCCTCGAAAGCCCCGCTTTGCGCATGTCGGAGGTTATGGCCGTTGGGCTCCCCTTAGCAATGTCCACATTAGCCAAAGGGTTTGCCCAGACCCCCCCCACTACCCTCTAATGTACCCGTGTTACGGGCCATAAGGGCTCCATTAAGCGGCACCTGGGGGGTTCCTGGTTTCGGTGTGGGGTTTAGAGTTTATGGGCAGATATCGGGTTGCGGGGGTCGAAAATCACACAACATCAGCCTGCATAATGCTCCTACATCCTGCAATGCATCCGCTCCACACCCCTAAGTCAAACTATAGGTGTGAAGTACCTATGATGTGGGAACCCCTTGACGGCCTAAGTATATACTACAGTATATAGGCACCTAGGACAACTTAAGACCCTTCAAGACAGCAAGGTTGTGCCGCACTCCCCATGTGTGCGTCTGCACCTTGATTGTCGTGTCGTCTCTGCAGTGCGGCGAGCTCAGCAGAGGACACAGAGCTGTGGTTGAGGGCTCGCAGGACAAGTAGAGAAGCCTATACCCTAAACCCAAACCCCTAAACCAACTAAACCATGCTGTTCCTTACAGGGATCCTTCGCATTTTCATACTGCAAGAAACCCCAAGAGCCGGCTATTCCGATCATCAGCGGTTGGAGTTTCCTACCCCCCCCCCCCCCTGCAACAGCCCCCTTAGCCGTACACCCCTAAACGTATCACGCCCTAAGGCTCCCAAAGGGGTCATGGGGGGGAGGGTTTGGGCTTCGGGATCTCACTGCGAGGGTCCAGGAAGGTTAGGGCGAGGTACAGGTACGTAAAGTCATCCAAACTCCAAGGATCCAACACTCAAATCTCACAAACCCTAATCCCCAAATCCTAAATCCTACCTTAAACTACCCAACACTGCTTCGTTGTGGGTTCTGATTATATTATACACCCGAATCTGGAATTTATGCGGACCCTACAAAAAAGCAGGTTTTGGTAGGTGAATGAGGTAATCATATAAATCCTCAGCCCCCAACTCAAAACCTAAACCCCAAATCCTAAACCCAAACCTTGCAGATGCATTGAAAAGTTGTGTCCGAGGCCTCCTCCTGGGATGGCGCTACAACCAGTATCCCATGGAGTCCACTGTGGCGCCCTGGGGAAACAGGGGTGCATGGTGGGGTCCAAGACAGGGCCAGGGGCCTCAATAATTACCTAGATACTTTTTTGAGGGTTCCTTATTTGAGGCATTGTTTGATGGTCTCCAAAATGCTACCGGGATTTATAGGGTTCTGCTGGGATCTTCTGGGTCAAAAGGTCAGGCTTCAGGGGTTTAATTACGGTTGAAGGATTTCGGGGCTTAGGATTTGCATACTGCGCAAGATCGGGAAGAACATGATCCCTGAGGCTCCATGTACCTTTATAGTAGATACTTAAGCCTGAAAGGGGTCCCTGTATAGGTACTTTAAGGCCTAAGTCTCTACTATATGGGTACATGGAGCCTTTGGGGATGCGCAACCCTCCGGAGCCTCAGTTTCAGCTACGTTCTCAGTTTGGGTCTTTGACTCAACCCTCGGCTGCGTAATATGTGGCCCTGGAAATTTTCAGAGTAGGGAACGTAGACTATGTATCGTAAAGGATACCCCAACCTCCTAATTATGCAAATTAGCAAATTCAATACAAGCCTAAGAAGCAGAGAACACGTTCTGCTCAACCCCGAAAAAGCACACTGTTCTAATTCCGTATATTTGGGTGTTAGGGTGTTTTTGGGGCTTTTCGGGTTCAACCCGTTCTCTACTGCTGAGAACTATCGAGAGGTTCCTGCATATGGGAAGTTCTCTGAAGTAGGGTAGCTCTAAGAAGGCTCCTTGTTATGAGCGCGTCGACCTTGTGGAGGTCCCAAAACGAGACCCTCATTTGGAGAAATACCCATATGAAATATCGAAAGGTACATCTGACCTCGAAACCTCACACCCTAAATCCGACGAAGCCCAAGGCTCTGAGATGGCGAACGGGGGAACTTTAAACTGTTCGGCCTTATATATATATATATATATATATATTAGATCTATCTTAGAAAGTTTGAACATGTTGGGGCCCGGTTGTTGAATACGAGAGCTCTGAAAGCTTGGACAGGAGGAGCCTGCTGCAGAGGCTCGGCAGCCGGTTCATGGGCTTTGGCTTTAGGGTTTAGGGCTTTAGGGTTTAGGGTTTAGGGCTTTAGTCTTCAGGGTTTAGGGTTTAGGGCTTTAGTCTTTAGGGTTTAGGGTTTAGGGATGCAAGGTCGGGTTGCCAAGCCCTGAGTCGCTTCCATCCAAGCAGCCAGCAAATCGTGTTTCGGGGTTTGGGTTGACCAATGGGTATTTGGGGTATATTAGAGGGTAGTTGGGGGGTCCAGAGGGTAGCTTATGATCTGTGCACTTTCCGTACCGTCCGTCGAAGCTCAGCCAGAAAAGCTTTACCATATAACGCCCACAGGCGTCGAAAACTCTGTTCCCCCTTTCAGGCCCTGGAGGGCCCTTCTCAAACACCCAAAACCTATACACCTAAATAGCCTAAACCCTGAAACCCTACAGTCCTCAACCTTAACCGCAAAAGACCCTAATTAGGCCCAATTCACAGAGAGAGATGGAAGGTGTCCAAGAATGCAGCTTCCACGGTCGAGGATCTGGAGCAGGCCGGCACGGTTCAGTTTTCGTAATTGTCGGAGTTGAATCATGCAAGAGTTATCGCCTTACAGTTCCCAAAAAGTTGTACTGTAACGCCGCAAGACCCTTTGAATGAACTAGGCCCTTCTATCATGACCTTATCTTTTCCATCCCTCTCAATTTTCCTTCCTCATCGGCTCTCAGAGCAAGCAGCCAAAACACCACAAAGCGAGTCTACCACCATGAATTAGCAAGCTGACTTGCTCTAGTCCCCTGCATCAAGCAGGAACACCTATGTAATTAAGCATAACCTCTTTCAGGTAGTATCCCTACGAAGCGGCAGAATTCGATAGTTCATTTTCTATTTGAAAGACCCTCGTTTCATTTAAGCCTCACCATCCTCGCGCAATAGAGGGGCCTCAGTAGTTCCCCATTTTTAAAGGGTTCCTTACTATAATAAGTATAGTATATGGGGTCCCCAGACCCTATTCAAATTCTTAAGGCCCCTAAATTAGATCTGTTTCTGCCGCCTACTGCCAGACTCCGACGGCGGCGATGCCAGTGACCACGGAGCCCAGGACAGAGTCTCAAAGCCTTAGTCCTTACTATAGGTGCCTTACTAATTACCAATACTACTTTGGGTGGTTTATTATAAGTATAGTATGATGGGCCCCCCAAAAAACTCTATTCCAATGATTAAGGCTTCTATATGAATCCTTAAGCTTTTCGAGTTTCGGGTTCAGGGTTTCGGGGTTTAGGGAGTTTAAGGGCCGAGGCTCGGAGCCCCTAGAGTTTCAACTACCAGTACCATTTGGGCACAGCCCCCACTCAGTATAGGGAACTCCAGAAAGTTGGAATATGGTTTCATGGTAGGATTCCCTATAATTTACCATAGAAGGGGTTACGATAATGATATTCCAACTTTCTGGCCTTTACTTTAATAGTTGAGTAGTATTCATAATATCGATATATTAGGACTTTAAAAGTAGCCCTGTTATCGACTCTTACTGTATCGGGGGCAGTACCTGCAGTACCATGTTTAGTTTCACAGTCATCACACATTAAGAAAAAGAGTATCTTCTTCCCTTTGGGTGGCGAGTTCGGAAGCTACTTAAACTCATAGCCGTGGCATCGATGTGGGAGTTTCCGAAAATGGGGGACCCTCATTTCGTACCCTAAATAGTAAGATCCTTGTAATAAGGGCCCCAAAACAAGGTACCCGAATTATCGGAAACTCTAAACCCTAAACCGTTTATAGAACCCTTAAAGATTCCTTTTAAGGAACCCTCTGGTACCCCTATTTTCGGGAACTCCCATGAGAGTCAACTACCATGTCAGATCTGGCGCGCCAGGAGCTTGGCAGAGGGAGTAAGGTCATGGAGATCTGAATTTGCCTGAAGTCTGGGTCTAGTAAACTCTAAGCCCCAAAGCCATAAACCGCTAAGCCCGCAATCCGAAATCCTCAAGCCCCTAATTAGTTCCTAATCTCCTCAAAGATTGTCCCAAATTTCAGTCCCGAAGCCATTGACGGCTCTCTGTGACCACTGCCTGTCTTCTTGCACCTTAGGATCAGTTGCGGCTACCCGTTTTCATCTCTTACAATAACGCATGGTTTCGAGATCGTAGGCTTGTAGCACTTTGTGTTGTTCTCGAAGCACGAACTTGGGGCTGGGCTAACTTCAGTGTTGGGCCTAGGAGGCTTTAGGGTGTTTGGGGTTTAGGGTTTGAGCTCTCTGTGTTAATTTCCCTAAACCCTAAACCCTAAACCCTAAGTTCAGGGAGATGGATTTGGGCTTGGAAGTCCGAGTTAAGCATCCCAGTCCTGAATGGACATGCCTCATCCCCTCGACCACTTTTGCAGAGGGCACATTGGGGATCCTCTTTATGATTTCAAAAGCTTTAATTTTGTGTCATTCGGAAGTCACTTGAACCCTTCTTCTCGGACCCGCGGACCGGAACGGGATCAGCCAAGCCTAAGATATGAGTTGCTTGAAAGTTTTCCCCTTGTTGCGTGGCATAGTCAGGAGCACTTCAATGGCACAACTTGGAGGATCATGAGACTTCGTATTATAAAACAGGTAACTATATAATCATGATTATGCATAACCCCATTGAAGGTACTTATCCTACTAAATCCCATGATCCTCCAAGTATTGTTTATGTCTGCAGTAGGGTCCCCTGTGCAAGAAACCTGTTCAAACTGCCCCCTTCCCTCCTCTTCAACCCTAAAGCCCAACCCCTAAACCCCGGCCCTACGCCCCGAAACCCTAAAGCCTTAACCCCACACTAAACCCTTAAACCCTAAATCCTAAACTCTAAACCGTCAAACTCTCTACCAGCGCGGCCCTGCAACATACCTTCCGGCAGGATGACGAGCGCTGGCGAGAGGGACTGCCCTGCCGTTGCCGCGCACCAAGTCGATCTCCAGTTTCCGGCGTTGCAGTAAAGATAGTAGCGGCATTCAAGATGTCAATAAACATACCCATCATAATCGTCATGTTCGGGAGCATGAGTCGTACTCTTAACCATAGAAATAGTTGTAATTGTGTTAAGATATAGCAAGACTTTGTGGTATTAGTTGGTTGGACTGGTTGCTGCTTTCAGGAGGCTTAGACTCAGTAGAGGCACGAGTCCAGTCAATACTTCTATTGCAGCCGCCAAGACATTGTTTCTCTTTTGGGGGGCTTCCTACACTGACTACAAGGGGACTACCCATGGTGCTGTTGCAGTTGCTTGGGTAAACGAGTTCGATATTATCTTATGTGTAGTACGTTCTCCAACACCATGAATTACGATGGAGACTGCAGGTATATGTCCATCTCGGGACTTCTCTCCGGATCCTGCTTTATGTCATCATGCAAAGCTGCATCCGGAGTATCACAACCCAGGGTACCAACCGCTAACAAGGGAGGCCGCCACGAAGATGATAGAGCTTTCAGCAGAGCTTCGGGTTCAGCATTTAGGGGTTAGGGTTACGGGTTATGGATTTAGGGTTTAGGGCAGAATGTCCGCGAAGCACCAGAAGCCACGACGACAGCTGGGCGCGGGGGGGGGGGGGGGGGGGGGGGGGGGGGGGGGGGGTTCTTCAGATCCATCAACCCCCAGCTTCGGGAGCCTAATGCACTGGGTTTGGGGATTTGGGGGAGAAGAGGCTTTAAGGTATTCTTAAGGTACTGGAGTCTGAGCCCAAACCACGCACCTCACAGACTCTAAGCCCCAACCAGCAAAGGTCACACCCTGGGCTTTCGGTGCAAAGGGCGACGGCCACACGGATGACGGGGGTTCTTCAGATCCATCAACCCCCAGCTTCGGGAGCCTAATGCACTGGGTTTGGGGTTTTGGGGGAGAAGAGGCTTTAAGGTATTCTTAAGGTACTGGAGTCTGAGCCCAAACCACGCACCTCACAGACTCTAAGCCCCAACCAGCAAAGGTCACACCCTGGGCTTTCGGTGCAAAGGGCGACGGCCACACGGATGACTCGAACGCCATCAGGCCACTTGATGGTTTCAAGAAGTCTTGTTGTTAGGGGCTCCTGCTGAAAACTTGACCGGGCTTCGTTTTGGGAGGTTCGGTCTCGCCAACAAATTCCACAAACGCTGCAATTGCAGCCTAGTTAACCCTAAGCCCTAAACCTCATAGAGCTTGAACCTTATACCCTGCTTAGATCTAAACCTTTAGAGAGTTGAGGCTGGCGGTTTCTGAGGAGAGTCGGTTGTTGTCATCTCAGAATGGCAGGGCCAAAAACGCCCCCCACCAAACAAAGCTTGGGATAGAAGACTTAAGCTCGTAAAGGCCTCACGAAACCCGCGCCCTAAGGGTCCATGTGCCCAAATAGTATATACTACGGTTGATGGACAAATCCTGCATCACCCATAGTTCCCATAGTTTAAGTTCCTTAAGGTCATGCAGGATTTTGTCCATCAGCAGTATGGCCCCAAAGTACCTATATGGGGACTACTTCCAGGCCAATGTGTATGCTATGTGAGTACATGGACGCTTAGGGGCATCAAAGCCTTCCAACGCCGAAGACTTACCTTGGTTAGTAGGGAATGGAAGAATGGCAGTATTAGTAGTTATAATTGTATCCCTTTCCTCCATTCCCTACTAACCAAAGGTAAGCTATAGGATTATCAAGGCCCCAATATTGTTATACTACCCTTATAGATCCCTTATAGTAACCCTTATAGACCCCTTTATTAGGCCCCTTTAGTTCCCTACTAGCCAAAGGTAAGAAGAGTGAGCTCACCCTGAACCCGTCAGCCGAAAAAGCCCGAGAGCACCTTCAATTGGGTTCTTGCTATGGAATTTACTTTAAGGTACCATCCTAGGGGGATAATTAGAATAGGGTTCCCTTTAAAGGGTGCTATAGGGGCTACTATAAGGGATCTATAAGGGTAGTATGATATAAGTTTACTTTAAGTTACCATCATTAGGGATCTATAGTAACTAGTATGGTTTCCTTATTATCGTAACTTAAATTAGTTCCCGTAACAAGAACCCAGTAAATACACCAAACACGCGAAAAGCACGAAACCAACTGCAAGACCCAACAGCTTCAGAGCTCTTGTATACCGACCTTAGAGCCCGGACAGCCCCGAACGCCCCAAAAACCTTAGAATCGCCAAAGCAGCAGTCAAGACCCCCCAAACCCTCTAACCGCAAGCCCTGAACCTTAAACCCGAAAGCCCCAGCTGCATCCACATATTCTTCCTTAGAGTTCCTTTGAATTGTATAGTCTGGTAACACCCAAACGGCCTCTAGTGCTTTCGGGTTGTGGGCTCTTCGAACCCGCTCAAAAGCCCTAAGCCCTCACCAAACCCTATCAGCCCTAAACCCTTGCGCCCGATCCAGAGCTGCCCGATCACCCGGAGACTCCAAAACCCCTCCATTAAGGAATATGCCTTTACATTGTAAGGCCCTAGGGACGCGCTGCTTGCGGCACTGAAGTCCACAGAAGAAGAAATTATAGTGTCATTCTTATCTTAGTAGCTGAGTGGATACACTTTACACTTTTTGGCATAATATCACCCGCTATAAGACCAAAAATGTGCACTTTTGGGGGGCTTGTGAACTCAGCAACTAAGTGGTTCGGGTGCCCCAGGATGGCTCTCGATTGGGCCTCACAGTGCCAAAGCGAAGTACTCCTTGGCCGAGCCAACCCCCTTTCTCCGATGAAGCGGGAGACCAGGGTGTCAACCTGGGTTTATTGGGCATCACGGCTTGAGGGTTTAGGGTTGAGGGTTTTCGGGATTAGGGTAAAGGATGTGGTGAGAATTCTGTCGATTGATAGTGTTTTGGAAGTTCTTAAACTTAGGTGGTTGTCGGATGTTTGTAGAGCTTGAGAGGGGTTCACGGGATTCTCAGGATTTTCGACGGTGTACGGTAGAAGGTGTTGTAGGGTTCTGTTCTTGTTGCAATGGTTTTGTAAGGTGCAATGGGGTTGTGATTTTATGTTTCGTGGGGAGTGTACATGCCCTCAAAGGGTTCTTACACGGAGTTCGAAGCGTGTAGGCTTAGAGGTTTCGCTTCGTGTATGGTCTTATGGTTATGTCAGGTGGATAGGGGAAAACGGCTCCTCGTCAAAATAACGGTGACTCACGTGGGGGTCGCAAAAAAGAGCATGCTGTCATATCAAGGTTTGTCATTAGGAGTTGTCTTCTTGTTCTTGGCAAGTATTGCTCTGGCTTCGCTGGTAGTGCTAAGCTTGTTGTGAATGTCAATTCCGGTTCGTTTCTCTCATTACAGTATAATGGGCCCCAAGAACCTCTAATTATTCAGGCCCCTATATTAATTCCATATAGCAGCCCTTATAGTAGCCCTCTTAGACCCTTTTCAAGGAAACCCATTCTGATTATTAAGGTCCCCTATTAGTCTCCCAAGGATCGAAGCCCGACCTCTCAAGCAGAATTGCAAACCTATGCTTGAGAAGCTCTGGGCTTCAAACTTAGCGGCTTACCATAAGGGTCCATGTGGGAGTCTCCGAAAATAGGGGTACCTTATTCTGGGGTCCTCATAATAAGGATCCTACTATTTAGGGTACTATATTGGGGTCCCCTATTTTCGGAAACTCCCATGTACCCAAATAGTATATGCCTGGGCCTTGAAGTAGTCCCTATGTAGGTACGTTGGGGCCAAAGTACATTATACTATTTGGGTACATGGACCTTTAGGGTTACTTAGAGGATCATGAGACTTAGTAGCTATGGGCTTAGGGTTTAGGAGTGAGGGTTTAGGGTCTTAAAATGAGGTGGGTATAGGTATAAATCAGTTATAGCTCCAATTAGGGAACGTATAGCCTTACTTACTACAAAGTCCCATAATCCTCCAAGTAGGGTGGTGAGAGGCGCTGTTGCATGTCCTTTGGATCTTCACCGCCTTCCTTCTGCGCCTCGAACAACCTGCTTTGTAGTAGACCCCCAAAAGTTGGAAACCGGGTTATACGGACAACTGCGGTTGATGATAGAAATCCTGCATTACCCATAATAAGGAATATCCCATAATTACCACAGTTTAGGATCCTTAAGGCAGTGCAGGATTTATATCATCAACCGTAGTGGTGGTCCTTTCTTGCTTTGGTTCCTTGAGTCGAGGGCAACTGTACTCGCTTTTCTCGCTGCTTCATGACTTCGTTGGATCCCGAACCCCCCGCACAGATCCCAATACCCCTTAATTAAGGAATATACCTTAACCTATAATAGCATCCCTAATATGATTTAAGGCATATTCCTTAATTAAGGGATATTGGGTTCTCTGGGCCTGCCCCAGAAGAGTCTGGACACGAAGGAAACCGAAGTCCTGATGCCGCGCACAAACCTGCTCAGTAATGTTTGCTGTTAGGCTACGGTTTGTTTTGTGCAGAAGCCCAGAGATCTCAATGACTCAATACCCTTAATTTAGGGATGTACCATAAATTATAGTAGGATCCCCAATATGATTTAAGGCATATTTCTTAATTACGGGATTTTGGGTTCTCTGGGAGCCTCGTTTGTGGCGCATGCTTCCATGAACCGAGCACTGGAGCTGCAAAGCGAAGAAAGGGCTATTGTATGGTCAAAACATCCCGGAACCCTAAAGCCCTAAAGCCTAAACCCAAAACCGTAAAGCTTAAACCTAAACCCTAAAGCCTAAACCCTCACAATGGTAGAGTATCGGTGCGAGGCCACGATTCTACGTTCCGCCGAACTCTCTCGAGCTGCGGTGGTCTCAGCTAGTGCGGGAGATCTGCGGTGAGTATAAGAAGGTTTTCTAAAGGCCAACAAGCGGTTCTGGATTTCGTAGGATTTATAGGGTTTTAGAAGGTGTGTGTCAACGGGCTGAAGACGGTTTCAATGGTTTTTGCAGCGTTCTCGTGCCTTAACATAGAAGCCTGAAAGATTGCATCGAATCGTTTCTCAGGCCCCGACGTAAGATTATATCGGACCCTCAACCCTAAACCCTAAAAGCCCCAAGCCCTAAAGCCTCAAGCCCTAAAGCCCCAATCCTAAACCCCAAAACCTTTAAACCCGAAGCTTTAAACCCTAAACCCATTAATCCCTAAACCCTTGAGACCCTAAACCCTGAAACCTATCTGAACCCATCAGCCCGGCCTGGCCGGCCAGCTAGCTGCATAGACTTCTTTGCTCCGACTCTTTCAGAGGCCTCAAAATGTAGCACGAACCCTAGGGGTCCATGTGCTCATCTGGTAAATACATTGGCCTGAAAGTACTCCCTATGTGGGTACTTGGGTCCAAAGTATTTCAGCACGGTACTACAGAAGCTTGAGTAATTGATATTAACGTGCTTAGTCCATTAGACTGTAAAAGACCCTCAAACCCACTTCCAAACCCGATTCTACTCATTGATGCTGAAATAGTATGCAGTCTGCCCGAAGCCGAAAGCCCTGAACCCTTTAAACCCTGTAGACCCTAGCTAAGCCCACAAAAGTAGGTAAAATAATGGCCCAACACCTACTCAAGGCTATTATTCTACACACTTTTGGGATCCAGGTAAACCCCAAACCCTTTAAGCCCAAGGACTTTGCAGAACGTGGTCATCACCCTGAACGGCTTTCTTGCAGAAGCCTCGTCGATGCGAGTTTCTGGGTTCTTGTTAAGGAGGGTAATTTGGTTTAGTTTAAATTAACATACTAGGGATCTGTAGTAACGTTCCTGTTAAGGAATTTAATTTAAGTAATTTAAGTTACCATACTAAGGATCTATAGTAAAGTTCTTCTTAAGGAATTCAGTTGAAGTTACTATACTGACTGGGGATCTATTGTAAATAATGGTTTCCTTATAATGATAACTTAAATGAAATTCCTGGACAAGAACCAGGTTTTGTGGTCACACTCGGGGCACGCAGGTTTCGATCGAATTTGGGCAGTGTTGGGGATTTCGCCCCCAGGACGAGAAATTTGGCGTCTCAGACTTGTGGCTTCTGTTTTCTGGCGTCGGATATGAAACTTCTGTGAGTTTGATACTTGGGGCATCTCGTTTTCAGGTTTTGGGTGTGGCTGCCTTGGGCTTCGGGCGTTGAAGGGTTCTAGGGCTTCAGGCTTTGGACGGTTCAAGGGTTGGGGTTTAGGGTCCATGTTTAAGGTCGGAAGAAACTACTCATATTATCCCTTCATCGTTCCCGCATAGTTATACTCTAGTATACCGCCGAGCCCTGTTCTAATGATGCAGGCCCCTTCACACACGGTTTCGGGTGAGTCGGTCCTAAACCCTCCTAAACCCCGAAACCCCTAATCCCTAAAACCCTAAAACCCTTAAACCCTAAAACCCCTAAGCCCCTGAACCCTAAAACCCCTAAACCCCTAAACTCCTGAACCCTAAACCCAACACCCTAAGCCCCATGATCCTCCCAGTAGTCCCTAAACCCTATAGACCCCTTTTAAGGAACCCTATAGATCCCCTGTAGATCCCTTTTAAGGAACCCTATAGATCCCCTATAGATCCCTTTTAAGGAACCCTATAGATCCCCTATAGATCCCTTTAAGGAGCCTTAAAGTACCCCAAGTTCCGCCGGCTCAGGTAGGTCCCACGATCGAGGCTCCGAGCTTGGCTGTGGAAACTCTGCGATCGGAGGGTTTAGGGTTTAGGGTTTAGGGTTTAGGGTTTAGGGTTTAGGGTTTAGGGTTTAGGGTTTAGGGTTTAGGGTCAAGGGGGGAGGGTATAAGGAATCCTTAGGGGACTGTAAGGGAACCTTAGGGAGTACTAGGGAGGATTAGGGATCACTAGGCTATATACCCCCCTTGGACCCCCCTCCCTTAAGGACACTACAAGGAGGGGCTTCTCAGGAAATCTTCGGCGGCTTTCGGGGTTTAGGGTCTAGGGTTTAGGGTTTAGGGGTGAGGGTTTCGGGGTTTAGGGTTTAGGGGTTTAGGGTTTAGGGGTTTAGGGTTTAAATAGTTGTTGATTGTTGGTGCCTATAATCCCAAAGACACAGCTAAAATTACACATTTTGGGTAGGGGTCTGAGTCTGAGTTGAGTGTACCTTTAGGGTGGCCCACCAGACCCTAAACCCTATAAGCCCCACAGATCCTCTAAGACCCTTAAACCCTGAACCCTAAACCCTAAACCCCCAATTAAGCTCCACCGAACCCCGAATAAATTCCCCCAAACCACCAAACTCCCCTAAACCCTAAACCCCTAAACTCTACCGAACCCCGAATTAAACTACCCCAAACTCCGAAGCCCTAGAAGCCTTCTTGCACCAATACAAGCCCCAAACCCGAAACCCTAAACCCCAAGCTGGACCATCAGGGTTTAGGGTTTCGGGTTTAAGCTGGAAATCCCAGACTCGAAAGCCTAAACCCTAGAAGCCTTAATCCGTAGTAGTAGCACTGCCCTTCAGGCAGAAGGCGGAGCTCTTCGGCGCAAAGCCCCAAATCCGTCGAAACTCTTGGCCCTGAAACATGCGACCTTGGATGCGTCGCTTCTCGCAACCTAGACAGGCCACTGAGATGCATATTTCCTCCTATAATCGGCTTCGAGAAGACGTCATTTAGCCCTTAAGCTTTAAAGCCCTAAACTCTAAACCCTAAACCCTAAACTCTAAACCCCTAAAGCCCAGTTTAACGAGGAATCGTGCTTGCGAGGTCTGGAACCCACGCCATGACACATGGCCGAAAGGCTCTTGTGCTTATGCCGAGGCCGATGTCAAACCAAACCAAAAAGGGCCTAAATCCTAAACCCTAAACCCGAACCAACATGCATTAAACCGGCATTGCGGGGTTTGCAGCTCGATGTTTCAGACTTTGAATTTGGGTTTGAGATCCAGCGTTCAGAAAGGTAGATCATGAGGACATGATCGTAGGGGCGTACACTACTACTATTGGGCCTGGGGCCTGGGGTTTTGGTGTAGAACTACTATAGGGGCCTTAACCCTAAACTTTAAACCCTAAAACCCTAAACCCGAACACCCTAATGATTTAGGTCCATATATTACTGAGCTTCAGGATTCAGGACTTAGCGAAGCACAGAGTCCAGGCTTTTAGGCGGGTTCTCACGGTGCAAGTAGGGTTTTTAATTTAAGGTTTAGGGTTTAGGTACGAGAGTAGCAGCCACTTGGTCAAGAGTATCCCATGTGCTTGCAGCTAGACTGACTATACTATGGTTGTTACCAACATATGACTGAAGCTGCTAAGGCCACTACATTAACCAATCCCTGGTGGTTCGAGTTGCGAGCATGGGCCATACCATCCCAACTTGTTAGCAATACTGTTCATTGGGTATCCTATATACTCGAATCAAAGTACAAGATTACACACAACAGCCTATGTTGATAAGTTTTGGGGTTTAGGGTTAAGGATTTAGGGTTTAGGGTTCGGGGGGTTGTCTTCTATTTTATGACACGAGAACCATTTCATGCTCCATGGCAGGGTGTTTAATCCTGTTGAGGTCTCGCGGGCCCTTTAAGAATTTGTCAGGGTTATGAGTTATACTTTAATGATTTCTTAGGTTTAGGATTTCGATGTTACTGATTTCTTAGGTATAGGACTTAGGGTTTGGGGTCGAGGGTTCAGGATTGGGGTTTTAGGATTTCGGGTGGGGTGCAGGATTTAGGACAAGCGGTTTAGGTTTTCTAGGGTTAAGTGTTTGGGGGATTGTGGGAAGATATGACTAGTACGGCCACTTGTTTGAGGATGTATCAAAGATAGGGGTCTACACTACTTGGTCTACTTTCAGTGCCCCTTATTGTAGTTACAGTATGTTAGTTTATGGTAAGGCATACCCCTTACTTTATGGTAAAACACGCCGCAAAACCATATTCCAAATATTCCGGTCCCTGGATTATCGCAATTGCACACGGTCGTGAGTGGAGCATAGGAGCACGCAGTGCTGTCGCGCCAGCCGACAGGGCATGTCTGTGCCGCTGCCATTGCAAGGGGGCTTAATTCAGGTGGGACCCTTGTCCGGAGGAGGGTTCATCACTCCTCTAGGAACTAGAGTAATTAGGCCCTTATTCCCTTTTTAGGGTTTAGGTTCCCTTATAAGCCCATTTAAACCAAAACGGGCACCCTTTTTATTCCTAGGTTACTCTTGGGTCTAGTCCTCGTGGGACCCTAAACCCTAAGCCCTAAACCCTAAACCCTAAGCCCTAAACCCTAGACCACTCTGTTTGTCACAGCTCTTGCATAGCGCTGTGCTCGGCGACCAAAGCTGCCGCCGGTCACTCCGATCGGGTCCAACAGCATCATGCATCTGTTGAAAGGGCATTGCTCTAGTATGGGAGTTTCCGAAAATTAGGACTATTAGTGATCCTTATAAGAAGGATCCTACTATTTGGGGTCCTGATAATAAGGATCCTACTATTTGGGGTACTATCTTAGGGTCCCCCCATGTTCGGAAACGGCCCGTATCTACTCTTCTGTCCCGGGCCCCAGGGTTCTCAATCACTCGCCGCCATGTTGCGCATTCGGATGGTGTCTGGAACCTTATTGGCCGTTAACTCAACTTTTGGGTTTAGGGTTTAGGGGCTTAGGGGTTTAAGGTTATAAGGTGGTCGATTCTGAAAGTTGCAACTTTTGTTTCCTTGGGTTTTGCCCTAAACCCTAAAGCCTAAACCGTTTGGGCCAGTGAGGAACAGACATCCTGGCTCTGTCCGACGAGGAGCTCTTAGATGCTGTCGAAGAAGATCAAACCGTGAGGGGCTCCCCAGCTCGAAATCAGCAAGCCCTAAACCCTAAACCCTAAACCCTAAACCCTAAACCCTAAACCCTGAAGCCCCAAACCCTAAACCCTAAACCCTAAAACCCTAAACCCTAAACCCTAAAACCCTAAAACCCTAAACCCTGAAGCCCTAAACCTCAGACCCTTAAACCCCTAAAGCCCCAAAACCCTAAACTCTAAACCCTAAACCCAACTTTTGAGTTATATCTGTGGCATGTGGACATCCTGAACCCCAAGCCCTGACCCTCAAGTCGAACTCAGCCAGAAATGTAAAGGCTATATGTCCTTAGGGTTCCTGCTGTGATGTGGGAGACTGATTAAGAAACCTTGGGCCTTTGCTAGGGTTCTTTACATGAACCATACTATTTGGGGGTTATAGGCCCGGGGTTTCTTACTCAGGTTCCTACATCAGGTAAGGTATCATATACCCTCAAAGTCCTGTTCTAACAGTTAAGGCCCGCGAACTTAAGTTGCTCCTTAAGCCCCACACCACAGTCCATGTCCATGAAGCACCCTGAAGTCGAGAAAAACATCGCTGAAGTTGTTGGGGCAGCAGAATATATACGACCCCTTAGAGGAACCCCTCTAGATCCCTTTAAAACCCCCTTGAAAGGAATCTATAAACATAAAAAGCAAACCAGCCGAGGACTGAAGACGCATCTGCAGAGCTTACTTGGCCTTCCACGATTTCGCCAGCGTCTGCTCTGCGAAGGGTCAATCATGCGCGACGATGCCGGGTCTCTGGGACTTTGCATTTATTAGGCTTTAGCCCTAGACCCTAAGCCCTGAACCCTAAACCCTAAACCGTAAACCCAAAACCCTAAACCCTAAACGGCCCTAAGCCCTGAACCCTTTTAGGGTTCAGGGTTTAGGGGATTTAGGGATTTAGGGGGTCTCTGGGACTCTTTGAGGTTTATACCGGGCTTCGGGCTTAGAAGGGACTAGGGTCTCTGCAACATCTTTGCATGCTTGAGCGTTGCTGTCTTGTGTTCGGAGCCTCGGGCTTTCGAGCTGCTAGGGTTTAGGGTTTAGGGTTTAGGGTTTAGGGTTTAGGGTTTAGGGTTTGTTTTAAGTTGGGCCTGGGTCGTAGCCCATTCTTGAAGCAGCATTGGTCAAGGTGGACGGTTTGCAAGTTTTCAAACCCTAAACCAGCAAAACCTAAACCCTAAACCCACAAACCCGAAACCCTAACCTAGCCTGCGTCAGTGTTGCACATAAAAGCATCTTCCATTTCTAGGGTCCCCGAACTTCCAGATCCCGCCAGAAGAAGCCCAGGTTGTACGTGCCGCTGTGTTTGCAGCTGGTGCTTCTAAACTACTGCAAGCCGGATGCCCCCCGTCTGGCGGAATTCAAGACCGCGGTGGAGACTGACAATGTGCCAAGGCTCAACAATGAGGCTAAGCATAATTTAAGAGTCTGAACAATGAGAATTGGGTTCCGGTGGTGAGTGAACATTTTAAGGAACATGCAGGTCATAAGGAGTCAGTAGTCAGTAGTGTTCGAAATTGTTCAGGCGTGCGATGCGTCTGGATCCTTCGAGTCTAGCACGTACTCAAAACTCCGTAGGACACCTTTGAAGACGGAAGTTGACCCTAAACCCTAAACCCTAAACCCTAAACCCTAAACCCCAAACGGGGGAAACCCTCAAGTCAGGTACAGATTGTGGAGTTCTTCTTGCAGCTACCTGTGGATCCTAACCTGCTGATTGATCGCGGACGGCCGGGTCTTGGGGTGGCCGCCAGCAATGGAAGCTTGAGAACTGCGAAGCTTCTCTTGGAGGCCCCGGATTTCGGGGGCTCGGTTTACATTTGAAGTTATGTTATGCCGCTGCAGACTCCAAGTACAGCGTCCGAACACTGCATAGACCAGACAAGGGCTTGGACAGACATTTTCTATGAGACCTGAGGCAGTCTGCCATGCCTGTCCCTTCAGGCCTTCGCCGAGGTAGACCGGACTGACACCAACGGTGCCACGCCACTGGATGCAGCCTGCAGCAGCGGGCATGTGGATGTGGCACGCCTGCTGGCACCCTCGGCCCAAAGCATAGGATGTCATTCTGAGAGCCAAGAAGACCCTGAAGCTATACAGACACTAAGTCACGAAGTGCTTAAACCTCGACAACATACTGTTTTGGTTCGAGGGGCTACACAACATTCTGAGACTGCCAACCGTAACCACTAATCAACTGAAAGCCCTATGATCCCCGAAACACTAAACCCCCAACCCCAAGACGCGGCTCTAAGGTAGATTCGGGGGCTGACAAAGACGCGGCGCAGCGCGGCGGCGCAACGCCGTTGCACTCCGCTTGTCGGAGCAACAGGCTCCTCAGTGGATACTTAGAGGATCATGGGACTTAGTAAGTAGGTTATAATTGGGGTTATAAGTCCCCTAAGTGGGGTTATCCTAATTATATCCTACTTATAACCTTACTTACTAAGTCCCATGAGCCTTTAAGTAAGGGATAAGTGTTTAGGGTTTATAGGGTTGCGGGTTTATTGTTTATAATTGGGGTTTAGGGTTTAGGTTTCAGGGTTTAGGGTTTACGGTAGAGTAGTGGTACCTAACGAGTCCATACCGCGATGGGAGATACTTAATGTAGATACCCTAGATTAACTTTATAGGTAATTAGGACCCTTTGGGGCAGTACAGTAGATAACGTTTAGCTTTGTTGAGGTATTATCATTGGCTGTGTACGGGGTTCTATAGGTGTTTTATGAGGTTTCGTAGCAGAAGTAGTAGTAGTAGTAGTAGTAGTAGTAGTAGCAGCGGCAGCAGTAGCAGCAGCAGCAGCAGTTGCCGTTGCCGTTGCCGTTGCCGTAGCAGTAGCAGTAGCAGTAGCAGTAGCAGTAGCAGTAGCAGTAGCGCGTGGTGGTGGTGGTGGCGGTGGTGGTGGTGGTAGTAGTAGTAGTAGCAGGTGGTAACCTATAACCTTCTGGAGGTACCACAATCCTGCTTCATTGGGACGATGTATGTACGTTTTGTGGCTGGGGTTATAGCACACCGTCATGCCAGTGATCGGTGCAAGGGCTTGCAGAGGCTTTTGCTAGTGACGATCCCTTCAGATTCAGGCGTTTAGGGTGTGGCCTTCCGAATGTGCTGAGTGGGGATTGTCACACTCTTATAAGTAGGTTCGATTGCATATGGAGCAGTTTCCGGCACGCTCCTAAACCCTAAACCTTAAACCTTCAGTTAGAGTTTAGAGTTTATTGTTTACGAGGTGTCGGCCTATTATCTCTCCTAAGTCTGACAGCCTGCAGATCTCCCAGGAGAAGGAAAAGTTCGAAGCCTGAAAGGCATTTTCTCGACAGAAGTTTGCACAGTGTAGGAGCACAGGGCCTAAATAATCACCTGTACTTTTTTTTGGCGGTTCCTGGTCATATTTATAGTTAGATGCGCACCAAAACCTTATTCTAATTATGAAGGCCCCTATAGCACCTAAAGCTTGAGCGTGTCCTGGACTGGACTCTTCGCAGTGATCCAAATCGGTATCTACCAAGAGGCTCCATGGTGGTTCCTTTGGGATTACCTTCTAGGATCCTAAGTATAGATCACAAAACGGAACTACAATGTAGCCTATGGGTAGACCTTTAACTCCCCGGTAAAACATGCAGACAAACCAATGAAATCGATAGCGTGGCCGGCACCCTAAACCCTCAGCCCTAAAACCCTAAAAACAAATCCTGGGTACCGGCTCATTCAACAGTCAAGGATCGAGATCGTGCGCTTCCTTGTCGAGGCTGCTTGCCCTGGTGCCGAAATCTGGGTTTAGGATCTAGGGTGTGTTTCCACCCAGATGGAAAGCCTTTGACATGGACTATTTCTTCGCCTTAAACTGTAAACGCATGCAAGGTTCCTTTGTCGCGGTTGAAGTTTGAGTGACCACCTCGCGACAAAGCACACTCTTGGTTCGGTTTTCGCACTTGCACAGCAAGCCAAACCCCAAGCTCCCACTGTCTTGATTTATAGCTTTGCCTTAGCCTCCAGAACTGAGAGCTTCGGTGTGCGCATATTTGCGTTTTTGTTGTGCTCGTGTGCATATGTGCTTTCTTGTTGTGTTTGTGTGCGTCCGTACATATATGCACCGTTGAGGGTTGGAGGGCTTGAGGTTCCATCTAAGCCTACGTAGACGTAGTCCTTGTCTGTGCAACTACGAATTCTTATAGGGCAGTGCCACCAGCGTGATGTCCAGGTTGGTGCCAATACGGGTAAGGCGGAGGCACCGGGCAGCAGTCATCAGTTGCAATGGGGTTCTGGCTGAGGATTTCGGTGTGTGTGTGTGTGAGAGAGAGTGTGTGTGTGTGTGTGTGTTTGCCGCTTCCGTTTGCTTTGGGGAGTTGCCTGATGGGAATCTTCGGAGGGTTGCAGGTTCAGACATGCACGGTTGGGGCGTGGAAAGTTTGTGGTTAAAGAGATATGGAGACACAGAGACACCAGGGCTGTCTTGAGTGTATTCTTTGCGGGAGAGTCTTCTGTCATGAGAACGTCGTGAAGAGATGTCCAAAGCAAGACATTCACCGCACCTTGTCGCAGATTCTGATTAAGCCTTCATCGCTGGAAGCCTGTCGTAGTCCGTGCAAGGCCTCCCTAGCCGCAGGCTAGTTCAAACCCGGAACTGCGAACTCGGGTGCTTATCCCAAGAACCCTATCGAGGAAAGTCAGCACCCTGTGCCGCAAGGCGAAAACAGGGGCCAAAAACGCACCCAACCACAACAATCCCATATTTGGGAGTATAAGGCCGCATTGAATCATGAATGAAAACCCGGCTGTGTGAAACCTGAATCCCGAATTAGATCCGCACAAGCGGTATTGTGTGTCTAGACCCTAAATCGCCACTGGCCAGGCCAACCACGCAACGCCTTTGCACGTGGCTGCCGTCTTGGGCCATGTTGATGTGGCACAGCTCCTCCTCGAGGACACTAGTAACGTCCGAGACTCTATGGTTTTTGTAGGTTTTGTGCAGTTTTATACGATTTACGGGTCCTGCAGGAATTAGAGGATTAATTGGGTTTGAAGGTTTCGGCGCGTGGTTTAGGGTGGGCTTTGGGAATTTTGAGACTGGCCCCTGTCTTCGGTTGTTGGGGTTTAGGGTTAGGGTTTAGGTGTTATAGGGCCTCTAGGGTTTATAGGGTTTCAGGTTTAGGTTCTGTTGTTGAGGAGTTTCTGACGGGCTCTTGAACTGCTTTTTTTTTGCAGAAGTCAGGTAACCGAATTATAGTCCCAGGCTTAAACAGCCCTGGCAGTTTCCGGTTCCTACGAAAGCCGAAGCAACTAGTTGATGCCAGCTGTGGTATGGCAGACAGACTATATGCTGGAAGAAAAAACGTAGACTGATCGGTTTCTATTATCAGCGTGTTTAATGTTTCCTACTATTTGCTTAAGAACCCCCAAAAAATAAAAAATATATTCCTTATGGTGGTAATATAGGGATTATATTTTTTGTTTTTTGGGGGTTTCTTAAGCAAATAATAGTTTCGATAGTAAACATCAATCTTCTTCTTAGTTCTCATACTTCATACTAATCGTTAGCTTAAAATTCCGAATGCAGTGTGTGACCCGAAGCCCCCAAGAGCCCAAATCTAGACGACCCACTCTTTGTCCCTGTTCTCTTCGCAGGCCAATGCAGACCAAGACAACGCCTCGGCACCCCGTTTGGAACGTCAGGGTCTAATAAAGGTTCGGGGTGTAGGGTGTAGGGTGTTTCCGAGTGTGTGTGGTTGCCAGTATTTATTATTCATTGTGGTTCCTTATTATGATTGTTGCATAGTGTGCCCCCAAAGGACCCTCGACCCGGTTCTGGCTATTTACGGCCCCTGCAGTATGGCTCCGGGCTAGCAAGGGTTCGAGTTCACGCGTTTACGTTCCAGTTTTGGCGCCTGAAGGGATGAAAGCTCAAGTGTTTTCCTTGGCAAGGCATCTTGTATGGGTCCATGTACCCAAATCGTATATGGTGTGGGCCCAAAGTACCTATAGAGAGAGTACTTTCAGGCCAATGTTTTACACTATATGAGTGCATGGGCCCTTTGGGATTACCATGGATATCCATAGAAAACTGGGCTGTGGTCTCCAATAGCTGGTACTTGTTATGCGCTGGCGCCTGCATTATTCTGCGTTGGCGGTTGCTCCTCTAGGATTTTGATCTTTCGCGATGCCACCCACCTCGATGCAAGCCTCGCCTAAGAACCTCAAACTCCCTTATATCCTAAATTGGGTTTCGGACGTAGGGTCCTTGGCCCGATGCAAATATCGATCCCAGGCAACAGGCATCACAGCTTTACACCTGGCATGCCGACTTGGACATCTGGAGTTCGTGCACTTGCACCTCGGCCTCGAATGCCCTACAGTAGGAGCCCTAGTAATTGGAGCAGGGGTTGTGGCTATGTTATTGTATCAACTCTAGACGGACGGGAACAAGGCGATACTGTTGAGCAAAAGTTGCTCTGTCAGTTCTATCGTTATATGACCTTTAAGAGGATACTATGAATCTCCACAGTGTCGTTCTATAGTTATATGACCTTTAAGGGGGTACTATGGATCTCCACAGTGTCTACAGTAGAGTCCACAGAAAATCCGACCCCATGTCGCTATATCTCGTCCGTGGGAAACCTGAGGCCATCCCGGTGGTTCAGGGCTTAAATTAAGATAGGGCGGTTCAGGGCTCAGGGTTAGAGATTTTTAGTTTGGAGTTAGGGTTTATATAGGGCTTCGGGTTCAGAGATTAGAGTTTGGAGTTAGGGTTTAGGGCTTTGGGTTCAGGGTCTAGGGTTTAGAGTGTAAGGTTAAGGGTTTAGGAGGGGTCCTAGCACCTATTCGTCTCGTATGTGTTCGCCCTGGGTTTCTCCCATACAACAAGCCCTTCCAAAAGCCTGGTTTGGGCGAAGCCCTAAGTTGGGTCGAGGGTTTAAGGGTTGAGGGTTTATTTATGTTGTAAGGTTAGTTTTCCTTCCGGCACTCTTTATTCAGACTCATTCCTGAGTCAGGACGCCGAAATTTGGGAGCGAGGTTGATGAATCGGGGTCTTATCCTAAACCCCTCAAGCCGCAAACTGTAAAGTCGGAAACCCCTAAACCCTAAACCTCTAAAACCCTACAAACCTCGACATTACAAGTCTCCCAGACGTCGCGCGGGCTTTCGTGTCTACTTACAGGCTCATGGGACTTAGTAAGTAAGGTTATAAGTAGGATATAATTAGGATAACCCCACTTAGGGGACTTATAACCCCAATTATAACCTACTTACTAAGTCCCCTGATCCTCTAAGTAGGGGAGCGGGCCGCACCCCCGCTGGCCGATGGGGCCCGCAGCTCGTGGAACCTCAAAGCACACAGGGGCTGAACTAAACCCCTAACCCCCAAGCTCTACACCCCTAATTAAACCCTACACCCCTGTAGAGCCTTAACCCTAAGCTACCTGTAGTTCTGAGAGTTTAGAGTTCAGAGTTTTGGGTCTATTAATGGGGCTTTAAGTCTTGCTTAGGCTTGGGCCTGACGGATGGAGCTTTGAGTTGCGAGTGGGCTGAGTTCACGGTTTTCAGGGTAGAGGGGCTCAGGTCTTCAGGGCTTCACGAGACCGTCGGATCCCCTATAATTATTCATGGTCCTGCGTTCAGGGTGCTACGAGTTTCATAGAAGCCGCCAAATGGCGTAAGGGTTTAAGCCTTATAAGGCCTCCGAGTTCAAGAAACCCCGAAGCAGGGTTTTGGGTTTTAGGGCTCAGCGCAGACTTCCGGGTTTGGCCTTAAAGGGAACTCCAGAAAGTTGGAATATTGTTTCAGGGTAGGATACCCTATAACTTACCATAAAGGGTTTAGGATAATCATGTTCCAACTTTCTGGCTTTTACCTTAAAGGGATCCCTATAGACCCCGATCCCTCGTTCGGCTTAATTAAGCCCTAAACCTTAGACTCCTAAGCCCTGCAACCGAAATCTTTGTCATAGTTGGGGGAACATTTTACATGTTTATGTTTATGGTTACTTAAACCCAACAAGGGATAGGAATCATAAATTCTAATGCGCTCCCAACCATGAACTATCGAGATGAAGTCTACCTTTGAAAACCTTGCTGAAGGCTGCTTGATGCACGGGCCAGCCGAGACACCGCACAGAGGTCCGCTGATCGTCGAACTCTGTGAGCTGACACGCCCGTAAGGCGGTACCGTAGTATAGGGACCTAAAGACTTATCAACTCTCTTTTGAGGGTTCCTCATTATAACTATAGTATATATACTGTACCCCCAAAGCCCTTTTCTACTTAATAGTGCCCCTATGTTACTGCTGTGTTCGCTGGGGTTTCGGCCGAAGGCTAGGTGGTTTTGGATGCGTTGCTTCGGATCCATCAGGTTCTGAACGTCTCAAATGTTTCATCGAACTCGCTCAGCTAAAGGCCCCGAGGACGAAGGGGTTGTGAATGCAAGCGATCCGGAGCATCCACCTCCAGGTGATTAAGCTGTGGGTTTTTAGGGTTTAGTGAACATGAGTTAGACTTGAGGGAGACCCAAATGAGCGTTTACGCGTAGAGCAGGCTCTTACGCCCCCCGAGTGTCGTAATGCGCGGATTTCATGCATAGAGTGGGTTTAGGGTTTAGTTTAGGGTGATGAAGATCTTTCATGGACTGAGTTTGGGGGTTGGACATGTGTTCAGGGGGGCAACGCAAGAGTCCCTAAACTTCAGGATGTCAAGACTTACCATAACCTACCAACACCTACAAAAAGTAGCGTCCCTATGAATTCCATATTGGGGTTTATAATAGGAACCTACAAAAAAGTCGGTTGTGGTAGCTTAAGGTAAATCCTAAACCCCAACCCCCCCTAATCCCTAAAAACCGAACTACATCCCGGCCTGCTGCACCCTTCACCCTCTAAGCCGTGAAGCCCTTGAGCCCCAAGCCTCCTGCCCAAAAATCCTAATGCCCTCAAGAAAGACCTCAAACTTGACCGTACCAGTCCTACTGTATAAGCCGAATCAGCCCTCCTCTCTCTATCAACCCTATACTATACCGCAAGCCCGAACCCTAGAAGCCTCATGAGCCCTAAACCCCAAAGCACCGAAGCCCTACAAGCCTGAAGCCCTAAACACCAAAGCCGTAATCTGACCTTGAATTGCCCAAGCTGGCACTGCAGGAGTGGCACCACCCCTCTACACCTCGCTTGCAGGCAGCTTGGAGATAAGAGCAGTATCGATGAGTTCTGTTTGGCTGCATTGGGGGTTTAGGGTTTAGGGCTGGGGCTTTCGGGTTTGAAGTTTTGGTGCATGGGGCTTGATTGTTCAGGGCTTAGGATTTCGGGTGAATGGTGTTGAGGTTTGGAGTGTTAGGGTTCAGGAGTTGTGGAGAACGAGGGGCTTTAGACTTTAGCAAGAGGCTCTCCAAGTCAGGTACCGACGGGCTTAATACACCCCGAGACAGGCTTTCGATCCCTTCGGGCGGCAAGGCTAAGTGTTATAGTTACCAAGGTTCATATTCTTAAGCTCTGCCAAAACCTAATAAAAGCCTGAATGACGCGTTTGTGAGCGCCCGTGTGTAAGAGCTGACAGCACCGGGTCCTGCAGCACCTTTGGCCAACTCAAACAAGCCATAATGTGGGGTTGGGGCTGAGGGTTTGGGGGTTCGGAGAGTGGAAGACCTGAAGGCTTAGGGTTTAGGATTCAAAATTTTGTTCATCCAAAATCCCGAACCCTGGACACAGAGTCCTTGCACGTCCAGGTACGGGCAGCTCGCCGTGGTTCGATGTCTCGTCCATGCTCGGGCAAACCACAACAAGGTCGGTGAGGGTGAGACTTTTTGTGCGTTCTGCGTGCAGGTTCTGGGTTCGCTGTTACTTCTGAATTTGGATTTCGAAGGCATGAGTTTTGCTATGTTTTTTCGGCGAAGGCTTGCCAGTCTAACTATGTTCAAAAGCCACTGCAGCCCCGCATTATAGGCAGACAGCAATGGCGCCACACCTGTTGATGCGGCATCTGCGGCCGGCCACACAGAGATCGTGCGACTTGGTTGGGCTTCGGGTTTCGGGTCATGTAGACTCTTGATTATAAAAGAACCCCTTTCATTCAGGGCCTGAGAGTTAGGATCACTGTCATCTTCCTTACAGTGGGGTACAGTCGTCAGAACCCCATGTACTGTATTTCCAAAGCTTCCCAGAGGAGCTTCAGTCCACCCATTCAACCAGCCGACATCAGAGCCAAGACTTACTCGTCCAGCTCACCTCATCAAGTTTGTTTTTTTGGGGGTGTGGAGTTTGGGGTCTGCGGTTTAGGTTTAGGGTAATGGTTAACATGTACTATACTGGGTAGTAGCATCGAAGGTGTGGAAGATGAGTGTTCAACCACCGAACAGGTCTGCATCCGGTTGGAACTCTTTGAACCCTGAGCTCGAAACCACTAGATCCGAGCCATTGAACCCGAAGCCTTATGACCGCAAAATCCGAAGTAAGTCCCAGAAAGTTGGAACATGGATTTATTTTGCTGGGACTCCGCCATGACGGTCATAAGGAAAATGATGTTCCAACTTTCTGCCACCTTCAGACAATGTAGGGGCCTTTATTTCTGACAGGGTTTTGGGGGTCCTTTAAAGGGTCACTATAAGGGATACTATAAGGGTTCTATAATATCTAGGGGCCTTAATGATCAGAATATGGTTTTGGAGACCCCAAACCTGAAACCAGTGAAAGCCCTCAGGCCCAAACTGTCCTGAAATCCCGGGTCTCTGAACTCCTCCTAAATCCTCAAGAAGCTCGAACTCTTAAAGCCCTAAAGTCCAAAAATCTAACCTCTAAGACTCCAAATGGCCCAAAGTAGGTAGCATTTATGGACTTTAGAAGCCAAAGTAGGTACTATTAGTGTACTTGGAGTCCCAGGGAACCTCTAAATCTGCAAGGTCAGAACTTCTCGCACTGAACGTCAAGGAGGAGCAGGCTCGCGACTCCCTTTTCTTTTTTTTTTGGGGGGGGGATGTTGAGGTTGTGAGGCATTTTAGGGTGTTTTGGATGTTTAGGTATTGAGCCATTTTAGTTCGGGTTTTTTGGAGGTTGAGGGTTTGAGCCATTAGGGTTTTTTAGGATTTTTGGTTTTGGGGGGTTAGGGTTTTGGGGTTAGGGTTTTTGAATCATGGGGAAGAGTTCAGGGGGTTTTGATCTGGTCCTGCGGGTTTCCTGTTTAGGCTTCATTCCCATGAGGGTTGAAGGTTTCCGTGCTTAGGGGACGTAAACCTAGATCCCAAGCCCCACCTGGAACCTAAACTCTATACCCCCAAACCTCCGAAACCCTATAAAGCCCTAAAAAGTAAACCCAGCCAAGCACGAAGCCTTAAACTCGCAACCCTGAGCCCAGACTAAACCCATCTAAACCCTAAAGCTTAAACCTTAAACCCTCATCCTTCGACGGGCCCTGGAAGCCCTACAAGCCCCATCTCAACCCTAAACTCCGAGAGGCCCGACGTCGACCATCGAAGCCGGAGACGCGAAGCCGAACCTCCCCTGCCGAGTATGGCTACGGGCCCGTGATGCGCTGGCTGGTAGAGGTAGGGCGCAAGAATAGATTGCTGAAGGGTACTATATGGGGGGTTGTCAATATCATGGTCCCTTTTTGGGTCCTTATTATAATACGGCACCTAATATTTAGGGTACCCCAAAAGGGACCTTAATTTTGACAACCACCCATATGGGGGTTCTAAAGTCGGATTTCCTGTGAGGGTTCCTTTAAACCTTTCAGATTGGGTCAGTGAGTCCCAGAACCCGAGCTGAGCTAGACTTGAAAGCAGATGCGCCCGCTTCGCAGCCCACAAGAGTTCTTCGACCCTGGGGTTTGAGCATGAAGATGGCAACCATGTCTGCTATGTCGGTAGTTCGGGAAAAAGGAAACCCCTTTAGGTCCCCAATACTACTACGGCACCCCTGTGAAAAGACCCCTGGTCTAGAGAATCACATATCTGGATCCGAAGGTTGGTGTCGATCAGGGAAATGCACGGCGTTCCTTGGACGGTTTAGGGTTTAGAGAGGCCTGCGATGGGTTTGTGGGGGGGGGGGGGGGGGGGCGGGGTGTTCTGGGACTTCGGAAAGAGTTTGGGCGTGCGACTGTGGTTGGTCAGAGTGCTTCATGTGCCAGTAATCTGATCTTGACAGATGGGTAGGGAGCGGGGGAGCCCTAAACCCCACCTCAACCCAGAAAGGCCTATAAAACCACCCTAAACCCCAGAACCCTAAGCCCTACAACTAAAGCCTTAAACTCTAAAACCCTAAAAACCTAAACCCCAAACTCTCAACCCAGGCGGCGTGGAGTGCAGCGAGTTTCAGCTTTCTCTGTGCTGCTCAGGTTCCATCCCGCGCAGGCCCGGTTCCCCGATGCCGCTAAACCTGATGCGCCGAGTACGCGTATGATCGAGCCCGGAGAGTCACAGGGTTCAGGGTTTAGGGTTTAATGTAGGGTATAGGGTTTAAGTTAGAAACCTCAAGAAGCCGTGGGATAATTCGGGTAGCTAAGGGGTTTGGGCATGATTTAGGGCTGAACGGCTCTTAGCCTTCACCTAGCTTCCGAGAAACATTTGATGGTTTGCTGCTGGTGTGCTGACCCCGCATGCTACGATTTCCAGGACCAGGACCATATAGTGCTGGCAAGAACAACACGGCCTATGTGTCATTTCTTCAGGTACAACTAGAGATACGCAGAACAGTTGTAAGAAGTATGTGGACACGATTACTTATACATTTGTTTCTATGCAATGCAGGTGCGACTGTCAGCGCTGCGCTCATATCAACAAAACGCAAAACAGCAAGCACCAACAATAGCTTGGAGACAGTGATCAATACGAGTATTGCAACTAGGCGTCATTGCGTGGACAGGACGCATGGTACTACACAAACGAGAATACTACCACTACTAAGTTGCCAGGGAGCACAAAGACAGCTCATCTCACTCATGGTGCTGGCAAGACTGCTAAGGCTCACACCAGCAAACCGGCAAAACACCTGCACATGGACTGATAATGCTCATAACGCACAGCCACAACATTCCAACGACCGCGAAGACCACATTTCGACTTTCAGGGAGGGTTTCGTCAGGCTTTGAATGAAGTAAAGCATCACTGGCCAAAATGGTCACAGAGGTTTCAGAGTGGCTCAGATGTAGGCCTGTTCCAAGGCTGAACAGGTTTGTTTCATCAGGATTTGCCTTTCATGAGAGACTAACATGGAACCTGGAATGGTGGGGTCCATGTTTATATAGGGCCCGGGATATTTCGTAATTCCACCCCTTAGCGCTCCTCAAGATAGCTACCTTCTAGGGTGCATTGTAAATCCCTGTTATCAAGGCATCCTCCAGCAAAGGGTGCTAGATGGGAGTGTCAGAAAGTAAGGAACCCGATCATGACTCCAAACAGATAGGGTCCTTGACACGGGGGACCTCCCATATCGGGCTCCATGTCACTCTCAAAGAGGGTGCTATCTCCTGGTTTCTTGTTCCAGGCGGCCCAAGCAACCTAGGAAAGCTGACCATCCCACAGCCTCCTAGACCCCAAGGTTTAGGGTTGGGGGGTGTATAGGGTTTAGGATTAAAGTTTAGTCTTGGCTTAACCCATCCATGCATGGACTGCAACCGGACACCTCTTGCATGTAGTCATCCGTTCCTTGCAGTGGACTTGGGACGCTTGCCTTATAGGTCCAACTTTCACCCTGAATATGGCACCTCCGATTTCACAGCCGAGTGGAGACAAAGATCATGGTTTCGACAGGTTTACTTGGACTTGAGGTCTGCGGGACTTCATATCCGAGGCTTGTACACTTTTGGGTCTTTTTTGCTCCATCTTCTCTTGGGCTCATTCGTTTTGTCACCAGTCTCGCATTTTATTCATTGGCCCATGATCGGGCCGAGGAACCCCTGGGCGGTTGGGGCTTCAGCCAGATTGAACAAAGCTTCCCAGGCCTGCAGATCTTCCAAGGGTAAAAGGAGGGACCCTTAAAAAGGACTCCTAGGTATATACCCTTAATATAACTATTCTATAGCCATTAAGGGTCCCGCTTTTTCCCCTTTGAGATCTGGAAGGCGGAAGAAAATCTCAATCGCGCTCAGCCGTTAGGCCCGCATAAGTAGACTAGGGTTCTCTTAAAACGGTCCTGCAAGGGCTACTATGAGGGATACTACAAGGGTACCATAATGTAGGGGCCGTATTAGTTAGGATAGGGTTTGGGGGTATATGTTACTTAATGTCCGACCGGCCATTTTCTTAAAACTATAAGTTGCACTGAATAAGCCACTGTGCCACCGCGGCAGCCGTGGAACCGTTGGGCAACCTCGCACGGCCCTCCGGAAGCACCCCTCAGATCCCTCTAGCAGTAAAGTAAGTACCCGCTTCAAATAACAAGACAGGAACATCCTTGAAAAGATACTTTGACTAAGAAACAACAGCCCTACTGAGGCGGACCAATATAAGCAACTCTCCTTTCTCCCAAAGCCCTATAAGCCTAAAGCCCTGAACCCTTAACCCTGAAAACGTAAAGCCCTACTATTACGATAGGGGCCTGAATAATTATCAATACCATTTTGGGGGTTCCTTATTCTACTTACAGCATAATGGGCCCCAGAACCCTGCTCGGCGCCTATATTAAAGCCCTAAACCCAAAACCATGGTAGAGGTGAACAATGATAAGCAAGCAACTCCTTGTTTTCTACACTGTTCCTCCACGTAAGACCCTACATTGAACACGGTCCCTGGTGGAGACCCCTAAACACTACAAACCCTAAGCCGTAAACGCTTAAACACTGTCCTAAACCCTAAGCCCTAAACCCGAAACCCTTAACAACCTTCAGCCCTAATACCGAGATTGCTTAAGCCCTGAACCCGAAACCTCATGCCCTAAACCAGAAACCTTAAGCCCTAAAGCCTAAGCCCTGGTAGAGGCGGACTGCAAGTCCGGGGGGCCGAGCCCCGAGTTTGCGCGCTCGCAGTGGTCGCTGCTGGAAGCCCAGGGGGGATCCTAGTAATCCCTAGGAGTTTCTTTAAGGGTTCCCTTAATTATTGTTTTAGGGTTCCTTAAAGGGATCTATAGGGTATAAGGTTTAGGGTTTACTTGGAGGATCATGGGAGTTATCAAGTAAGGCTCCTTAAAGGGATGCTTACAAGGTTCTTTCGAGTAGGGTCTACTTGGAGGATCAGGGGACTTAGTATCGTAAGGTTCCTTACAGGATTCCTTTTAATAGGGGTTATTAAAGGGATCTCTAGCGTTTAGAGGGGACTTGGTAAAGTGAGGCTCCTCAAAGGGATCCTTAAAAGGATCTACAGGGTTTAGGGCTAGGGTTTGGGCCTACTTGGAGGATCATGCGACTTAGTAAGTAAGGTCTCAAGTACCTTCTGAAGTCGCAATTAATTATAATTACTATAGTTACCTTATTCATTACTAAGTCCCCTGATCCTCCAGGTAAGTGTCCATGTACTCTACCGTTTTGGAGGACCTAATTCCAAAAAGACTTTAAGACTACCAGTAACATAGTGGCAAACATATAATGAGGATTAGCCATCGTAGCTGAATGAGTACACTTTACACCTTTTGCAAACAAATAGAGTTGCACGTTTAGGGGAATTTTGGGATAACAAGAGGACTGATCTGAATGTTTAAGCTTTTTGGAGCTGATGAGCGCAGCAACTGGGCGAACGTTGAGTGATGTAGGGGTTTTGATTGTAGAGGGTACGGCTGAGGGGTGCAAGCTTCTCGAGGTTTGGGTTTAGTTCAAAGCTGGGGCTAGTTTGCGGTTCAACCATTGTCGTTCCTTTTTTTGGTTTAGCCAATTATATATTAGTGATCCTATAAGGTAACCCCAAAAAGGAACTACAATGGAGACAATAGGTAGGGTTGAGGGTGTAAGGCTTGAGTGTTGGATTTTGAGGAGTTCTGGGTTCAGCGGATTTGAGAAGGAATATACCTTAAATTATATTAAGATCCCTAATATAATTTAAGGTATATTTCTTAATTAAGGGGTCTAGGAGTTTAGTTACGGCCTTGTTTGGGGTTTAGGGTTTAGGCTTTAGGGTTGTATGTTTGGGATCCAAGTTTCGCCAGTTCCCCGTATTTGGGTTGCATGGACGCAGAGCGGTTAGGTTTTTGCGGCTTGTGACTTTGGGAGCTGTCTAACCCCTAAACACCAAACTGTAGGCATTCTAGGCCCCTGACTAAAGACCAGGCAGTTGCACTGTGCTCCGAAACTGAGACAATGCAGCTCATACAGGGGTCAGAATAAGTAGGAAGACTCTCCCCTTATCGACCCATCATAGTCCGCAAGTTAACCATAATGCCGTAATACTGATATTCCCCAATTCGCATTCGAACTAGCAAGGCCCGTGAATTGCCAGAACCCCTCAGCAAGCCTTCAAAATATTCGACAAGAAGCCTACACCAAAAAGCATCAATGCCCCTCTGTCATGATTTGGGCAGTGAAAGCTGGGACCACCGTCTCAGTCTTTACTTTAGGGGCCTTCGTCATTAAATTAGGGTTTTAGGGTGCGCTCTATTATTCTTGTAACACGGAACCCAACTATTTTTTGTGTGATACGGAACCCAAAGGAGTACTGGTAGTAATTCTCCAGGCCTGTACAATTCCGATCTTGAAGCATAGTTTGCCAGCATCAAACGCCAGATCTTGACATCTTTCGATTCTGGCAGCACTATACTTTGAGGACCATGCGACTTAGTAAGTATAGGTTCTAACTGGGGTTATAAATAAGTCCGCTACGTGGGGCTATCCTAATTTTAACCTACTTGCAACCCTGCCACGAGTTTTTAAGCGGGGTTGATTCAACTTGTGGCCTAAAGCCTGAACATAGGGACCCGAAAAAGCACATAAGCATAAGCATTTTATAGGGATATCCCTATCCTAATTTTTGCTTATGTGGTTTTGGGGGGAGAACACTACGGAGTCCTTGAACCAAAAGCAGCTGGAGGCTTCTGTTGCGGAACTCGCGCAACGTAACCATCCGCGGTCGTGGAGGCGCTGGTATCGGGTTTTTGCGTGCTAGGGATGGATTTCCCTGCTACTGCTGCTGCTGCTGCTGTTCCTGTTCCCGCTGCTTCTAATTAAGGATTATGATTGCCGCCAGTTGGTATCGCTGCAACGAGGAGAAGCCCACTAATGCTGGCAGCAAGCGAAGAGTTAGCACCATTCGAAGCTGCCTCTGCATCTTTGACATCCTCATCATCGTCATCAGACTCTTCACCAGGGTCATCATCATCATCAACATCATCATGATCACCATGATCATAATCATCATGAGCACCGTTATCACCGTCATCATCATCATGATCATCATCCTCATCATCATCATCATGATCATCATCATCAAAATCATCATCACCATCCTATTTTTGTATTTAGCATAGTTTGGCATGGTTTATTGTTTATTGGTAGTGTTAGTTTTCATCCTCATTCTCATCCTCATCCTCAGCGTCGGCGGCAGCAGCACAGCATCGTCAGCATCATCCTGGCCGTCATCATCAACATCATCATCAACATCACTAACAATCCAACCCTGCGATTTACGTGAAGCTCGATTCTTTGCTCGTGTTCGCTCGACAGCAGTCAACAATTTGTCCCCAAACTCGACAGCTGGCTGAAGGCATCCGTGGCAGTGGCGACAGCTTCTGGCGCATCCGGAACACGCAGCCGCAGGCGTGATGTGGGAAGCTGCATATGTTTGTATGCATGGCACGGCTGTCTTGTGTTTCGTTTCAGCAATTTTCGTTGAGAGTTTTCAGCATCCACGATTTTGGCCTTTAGATGTTGACTTCGATGCTGCAAGTTTAGTTCAGATTCTTACCTGGAGCGTTTCATGGGCCCCAAACCTGGGGCTTTCAAGCCTCGAAAACGGTTTACGAGCTTCCTTAAACCCTAAACCCACTACTTTTAAATTGCTCTTTGGATCAGTTCCAGGTTCCAGCCTTTGAGGGCTTCTGCTACAGAAGCCTTCTGGTGGCGTGATGAGAGTTTATGGCTGCCCGGAGAGCCCAATACCCCTTAATTAAGCAAGATCCCTTAAATTCTAAGGGGCTTCGTATCATGATTTCAGCTATATTCCTTAATCAAGGGGTATTGGGCTCGCTGGGTATGAGAGTTTACGGCTTATGCTTCCGATCATTTCGGCTCTGTGAGTCGGGATAGTTTAACGTTTAACCACCGACAAGAACGCAGCGTTAGGGTTTGGGAGGAAAACTACAAAATCATCGGTTCCCACAGCGTCCTCTTCTGACGGGTTGAGGGTTTAAGGTTTAGGATCATTCTTGGGTCTTCAGAGCATTTGCTGTGTTTCTGGTGGTTGTGGCTGACAGGCTGCACAGTCTGCAGGTCGGGAGGAAGCAGTCGGGGAAGCCTTGGATCTTACAGTAACTACTACAGGGCACTATTGGGGCCGAAGTAATTACCAACACTATTTTGGTGGTTCCTGATTATAAATATAGTTTAGTGGGCATCAAAACCCGATTCTAACTATGTAGGCCCCGACCTTGCGCCCTACACACCGAATACCTCGACTCCTAAGCCCCTTCGTCCAAACGGACATGTAAGACTGTGAGACTCTTAGACAGATTTCTCCAACCGAAATCGGTTAGTACAGCGTAGTGTGCGTAGGGTTTCACCTCTGTCTCACCGCACGTTTAGGCTCAAGGTAGCTTAGTTTTTTAGGTAGCCCGGGGCTCCGCAAAGCGTGATGGTGTGGGTTCCCGCGAGGGCCATAGCAGGCGCTGCCCTGCTTACGGCCAGTACGCTGGAGAAGTCTTTTAACTCCACTACCACCACAACCCCGTTCCCGGCGATAGAGGAACCGAGTGAAGTCCCTGACCTTTGGGGGGTCCGAGGACTGATTTCGGTCCCGGACCTGTCCTGGCTACCCTTCGTGGGAGCATGGATGGAGGCCGAGGAACCAGAGCTCATCGGTACCACTTCCACACCGGAGGAACCTAGCGGTTGGGAAAGCTGGAAAGCGTTTCTCTGGGACCTTATGGTCCAGAGAGTCCTTCCGATATGGGACCTTTGCAAGGTGTATGCACAGCAATATTGTGGCCCGTTATGCTCATCAATTCTATTTGCGGTTCGCTGGACGTACTGGCTCATGGTTGGAATAGTTGGGGTATTCCTGCTGCAGCTGGGTGTCTGGACGTACACCTGGGTTGTCTTCCCAATCGTTGTGCACTCCAGAGCATTGGTCCGGTACTTCCGGGGAGACGCGCCCTGGAGTGAGGTCTCGCGACTTTTGGGAGAAAGGCCATTCAGGCCTAACTGGAAAGGTCCATGTGCTGGAGAACCGTGGTCCGTTGCATACGTGCAATCAGAGGTTAGAGGCAGGGGCCTCAATCGTCTACCGCACGATCTTCTGATTACGGATGGTACAGCGATTGCCAGACTCCGCCACGGGACCGTACGGGGCCGGACCAACCGGCACGGCTTCATTTGTGCGTGCGATGAGGTTAAGGCCTCATCCCACCGATACTTCCGGAACCTTATCGAAGCCTCAGAGTGTCGGATCCACCTGTGCGCCCATCAACCATGTACCGCGGAAGGAGAACCGGCAATTCACGTGGGCACCAGCGCGGTGGTACCACAAGTCCAGGAGCTGGACCTTCAGGATTTGGCCGGCAGGGGACCTTGGGCCCGGTGCGCCATTCTCACTTGGTTCTTCGGGCTTCTGCGGTGCTCTTGCTTCCGGCAAACCACAAGGCGTATAGGTAAGTTGATCTGTGGAACTTTGTGTGGCATCTGCTGCCGAAGGAGCCCGAGGCGCGGTTCGCGCCCAGGCGCCGAGGGGGCAGGCCCCAGGCATGAAGACTCAGAGACCGAGTCTGAAGCAGAAGAAGGAAACACATGTCAGGCTAATCAGGTGGGCATGGACCTCGGTACTCCCAATGCCAAGCCCTTGGCGACGGAACCCTGTAGGGACTTAGCCCGACATCAGCCAGAGCCCCTCCTGAAGGCAGATGAGATTGTCAGTTGCCAGGAAGGCCTCAAGAAGCTCATAGATGGCACCCACGCGGTCGCCCTTTGCGACTATCACCGGGCCATTTATCAAGCGTCCCTGAAAGGAAGAACCTGCTCAGTGGAAGGGTGCCTGCAAACACCATACCACACCAAGGGTGGAGTCAAGCTCTGCAGGCTCCATGGAGCCAAGGAGGAGCGGAAGCCTAAGATCTCGCCTGAGCCCAAGCCAGCGGACCCTTCCGTAACTTCCAGGGTTCAACCTCCCCAGGAAAGCGACAGCGCGCCTGCGCCACCCTCGATTCTTTTGCCTAGTGCCTCCCAACTCCTCCCGGGAGTTGTCCAGAGGATGGTGTCAGGAGAGACTCTGGACGAGGCCCTCGATGGGGCTTATACCGAGACCACTCAGCAGTCCCTCTCACTGGGAGTCGAGCGCTCCAAACCCTCGAAGACCTCAGGGTCGAGGCTAGAAGGTGTCTGGACGGCTCTCAGCCGGGCAGCAACCCGGATGTGCTGCAAGTCCTGAGACTGATCTGTGGCGACTCTCAAGCTTTGCCGGATCGAACACCGGACATGAAGCAGCTGCTTCAGATGCCACACAACGCGTACAGTTCCGACGGTAAAGGGAATGTTCCGTGGGGTGTTTCACCCCCGGAACCTGACCCTGCAGGACCAAGAGACCCAGGAGATGAAGTCCCGAGGACCGTTGCGTTCACAGATTTTTCCAGGGCAACCCAACCCGGACTTAGCAGCTCTTCTTCTTTAGCCCCGGCCTTCCTCCAAACCCCTGCTCTTCCTGCCGCACGGTATGGCGGCCCGTTTCCCCTGGGACCCGCCCCAGGAGCGGGAACGCCCGACAATGCAATGGGAGTTGAAGGAGATTTGGTGCAGGGCTTGATGAGGCGCAAGCAGGCTTCACTCGCTTCGACCGCTGTCCATCCACCCGATTGGTACCGAGCTGGTGCGTACACCGCTCCTCCACCGGCCTTTGCAGACGAAGCAACCAAGGCGTTGCAGGCCATTGCCAAAGCGGTTACCTCCAAAGATGAGGCCGCTTCGCAAGAGCGGGGAAAGCTCTCCTCCGTTGGGAAAGTAGAAGAGAGATGCTTGTACTTGGTTCGAGGCTGTGACTCTCTCACGGTCCCCTTGGGGGAAGCAACAGTGGGCAAGGAACTTTTCCACGCCCTCCGGAACACCGCTACCCAGGACCGCCCTTTGCTGAGAAGTCTTAAATTCCCCATTAACATTACCAACAGGTTCGCTTTTGGGGTCAGCGGTCTTTGCGTGGGCGGCAAAGGAAACATTCCGGAATATTCTCTCACCACGGGAGATTTCCCCGCGACTTCCGAAGCCGAGTTCGACAGCTACTCTGTCCCTGGCGATATCAAGCTGGAGAAAAAGCCTAGAGCTCCGGCCACTTTGACCTTGTGGTACAGAAACGCCCTCCGTCAATGCTGGGCCCTCGCCTGTATCTTCGGGGTACAACATTATGGAGGATGGGAGCGAGCCGCTAGCGGTCTCCTGCGGATGGCAGAGGAGACCGCCCATGCATGGCCGCTCCATCTCATCATTTCTACGTGGGATGAGCTCTGGAGCCGATTCATGGAAGAAGTTCGGGACATCGAACGCAAAGTTCGCCGAGAGATGGGAGAGGAGGCACCCTCCTTTGAGAGGTTAAAATTCTTCTGCACCGCACCCGGTGTGGACGGGAATCCCTGGTTGCGTCTCCCGCAGACCTTCGAATTGGAAGACCCTCTCGAATATTTCCAGACCGATGTCCTGCCTCGGCAGCGTCGGATCTTGGAAAGGACCTGCTGGCAGCTCGCCCTCAAAGGGCCTCAAGCGGGCCTCGCTGGGGGACGCGCCGGAGAGCAGGGCGACACGGGCCAGAGGACCGATACGGTCTCGGGCCCCAAGGTCGGGGCAAACACGTCCGCACCCGCGCTCCTTGGCAAACCTCTGAGCAACAAGGAGGTGCAGAGATCTATGGACCACAGGCCGAAGTGTCAGCGCACCGGCAAGTATTTCTGTTGGGACGCCATGTCGCGTCGAGGGTGCCATGCCCAGTCTTGTGCACACTCGCACGAGAAGCCCATTCCCGGGTGGCATTCTCTCGATTTCAGCGTCCAGATGCAGCTTCTTCGGCGGGGTGGCCACCTTGGCCAGCCCAAGATGTCTGGTGCAGCCGACGTTGATAAAGCGGTGGCCGTCCCGCGCAAGGCTCAAGCCGACAAAGTGTCTGCCGCTGTCGCGGAGGGAAAGGCAGCAAAGGCCAAAGCCAAGGCCGCCGCTGCCGCAGCTAAGGTTGGCGCTGCCAACTCTACGGCTGAGCCCAGTGACACCCGAGCTGGCTGGGCCCAACCCCCTCCTGAGCTAGGCAACTTCTTTGCCACAGACCTGGAGTCAGGCCTCGCAGAAGCCATGGCCGGCAGTGCTTTGGACTGGACAGCCAACCACTCTTCTCCACCGCTTCGAACCGTCTCTCTCCAACAGAGCACCGAGGCTACTCGAAAGCGGGAGGCCGACATGGCCAACGTGGAGTCTTCCGGTCTGGTCCCGGACGTCCCTCCTACGCTGGCCTGCTATTTGCGCAACCGGTTGCTGCATGTCCAAGGGCCACCCGGTCCCCAGCATGTGCAGCAAGCGCTAGACGACGCTGTGCTCAAGGGCGCCCCGGAGCTCGCTGTCGAAGCGGAGGCTTTCCTTGCCAAGGTAGGCGACTCACAAGCCACGCGGGCCACTCTTACCCGCACCTCTTGGGTTGCATCCAGCGATGCCCCAGGATCAGCCCAGTTGTCCTGGGGACCCCATACTTGGGACGTTCTGGACTACGGGGACACTCTGGCCGTCCCCGCAGAGCTGGAAGGTATTTTGGAGCCTCGCGACGAGCCACAACCGGACTGTGAGCCGCGTCAGTGCCTGCTGTTGCACGTGGCCGCTGCTTGCTTGTGGGCCCAAGCCCACGTTTGCCCCTCCTGGTCAGAGGTGCGAGCGGCTGCTGCGCCCTTGCGGGTGGAGCTCCATGGCCTCGCTTGTCAGGCAGCCGAGGCTTTGTCTTTCGAGCCCGGCAGCATGACACGAGCCGAGAGGGACCTGCGGGTCTTCATCCATGATCTCCTGTATCACGGTCACGACAAGGACTATCGGTGTCTTGCCGCTTTCCCGCCCAGTGCAGCTTCTCATTTGGCCATACAGGTTGTGCGACTGGATTCGTGGAAGCGTCCCACTGTTGAGCGTTTGGCCGGCGCTTCCGCGCCACTCAACTCCCCTCCTTTGGTCTGGCTCCTGGTCCATGAGGGTCATATGCGACTTTTGGTCCCCACTTCGGATGCCATGCCGGCTCCTGCTCGTAGCATCACCATGCACGGGTGGGATGTGCACCTCGAAGCAGCGTCAGTTGCTGGCGCTGAGCTGGTCCCTCCGGCTAAGTGCCCCCGCTGCGATGCGGAGGAGCTGCGGCGCACTGGTGTGTCTACCAGTGTCCTGGGCCTTTACCCTGTTGTGGTGCCGACCGAAAGAGCTGGATCCGTTCGTTGGGAAAGCTCTCCTCCCTCAGGGCCGGCTGTCGACCCGCTGCCTGTCGTGCCGTTGGGGCGCGGCCAGGCCCCTTGGGCGGTTCTGGAGCTTGCTCTGGGGACTCCTTCGGCGCTGGCCGCCTCTGCCGATGCCTCGTGGGGAACCATTGGTCTCGCCGCGGGGCAGGACCTTGCGGCGGCTGTTGTGCGGCAGGGTCTTCTCGCTACACTCCGCGCCCATCAGCCTCCCCTTTCGGTGGTGTCTGTCTTGTCACCGGAGCTCACGGCCGGCTCTCGTCTGCAGCCTGGCTGCTCGGGCCTTTCCTCCTCTCTTCTTTCTTTCGTCGCCCTTCTGCTGCAGGAACAACGGTCTCGGGCTGGGGACGTGCTCTTCCTTCACCCCCTTACGGGCGCGGGCTGGCGCCATGAGTCCATCCTCACGGCGCTTCAGGGCTGTCCGCGCGTTCGCTTGCCATTGGCTCCGCCAGGGCGGGCTCCGCTGCTGGTAGCTACTACAGCCTCCGCTGCCGCGGAGTCCTTGCGGACCGGCGGGACTCTGAGCACCGCCGTTTCTGCCTTGTTTCGAGGGGGGGGGGGGGGAGAGCTCCGCTGTCGCAAAGTCGCCGATAACGGTCCTGTAGTCGACGAGGCGAGCGTCGGTAGGGCAAAAGAGGAACCCGAGGGCTGTTTCGGCCCCGGAACCTCCCGACACCCCTCCGTAAGGGGCCGCTGGCCCCCCCACTTGCCGACGCGGTCAGGTCCGCCGCGGCAGCCTACCTTGACGCGGTCGAGGAGGCTGCTCAGTTCTCCAAGGAAGGACTCCGAAGTGTAGCAGCGGAGGGGTCACTGCTCCTTCGAGCTGCCGGCGGCTGGCAAGAAGCAATGAGAGCAATTAAGAGAACCTACATCCAGCGCCACGGGGATCATTTCGAAGGGTTACACGGACCCACGCTTGATGGCTTGGTGCCTCCTCCCCTCCTCGAGAGAGCAAGACATGTGGCAGTGTGGGGAGTGGAAGCGCAAGTGCCCCTGAAGGAATCTGCGAGACTCAAGTGCGCACCCCACCCCAGCCTCAAGGCACATATGGACGAGGCGGCCGCTCAGCTGTGGAAGGACGTTGTCAGGGGCCGGGTCCTGGTGTGCTATGACCAAGGGGAAGGTCTCGATGGGGTTATCTCTGTCCCCATGGCGAGAGTGCCTAAAATGAACCCGGACAGAACGGTTTCAGACAAAGGCAGGGTCGTGTGGGACGCTACCCCGGTGAATCGGTTTTGCACCAAGGAGGATTTTCCGCCAGCCTTGCAACCTAAACACAGAGAGGTTGCCAGGGTTATCCTCTACTGGGGGCTCAAGTTCCCCGGCGTCCCTATCCTTCTGAGTAAAAAGGACGTCTCGGATGCTTTCAAGTGGCTCCCAGTCGCGCTGGCAGACACGAAGTTCTTTGCTGCGGACCTCCCCGCTAGCTACGTGGAGGCCGACCATGATGCCACACTCCTCTACGGGTACATGACCTTTGGATGGAGGGGCGCACCAGGCGAATACATGGGATTTGCTTGGGTGCTCAAGGCAGGCCACGAGGCGCACGGTCCCTCCAATGGGCGGTGGGAGGCCGCCGACGTTGCCTTTCACTCCTTTGTCTTGATGGACGATACTGTCCTGGTGGAGCCGGACATCGGGCTTCGACCTTGGGTTTCAGTTGAGGTTGCGGAGCAAATGACCCGCGCCGCTCTTGGCCCACGGGCCATTAACCCGGAAAAAGACGCTGTCGAAGGGGCGTTGGAGACGAGGAAGCTCATTTGGGGATTGACGTACGACACCGGGCGTGGAACGGTCAGTTTGCCAATCGTCAAGATTGAAAAAGCTTACCACCTCCTCCATCTACCTCAATTCGACCATGGAAATCGCGTCGTCCCGTTGCGCCTGGTTCAGGAATTGCGGGGGAATCAACAGTTTTGGCTGGCAGTCTTCCCCAGTTTGGCGCCTTATTTAGGGGCCACCAACGATTTGTTAGGGCCACCCGATGACGCGGGAAATGCTTGCCCCAAGGGGCCTGACACCCAAGCGATAGAGCTACAGAGGGTCTTGGTTGACTCTCAGGGAACTTGGGAAGCGCGGTTCTCGCACTCCCTCCTCGGGGCTCTGACCCTTCCGGAGTATCTATCTTTCCCGGGCCTGCAGGACCAGGTTGTTTGGGCCTCGGGGGACGCTACCACACAGGTGGTGGGGGCCATCGACTGGGAGGCCAGGGTCGCTGTTGTGGAGCCCGTCAAAGACCTCTGGGCAGCTCTGCGGGAGTTCCTCTCTTCATCCTACCTCGGGAGAGAAGATTCGGAGGAGTCCGAGGGCCGCTTCGGCCCCGGGCGCACCTCAGGCTCCTCTTCGCAGGAAGGGGACGAGGAGAGTTTCTCTCCCGGCCCCGCGTCGGAAGAAGGCGAGGAAGATGTGATGATCTCGCTGGCTGAGTTGCTGGCGGTCCTTTGTTTGGTCGCCGCCCGTTGGCGGGCCTGGTCTGGGAAGGTAGTGGTCTACGCGGGAGACAACCAGAACGTTGTCCGTTGGATAGCCGCGCGAGAAGCCAGCCCGCCTGCGGCCCGCTTCCTCCTTCAGATCCTGGGCGCAGCCGAAGCAGTGGGACACTTTCGGCTTTACGCCGAATACATTAGGACCTACCACAATGTGGTGGCGGATGATCTGACTCGTAAGCACGTTCCGGACGTGCTCCGCGAGAACAATCTCGAGCGAATAGAGGGCAGAGGCACCATGGTTGAGCTTCTCGACCGCTCCTGGGCGAACCGCGCCCTGCTGTGGGCGACTATGGAAGATGATGACCGGGGCATCGCCCTTCAGCTCTGCCTCAGGCGCTCCCCTCCTGGGCCCCCCACTTCTGTGACGGGTCCCCTTCCTCTGAGGATCCACGAACTGGCCCTCGGCCCGCCGGTTTACACCCGCGAGCTCACTAAAGAAGGGGCTGTGTGCACCCATCAGCAGCGCCTAGGGACAGAGTGGTCGGGACCCACCGCGCCGACGGCGCCAGCAGGAAAACCCGATGTGCTTTGTTGGTCCTTAGGTAGAGGTGGTTCCCAGGTTCCCCTTGCTGACGCCCTCCACTTTGATCCTGAGTGCATTGTGGTTGATTCCCTTCAGAGTACAGGGTTGAAGAGCTTGAGGAAAGGGCTTGGGGATGGTTGGTTCTCTCAGCTGGATTTGTTTAGCGGGAGGTCGTTCGGGGATCAGGTTTGGTGGAGGAGGTGGGCTTTGGTTGCCGTCAAAAAGGACGGGTCCCGTAAGCACCCCCCCAAACTTAGCCCGGTGATCGACGAGGAGCCTGTTACGCTCCCGTTGGCCCGCTACAACCTTGAGTGGAGAGCCCCCGACTCTAACGCCCCACCCGAAACCTGGAAGCCTGGACCCCTGAAGCTGGATTCCTCGCTTCCCTACCTTAGGAACGCTGCCCCTAAGCCCTCAGGTAGGTTAGGGGAAAGCCTCGTTTGGGACCCCACCAAGCCTCTCCCTGCCTTGCACGACGGTTCTTGGGACCCCTCTAACCCCCAGCCCCTGTTGCTTCTAGGCTCAAACCCCCAGGGTGTAGGGGTTAGGACCTTGCTGCCTGAAGAAGCCTGTAGTCTCTTGGGCGGCCGTCGGGAGCTGCTCCCGCGCCTCGACCCACAGGAAGCAGCGAAGCAGCTGCTGGAGGCGACACCTCCATCCTTCGCCCACTGTTTCAGTCCCGGGCCCGAGGAGGCCTTCAGTCACCGAGCCGGTGTCTGTTTTCTTCCTTGGGAAGAGCATACGCGCCGGGCCCTGATGGCCTGGATGGAAGAGCGCGACAGCTCTTGGAGAACCCGCGTCGGAGGCGACGGCAAGGGTCCCTCCAAAGGAAAAGGAAAGAGCGACAAGGGAAAGCAGACCCCCAAAGGGGGCAAAGGCAAGAAGGGTAAAGGAAAGGGCAAGGGCAAAGGAAAACCCGCCGAGGCCCAAATCGACCATGCCGTCACAAGGATCCTTCGTCACGCAGGAGTGCGAGGTGCGGACGGAGGCAATTTGATCTTTGAGGAGGGCTGGGTGTCGGTCACCTTGCTGGTGTCGGCCCTGCGTCAGGAGCCGGCCGCCACGGAGCTCGAGATCGACCTGGCGCTCTTGCAGCGTTTGGAACACACGAACTCGAAGTCCAGGTTCGTGCTCAGACAGGCCGACCCGCCCCCAGGAGAGGATGAAGGAGCTTGGTATGCAGCCGCTTGGGCTGGGCATACCCTGTCAGGGGTGGTCGGCCCTGGTGCCATTGCCACCCCGCCTCCGATCCTTCTCCACGGCACATACCGGTCCAAGGTACCCCCGATTCAACTGAACGGGCTCCTCCCGCTACGCAGGGCTTTGCACCTGCAAGATCCGTCCTGCAAGTCTGGCAGGTGGCGGTCCGACCTCGAAGTCGCAGTGACAGTGGACGCCGTCAAGGCTGCCCAGGCGGGCTGATTCTTCAGGCTCACGGGCAACGGAATTTGGTTGACCAGTCAACCAATTCCGACGAGCGCTATCCTCTCTTACGCGCCGTGGACCGCAAAGGTCGAAGCCCACTCCAAGGGGCTCTGGCAAGGGTCCGAGCAGAGACTTCGGGAGGAGACCCAAGGGGAGGCCGAGGGGCGTTTCGCCCCCGGCCACCCGAGGGGACTCCCAAGGGGTCTTCAGGCAGTCAAGAGGGTCAGCCCCCGGGAAAGGAAAGCAGGAAGACGACCCTTCTCGGGACACCGAAGGGGAAGCGACGCAAGGCCCGCCTGGACCTTAAGGCCTACCAAGGAGGTAGACCCTCCCCTAAGGAGCCAACGCTCCTCAAAGATGTGGCAGCAGCCGCGGTCGCCTTGGGCGCGACTCTCGAGGACGGGCAAGAGGTTATCGTCGATGCTGACACGTGGCAGGTAGCAGTGCCGGAGGCCCCCGAGTTCGAAGCGGACGTCGACTTCGGGCGGTCGACCTCCGAGTCGGGCTCAGAGGAGGCCATCGCCAATGCGGCCCCAGAGCCTGCAGACGAGGCCACTGAGGTGGCGCATACCTACAGCGGCGAATGGTCGACGCCGGACGGCCTCAAGTGCCTGTTGTGTAACGCCTGGATAGACGGGGGTCACCTCATGACCCCTATCCACAACCGGCGCATGCGATGGCACCTGAAGGAACGAGCGCGGCAGAGCGCGGCGGCGCTGTCGACACAGCTCAAGGACCTCACGCTAGAAACTCCAGCGAAGAAGCAGCGGCAGCAGAGCGCCGCCTGCTGCGGCGGAGCCGAGCTCAACAAGGGCAGGGGGCCCTCCTGCCGCTCTGTCCTTGACCTCAGCCTCAGCTGCAGAGGCACGCGCCGAAGGAGTTGCCGTAGGGAAGGGAGCGTCCCACGGAATCCCTCACCCCCTTCCACCAGCGAGGTCCAAAGCTCCCCCAGCTTTTGGTCCTCCTGACGCTCCAAGGAGTGAACCCCCACTGGAGCCCGAAGAGCGAGGCCGGAGCCCCCTAAGGGTCAAGGCTCCTCCTCCAGGGGTCCATCCCACCCAGGTTCCTCCAGAGCCGGAAACCGAGGAACGAGGTCGAGAACCTTCGCGGTCTAAGGCCCCCCCTCCCGGGATCCATCCTCCCCGTGACCCCCAGGCACGGCCCAGGAGCCCTAGCGTCCCCGAACCAGCCGGACCGCCTAGGAACCGAGACCGACCGCGCACACCGAGGGGAATGCAGGCTCAGGCAGTGGTTGGGAGAGCCAAACCCCCCTTCCCCACAGGTTTGGGGGAGGGGGGGCTAGGCGCAGCCCCGCCAAAGGCCGGATCTGCACGCGGATCAACAGAGAGCCTGCCAGCGACGGGCAACCAGGAGCGTCAAGGAGAAAGGGGCACCGAGGACCGTTTCGGTCCCGGTGCCCCCGAAGCTGTCCTTCCGGATAGCTCGGGAGCGCCCAGCAAGCGGGCACCGTCTTTCGAGGAACAAATGGCGGCGCTCGACGAGGAAGAAAGGATCCTCCTGCTTGAAGCAGGAGGTGGCCTCCCTTCAGAAAGTTCGTCTGGGAGTCGCCCCCTTGTGCCCCGGACGGGCATTCGACTCACAGCTCCCAAGGTGGGGCTGCTCAGGGCGATCTCAGATGCAGACACACGAAACTGGAAGTCGTTGTCTGCAGCCCTCAAAGAGGCAGCTGGCGATGGAGGCACCAAGGCGCAGCTGGTCCTCGACCTGGAACGCTTGGCGAGCCAGCGTAAGGACGCCTCCCGAGGAGCCAAGGGACTCTTGGAAGACAAGGTGCGCGACCTCAAAGCCTTGGAAACGTCGGACTCCGCCTACCTGAAGGAGCTCGACAGTCAGGACAAGGCAATGAGGGAGTTGGAGAGGCAGAACCCGGTTAGACCGTCTCTGGCCTCAAAACCCCTCAGCTCTGATCGCCTCACGGCGGCTATCAAGTCTGGCACTCCCATCTGGGTCGCGCGAAAGCAGGAAAAGGGGAGAATCCGCGCTCAAGAACACAGGGCCCGCATCGAGGCGGAGGCGGCCAGGGAGAGGGCGGAGCGCCCGCCCGGGGCAGAACCTACGCCGAGAGGCGAAGCGCTGGATGAGAGGATGAAGGAGGCAGCTCGCCTTGAGTTGCGAGAGTTTCGTGCCCTTCTTGCTCAGGGCACGCGCCAGGCGAAGCGTCCCCCGGACTCCACTCGCCGGCGGAAGCTCAAAAAGAAGCAGCGAAAGGAGAGGCTCCGCGAGAAGGCCCGCAATGATGATGCGGATCGAGACACCAACCACGCAATCGCGCATGCCCGGGACCGGACGAGGAACTCAGAGCAGACCCCCCCGAGGTCCGAGGGCCGTTTCGGCCCCGGACGCTCGGAGGGGGGAGCTCTTACTCCTTTTACCGGGGGAAACGCGCTAAGCGCGGCGGGGGCAGGAGAAAGCGGAAGAGCCGAGGCCTACCTCTGGGAAACGGGCCTCTTCGAGGGCTTCCTTCTGGGCGTCGTGGCATGCCTGTGGGCCCAGTTTTGCTGGCGTCGCGCCAGAGGTTGCTGTCGGAGGCGTGAGCGTATGGACAACAGTAACAACGCCCCGCGCACCCCAGGCAAGAGGCAACCTTCTCTCCTAAGGCTCCGCCCCCTCCCCTCAGGATGGTAGCAGACCAAGCCGCCTCGTCTAGCCAAGCGAGCGGCACCGCAAAGGCACCTCCCATGCCTCCGCCGTTGCCCCAAGGTGGAGCCGGCAGAACTCCGCCCCCACCACCACAGGCGGGAGCTATGGGGCAGCTGGCCAGGAGGAGGATCGGGAACACGACGATCTGCTGCACACCGCGCGGAACCTCGTACCATAGGCCCTCTTGCCCACACGTTTCGGGGCATGAGACCTATGTTTTCCACCCCTGTCCAGCGTGTGCCCCTACGACGTTCATCCCCGTCCCGGAAGCCCGGGATAGGAGGAAACCATATGGGGGCAAGGTGGAAGTGAAGTTCCTTCGCGACGAAGCAGTGTTTCACGCTCCAAGCTGCAACTTGGTTCGACCGCTTCACAAAGCGGCGCAACCATGTCGCGATTGTGGACCCGAGGCGCGCTGGGGGTACCTGGCCGACCTCGGGCCTCGCAACCACGATAATGCCACTCGAGACACTAATCACGCCTATGCGCATCTCATGCTCATAGGCGTGACCTTCTTCCTCCTGGGACTCCTGGGAAGCTGCCTTTGGGGGCAGCCGAGCTTCCCGGGAGTCATCCATAAAGCACTGGAGCAAGGAGGGTCCGAGGAATGTTTCATTCCCGGACCTCTCCTTACTCAGTGCGAAAATGAGCGCGAGGATGAGGCTCGATGTGGGGCCAAGGTTCAGCGCAGGGTCACCTTCCAAAAAATGGAAGAAGCACCCTCCTACGAGGAGCTGGCCGGTCCGGTCAAGAACAAGAAGGAACCACCTTTCCTCGGAGGGCCCTCTTCCGCGAAAAGGCTGTACGGCTCCAAGCCTCCCCAGCTGGCTCTACCCTTGGCCACGCGTGAGGCCTTTGAGGCAGAAGCTCTCCGAGTCGCCATGGACCGCCTTACCACCACCACACAGAAGGCCTACCAAGGGCAATTAAAGTGGTGGCGCCTCTTTTGCCTCCGCAGAGGCATCTCCTGGTTGCTCAGCGGCAGCGAGCCCAGCGAGGAGGAGACTCACTTGCTGGACTTCCTCCTCCACACGGCCATCAACGGGGCGAGAGCACCAGGAACCCTTAAAATGAGGCTGGCGGCCATCAAATCGGCTCACGTCTCCCTCGGGCTTAAAGACCCACTGGAGGGAAAACCGCGACTGCTTCTCGTCCTCGCGGGGTTCAAGAAGAGGTATGCAACGCCAACTCGGAGGCTACCGGCTACCGGTGACTCCCACGATGCTTGCGTACCTCTTCACCCAACTTTGGGAAAATGCCCCGCACGAAGCACCCGGTCTTTGGCTCGCGCTGTGCCTGGGCTACTTCTTCCTCCTGAGGGCCTCCGAGTTCCTCCCTGTCCCTTACCTTCCTGACTCCAGACACCTTAAGGGTACAGATTTGAGGCTGAGGAAGGGTGGGCAGGAGTGCGATCTTAAGGATCTTCACTCCGCAGACGAGGTTGTGATCACCCTTCGGGGGAGTAAGACGGACAGGTTCAATCGTGGGACTACTCGAAATCATTTTCGAGGAGTCCCACCACTGTGTCCTGTGGATGCAGCGATCCGCTTCTTCTCGACCTTCCCAGCACGCCATGGCAATGGAGAAGAATCGGGTGAGCCTCTCCTCAGAGGAGTCACTCGCGAATGCATCCAGATGCTCATCGCTAAGGCAGCAGAACATCAAGGCATGCAGGGAGCGACAGGAGCTCATTCCCTGAGATTTGGGGGCGCGTCCGCCATCTGGGCGGCTTATCAAAACTCGGCCCAGTTGCAGCGTTTTGGGCGGTGGGCGAGTGACGTGTATCACGGCTATATTTGGGATGCCCGTGCGTCTTCCAAAGGGGTAGCCAAGGCAATGGCCGAGGTGGACCTCATACCCCCTTGAAGAGAGCCCGAGGACCGTTTCGGTCCCGGGCATCTCAACGAGGACTTTTCTGATATTTGGGCAAAGGGAAACCTACGCTTCCCTCTCTCCTTCTGAGGCTTTGAGCCGAGGACCGCTTCGGTCCCGGCTCCGTTGGTATGGAGGGGGGTGAGCCCCAATTCGGGGCAAAGCACCTTTCAAGTGCACTGCGCGCAAAAGAAGTGTTTGCACGCGTGCCGAGAGCTGTGCAGTGTGAGTGTAGAGTGAAACTCGGTTAGTACAGCGTAGTGTGCGTAGGGTTTCACCTCTGTCTCACCGCACGTTTAGGCTCAAGGTAGCTTAGTTTTTTAGGTAGCCCGCCCACCCATCCCCCTGAGCCCCAATTCGAGGCAAAGCACCTTTCAAGTGCACTGCGCGCAAAAGAAGTGTTTGCACGCGTGCCGAGAGCTGTGCAGTGTGAGTGTAGAATGAAACTGCCAGACTCTTAGACTGACTTTCTGACCTCTAAACCCTAAACCCTTAAACCCTAAACCCTAAACCTCCAGACAAGCCGAACTCCTGTGGCAACTGACAGTAGGTCCGAGGCTACTGCCTACTGAAGGTCGATCAATCCGAGGAGCAATATGGGAGTTTCCGAAGATGAGGGGTACCTTTAAAGGGATCCTTAAAGGATTCCTTAAAGGGATCTATAAGGGTTCTATCCAGGGTTTAGGTGTAGAGTTTCCGAAGGAGGTCCTTATAATAGGGATCCTACTAATTAGAGTATTGTATTAGGGTCCCCTATTTTCGGAAACCCCCTTTTCAGGATGTCTATAGGTGTTCCGTTTAAATGGAGTTCCATCATGGTTGCTGTGTGGGATTCAGGAGCCTCAACAATTAGATGACTGAGTGCTCGGAATTCCGGACGAAGGGCCCGGGCTTCGGAGGTTTAGGATTTATGATTTTGGGTTAGCCGCCAAGTTGCCAAGGGGTTCATAATATGTTCAGGGGTTGAGGGTTTGGGGGTTCAGGGGTCAAGGGTTCGGCATCTACACCTTTGCCTTGCACTTTGGTGGATAAGCCCTCTGTTTTAGCTGCATTGCCAGCTCATAACGTTGTCAGTAAACGCTGCACCAAAATCTCCGAAGATCCAAATCCGGAAGCACTCAGCCAAACTGCTTGTATAACCCCAGAAGCTTGAAGTCCTGTCAGCTCGAAAAGGGCCCCAAGATATTGCGGCAGCCTTCATATTCGAAGAACCCGAGAAACAGATGCATACGTTTTCAGAACTCCCGGATGACTAATACTATATGCCTTAAGCTCACAACCCTAAGGCCTACCTACCTAGATCCTCAACCCGAGTGCAAACCACCTGGTTTCTTGTTCAGTTCCCATAAAAGGGATCTATAGTCAATAATTTGGTTTCTGTATTATGGCAACCTATAAGCATTAAGCCCAATACCCTTGAAGGAACCCTTATAAATCGCTGAAAGGAACCCCTTTGTTAGGATTACATCCCTGAGCAAGTGACCTGCAAGGACGTGCAGATCTCTGGCCTGCGCTTGGCCGATTCCCCGATGTACCAGGCCATGAGGAACCCCAAACCCTCGACCTCAAGAAAAAAAACCTATATAAACCCTGAACCCCGAAAGGACATAAGCATAAGCATGTTGTGAGGAAAACCTTCCTTTTTGGGGGCCTCAGTAAAGAGGGCTTATATGGGATATCCCTATCCTTTTCTTGCTTACGTGCTGTTTTGGGGGCTCTGGGGCAGGCCTTGCCTTGGAGTTCCGTTTTAAAAGGGATACAAAAGGGTGCCAGAATAAGGACCCCTTGAAAAGGTACGACAGGTTTCTAGAATATGGCACCTTTTATTGCTTGGGTTCTTTTTAGGGTTCGTAGGGGTTTGAGGGTTTAGGGTTGCGTGGGGTGTAGGGTGTAGAGTTTTTTGGGGTTTACGGTTTCTAGGGATTTAAGCGTCACGTTTGTTACAGGAGTTGTAGGTGTCTTGGGTTTTGGGAGTTGCGACAGTTCATGCTTTTTGGACGTTGCAGGCTGTCAAGTCTCAACGGATCCAGCGAAGTGTGTGTGTTGCCAGGGCAAATGACGGTTTGCGTCCCACCACAGCTGTGCATTTTAAATGCTTAACCCTAAACCCTAAATTTCCCTACTCTAAGAGCATAAATTTATTTACCTAACAGTAATCCTGGGGTTGCTTGTTACAACTCATATTATAATGTATCCTCAAGCCCACCCATTCTTTCATTACTCAGTCCCTATATTACACCCAAACAGTTCCAGCCTGCCGAATCCTGCTTAGGCTTAGCCAGATTCGTGATTCGTGGGCTTAATGGTTACAGTCTACGGCTCAGGGTTCAAGAGTTCAAGGTTTGGTCGGGGTTCAGAGTTTAGGTTCGGGGGTTAGAGGGTTTAGGGTTTAGGTTCGAGGATCTGAAGGTTGCTGTTTCATAAGTATGACATACATACATTTTTAAACGCATGCAGGCATACATACACATAAACATATACAGATCTAGATCCACATACACATCCATGTCCATATACCTATGGGGACGTGTATACCACAGACTCGACGTTCTGGATTCCGCAAAGTATACGGGTGGAGGTCTCCTGCCGAGAATGCCGATCTCATGGGCTGGCGGCAGCCCTGAACCTCAATCCCTGAGCCATACCTTCACCCACCAGAACCGACTTTTTTGTAGGGTCTCTATAAAGTCCATATTAGGGTTTATGATAAGAACCTACAGAAACAGTAGGTTTTGGTAGGTTAAAGTAAGCCCGGGACCTCACTCCCTAAACCCTGGGTTAGGGTTGAGGGTGCATGGTTTAGGGTTACCCAAACCCACAGCCCTGAAGCCTTAAGTCTGAGTGCGAAACTCTCTGATTTATAATTTCTGGGCCCTCAATATAACCAAAGTACAATCTCAAATAAAAGCACCTTTTTGAGGTGGTGGTGGCGCGAAGTCAGAGGGTCCAGCTGGAAGGCCCGAGTAAGGGCTTAGGGCGATGTGGAGGATTTGGGGTCCAGGGTTTAAGGTAGTGTAGAGGATTTAGGGCAGTAATTACGGGGCAATGTAAAGGGTTCGGGATTGAGGCTTCAGGTTTCTATCGGAAGTTCTATCGATAGCATCTTCTTCTTAGTATGGTTCCCTGGTATGACGTCGATAGTAGCAAGGCAAGCCCTATTCTGTTGCTTACAGGGTTTCGGCTAGGGGAGGTAGGACCTCAGGCTTCGAGTTTGATATCCTCGCTCCATGAGTTTCTGACGGGTTGAGTTCCGGGGTTTAGGGTTTAGGGTTTAGGGGTTCAGGTTTAGGGATTCAGGGTTGGGGGTTCAGGTAGACCCTGAAGTCCTTCTGGTCTTGGAGGACAGCCCATCATTTCCAAGGCCACCACCGCCCGTGGGAGCAGGTAACTTCCAGTGCTTGTGATCGCGGCGAAACACTAGTACAAACTCTAAACCCTGAACCCAAAACTGAACCAGGGCAAAACACGAAGCAGCAATTCAATCCCGAGCCCAGGACGAAGCCTAGACCACAAACCGCAAGCCCAAGGCAGCCTTAATGCTTAGTATCGGAGCCTTAATCCTGTAGTATACTGGGCCCCCAAACCCTATTCTTATCAATAAGGCCCCTATGTTAAGCCTCATCAGTGTCTTCATCTTCAGAAGCCCAAAAACCTCTAGCAGGGGCGAAATAGTCGCGAGGATCCAGGAGGTATGTTGAAGGGCAGAAGCTCTAGTCCGAAGTTTCAAGAAGCTTGCTTGAGTGTCAGGAGCTCAAAACTCTGGCAGAAAAAGTCTTCGGCATGCATTTAGGACCATGGGTGAGCCTCAGACCTAAGATCAGGATCAATTGTATCAAGATCCTTTGGTCATAAGAACTATAGCCAACATCCCGAATCTACATCCAGGGTCCACACCGGAAACCTAACCCTAAACTTTATACCTAAGCCCCAAAGGTAGGTAAACTAATGGACCAACACCCATGAACGGCAATTATTCTACATACTTTTGGGGTCCACGTAAACCCTAAACCAAGCAGAGATGGAGAGGTCTTCGCGTTTCTCTTCATCACATGAGACTCGGGGATGAGGGAGCCCACAACACGGACCGCCCATCAATGAGGGTTTTGGGCGAAGGGTTTGGGGTTTAGGAATTTAAGGTTTTAGCCTTTAGGGTTTTGGGCTTAGGGTTTGGGGTTTAGGAGTGTAGGGTTTAGGGTTCAGGGTTTAGGGATGTAGGCTTCAGGGCTCAGGGTTTGGGGTTTAGGGTTCAGGGTTTGGGGTTCAGAGGGGTTGGGCGTTTCCGGATCTTGCCGTCGATAGCTAGCTGTGCAATCCTTTCGAGTCGTGTTCCCTTCTTGGTATAATCTTACACCCTGAGGCTCTTCAAAACCCTAAATCCTAAACCCTAAACCCCTCAACTCACTATCATGCATCTAAAAGAGCTTCAGCTAAAGCCCCTAACTTTCACTAGCCCTGCACCCTACACTCTGGTCCCTATAAACCCTAAAACTCTGAGGCTTGCGGGTTTATGCTTTTAGGAGTTTAGGGGTTTGGTTCAAGTTTTAAGTGTGCGTAGTATAGGGAGTTTTGCAATAGCAGCCCATTGAAATTCGCATATTCTGAAAGCCTCTAGATCAGATACGAAGGCTCATATACTCTCTGCTCTTGCCGGAATGGGGGAATGGATCCCTATGAAACCTTAACCCATTAAAACCCTACCTTTTTTTGTAGGGTCCCTTTCATCTCTATACTAGGGTTCGAATTCATATTAAGAACCTCAAAAAGGAGGGTTTGGTAGGTTATGGTCGTTCCTCGAGGTCCCTGACAGTAGTCCCTACAACAAATTCCCCGATTCCGTACCCAGAACCAGCGTTCCCGTTAAGGAACCTAATTTAGCTTACCATAGTAAGGATCTATAACAAATAATATGGTTTTCTTGCTATGGTAACTTAACTTAAGCCCCTTAACAAGAACCCAGAACGAGGGAGCTTAATACAACATCACCTGACTGAGTCGTCGAAGAGTCTGTAGCGCAAGTGTCTGCGAGAGAGAGAGAGAGAGAGAGAGGGCTCAGGGTTTAGGGTTTATTGTTTGTTAGTTTACGATGTGTGCGTATGTCGATCATCACGAGGTTTAAATAGAAACTATCAACCGCGCCAGAAGCGGGGCCACTGCTGCGGAGGATGGAGTTAGCATCATTGCGTCGCAGAATGTTCTCCTCAGTGACAGCGTGGGGTGGCCAAGTGCCCCAAGAAGCTTTGACCCTGCGTACTATATAGGCCTCAAAGATTACCCATATTATTTTGCGTATTCCTTGTTATGATTATAGTATAAGGGGCCCCGAAACCCTATTCTGATTTAAATGGCCCATATATCAGGGCTTGGGAAAGTTTGGAAAGTTCCAAGACTTGCGCTGCTGACACCCTGAATTCACTACTACCTCCTTGGCCTGCAGGCCCGATAAACCCCAACCCTCTGAACCCTACGAACCCTTGAACCCCTAAACTCCTAAACTCTTAACATCCCGAACATAGGGGCTTCAACAATTACCGATACTATTTTGGGGGTTCCTTTATAACCACAGTATAATGGCCCCCCCCAAGCCCTACTCTAATTGTGACGGCCCTTATACTAAGCCCCTCGGATCTGCAAGGGCTTGTGGAGGCTTCTACGATGTTTGTTGTATCGCTCTCCTTAAACTACCAAACCCTACTTGTTTGTAGGTTCTTATTATATACCCTAACATGGAATTTTTAGGGACCCTACGAAAAAGTAGGTTTTGGTAGGTTAAGGCTTCGGTTTACGTAGGAGAACACAGCGCAATGTACCAAGGGCCATCTCCGATGCGGAAGCAAACCTTCGACGGCGGCGTTCTCCGAAACCCTAAACCCTAAAGGGAACTCCAGAAAGTTGGAATATGGTTTCAGGGCAGGATACCTTATAATTTACCATAAAGGGTTTAGGGTTGCCTGTGAGTCTACCTAAGCCCCCAAAGGTAGGTAAAATAATGGCCCCCGACCCATAAAAGGCTTTGCTTCTACATACTTTTTGGGTCCAGGTAAACCCTAAACCCTAAACCCTGAAGCAGAACAAGGACCATGACGTGACTCTGATGATTGGGGGTGACGGGTCTTGAATGCCATGACATACCTGCCCGAGGTCTTTATATGCTTCGGCCAGGGACAACAGAAAGCGGCCCCACACTTGCGGCTCTCGCCCACACTTGCGGCTCTCGCTGCTGAAGAGCAGAATTAGACGCGTGCAATCCTGGCATCGTATTCGCAGATCCCAGGCGGAGCGGGTGAAGCGGCAATCCTGGCGCTTGGGGATGTGGATGAGCCGCACATTAATTCAATTTTTAATCGCTGCAGTGTCTGAGAGATCAGGAAGCTTGTGATCCCGCTGTTGAGGTACCACCCCTGGCTTCAGGGAGGATAACTTTTGATTTGAATCCCACATGAATCCGATGCCCCTGGGTGTACCCTTTTATCTTAAGGTCCCCTTATGAAACTGACTAGTAGGAAAAAGGGTACCTAACTTTAAAGGGGCTACTCAGGAACCTGCTTTAAGTTACCACAAGATAGAAACCTGATTATTTACTGTATAAAGATCCCTGTTAAGCTAACTTAAACCTCCCAGACCTTCCAAAATCACTTAATTAAGGAATATACCTTAAATCATAATAGGGATCCTGCCATAATTTAGGGTATATTCCTTAATTAAGGGATTTTGGAAGGTCTGGGCTTCCCTATAACCCTTGAAGGAACTTTGGGATGTCAGTGAACGCAGAAGAGGGAGTTCTCGAGCCACCTCAAGAAGGATCCAAAGCTGAGGTCTGTGTTGAAAACCCCTGGTGAATTACGTGAATAATTACCCATACTACTTTGGGGGCTCCTTATTATGATCACAGTACAATTCAGCCCAAAACCCTGTTCTAGCCCTATCATACTTTCGCCTGCCTTTAACGATCCGAGACTTGGCTTCCGGATTGACCCGTCGTCCGAATACCAATTTCCGAACTCGCTGCACCCCCCCAACAAAGAAGTCGCATGTGTTGAGACGTTGTTGTCAGCCTTGTTCCGGGCAGGTCATAGAGAGCGGTGACGACAATGTGGTTGTCAAAGAGGCGCAGACTTCGTTTCAGCCCTGTTGGCAAAATGCAGTCATTCACTTCAAGAGAGTCAAGTTGTGAGACAGTCGTGTAAACCCTAAACCCTAAAACCCTAAACCCTAAACCCTAAACCCCTAAACCAGCCCTAAAGCGTAAACCCCAACCCCTGAAACCCCAAGCCCGACCCAAAACCCTAAACTCTCCGGCACATCCCCCTAACGCTTCAGGGAACCCCTAAACCTTAAATCCCAAAAAACGACCCAGAGGCTCCCTAGTAGTTGCTTTTTTGGGGATTACCCTCTAGGACTCTAGGATCCAAGTATTCACCACAAAGAGGAACTACGATGGAGCCTGTAGGTAGCGGGCATGATGGATGAGAGAGTAGGGCCTCGCAGTCTGTTTCAGGCCTCATGGTGTTGGCGAGTCAAACTCCCTCGAACCTTCGCCACATTCTAACCTAGTAGTAGTACTAGTAGGAATAGGAATAGTAATAGTATTAGTAGTTGTCTAGTAATAGTAGTAGTAGTAATAGTAACAGTAATTTATGTGGCCTTCAACCCACAGGGGCTGCAAAAAACCGGACTCGCATCCTTGAAGATGTGCATTGTAGCACTTCCCCCGGCGTGGACCAGAATCCCACAGTCTTGTTTACTAGGATGCCCAGTACTTAGAGGATCATGGGACTTAGTAAGTTTCGAGCAATGGGGGCTCCTTTAAGGGATCTGTAGGGTTTAGGGTTTAGGATCTACTGGGAGGATCAGGGGACTTAGTAAGTAAGGTTATAAGTAGGTTATAATTAGGATAATCCCACTTAGGGGACTTATAGCCCTAATTATGACCTACCTACTAAGTCCCATGATCCTCTAAGTAGTACCCTTATTCCCTTTTTGTAGTCCTAGGTTCCTCATAAAATTTACCCAATACCAAAAAGGGAGCCCCTTTCATTCCTAGGTTACTTGGGCGGCACCCTAGTTTAAGACCAGTGCAAGTTCCAAGTCGGGACTGTTGGAGCTTGATCGTCCCCATATATCCCTACGTATATGCGTAGTTTTCTGAACTCGGGTCCCGTTTAGGGTCCTTTCTGCAAGAGTGCCGTACTATATTGGGGACCAATTTAGAGAACTACTAATGCCCATACGGTGACCAGCAAGCCCAAACCAACGGGTCTCATACCTCATCCCCCAAGCCTTCTCAAGTAACACTGGTGCCCAAAGGCTTGGCTGTGCGATTCATTGGGGTTAGGGTTTAGGGTTCAGGATTTAGATATATGTACAATTCTTAAGCACCGGAAGCCTTGTGTTTTGTATCTTAAGTTTAGCCGTGACCTCCCAGGGCTCTCACAACGTTGCCTGCCACGGTCTGATTCTGCGACGTGGGAAAGGCCTGGCTTGAAACAACAGGGTTCAGGGCGAATGGTTTATTGGTTTAGGGTTTAGGGGTTTAGGGTTTCGGGTATAAGGGTTTAGGGGTTGAGGTTTAGGGTTTAGGGTTTCTAAGTTTAGGGTTTCGGGTATAAGGGTTTAGGGGTTGAGAGTTTGAGTTTCGTTCGGGTTCATGTAGCTGTGATTGTCATAGTCTTGATGTTTACATGTCTGGTGATTGTCATCGCCGTCCTCGTCCCCCCAGCGCCGGCAGCAGGCCGCCAGTAGACGTCACAGCACAGTAGCCCCTTTCATCCCGAAGCATATCCATAAGAACCGCAAAAGCCTCAACCCCACACTTCCCTAGTTGGGCCCAAATACCATACTATATAGCTAGGTGGCCTGAGGGCAACTTTAAAATTGCCCTTCTGGTTCCAAAAAGAGGTACCTTTTCATAAAGACTCCTTTCCATTCACGCAGTTGATCCCTCAACCCCATACCCTACATCTGAATCCCTATACCCTCATCCCTGAACCCACTATACACCCTAAACCCTGAACCCTAAGCACTTTTTACCCTAAACCCTGAACCTTAAACACTATATACCCTAAACCCAGAACTCTACACTTTATATCTCCTAAACCGAAACCCTCACCACTTCATAGCCTAAACCCAGAACCCTAAACAAATCATAACCTAAACCCTGAACCCTAATCCTAAACACTATATACCCCTAAACCCAGAACCCTAACCACTTCATACCCTAAACCCAGAACTCCAAACACTCTCTATCCTAAACCCTGAACCCTAAACACTCTCCCTCGACCCTAATCCTCAACACTTCATACCTTAATCCCTGAACCCTAACCACTTCATACCCCAAACCCAGAACTCCAAACACTCTCTATCCTAAACCCTGAACCTGAATCCTAAACACTTCATACCCTACTGAACCCTTATCAGTTCATACCCTAAACCCTGAACCTGAATCCCACTTTCATGAAGGCGTGTCGATCGGCAGCCTGGGCGAACGGGGAGCCGAGGCACGGCAGGGCAGCCTCCAATCGCCTGAAGCAGCTTTTGGGGCTTTGGGGTTCAGGGCTTCTTAGGGGTACTTAGAAATATTTGTTAATTTTTGGTTATTATAATCCCTAAGAAACAGCTATATAAAATTATCATTGTTGCTAGGGTTCTAAGTTCAGTATAGGCTTATAGGGCTTTAGGTTTCAGACTGTAGGGTTCGAAGATGATGCAGCGAGCGATGGTGGCGAAGACGTGGTCGTTCCTGTGGATCACGGGAAACCGCCTCCTTCACTCCCTCGTATCCCCAGACCTTCCAAAATCACTTAATTAAGGAATATACCTTAAATCATAATAGGGATCCTACTATAATTTAGGGTATATTCCTTATTAAGGGATTTTGGAAGGTCTGGGTCCCTTTGTGACATTGTTCCGCGGACGGAACGCCGAGACCTTTCTGAGGCGAAACTCGAGCAGCTGTCATTCACGCTGAAGACGTCCCGCTCTCAAAGGGGAAAAGGAGGGACCCTTTAAAGGGATCTATAGGGATTCCATAAGGGTATAGGGTTTAGGGTTTAGGGGTTTTGGGGTTTAGGGGGTTTAGGGGGTTTAGGAGGGACCCTTAATGGGGACCCCTACCCTATAATGGGCTATATAATGGGTATATAATAGCTACATTAAGGGTTTTTACCTAGGGGTTCTTGTTAAGGGTCCCTCCTTTTACCCTTGGATCTTCAGGATTCGATCATCCAACGGGGGATTCGTCGCGAAGATGAGGAGGAAGATGCCGCGCGAGCACGTGGGTTATGTATGGTTATTCGGTACTTGTACTCTTTGGGCAGGACAAAAAGGGTTTAGAGTCCATTGGGCTTAAGGCTTGTGCTCAGTACTCTTTGGGCTGGACAAAACTGTAGAAAGAGGGCTTGTGGACAATCGGCTGTCAGCAAGCCGGAGCCCCGTAAGCCAGTTTTCAACATAATACACGGGCAATATAATATCCCAGAGGGTCCACATACACTACCATTTTGGACATATGTCCCAAAAGACCATCCCTACGGGGGCCTGATTCCATAGTTGCAGTGTGTATGGACCCTCTGTGAATACCGTCCCTTCAGGTTCCCTCAACCCTAAACCCTAAACCCTTACTACGACATTAGAGTTACCTAAGCCGTAAACCCTAAATTAAAATCCTGAACCCTAGAGTTGCCTAAACCCTAACCCTAAATCCTAAGCCCTTATTACGAGCTTAGGAATACTCTACCCCCAAAGCCCTGAACTGGGAACGTACCCAGAGCCTCCAAAACCCCTTAATTAATGAATACTAGAATAGCAGCCCTAATATAATTTAAGGTACATTCCTTAGTTAAGGGGTTTTGGAGGCTCTGGGTACCCCCCCCCCCCCACACATGATTCTACATGACCTGCTCAATGAGCAGTTTGTTTACGGTCACTTGGAACCCAGACTTTGCATTCATGATTGAAGGTTCAGGTTACAGGGTTCCTTAAAGAGTTCCTTAAAGGGATCTATAAGGTTTTGGGAGAAGGGTTTGGGGTTTAAGGGTTTAGGGGCGAGGATTGTAGTTTGCGATTTGAGTCGAAATGTGTTTGAGGTACAACGTAGATGAGCCTCCCTCGCATCATGCCCAAATCCCTCGAAGCAAGATTCGATTGTCATGGTATTCAAGAAAGCTAAACACTTTGGGGGGGCCGTCTGCAGCCTTAGCCTCTGCCCTGAATCCTAAACCCTAAATTCCCTAAGCCCCAGCCCTACCTAAATCGCCATTCCCAGAGAGCCCAATACCCCTTAATTAAGCAGTATACCTTAAATTATAAGGGGCTTCATATTATGATTGAAGCTATATTCCTTAATTGAGGGGTACTGGGCTTCCAGGTTTCTTCTAACTCTTCGAGAAGCCTCGGAGACAGGGATCCTCCAATTGAAGATCTTGGCACTAGACCCTCCAAGCTTTGATTTTACCTACATATTATGGGAGTTTGACAAAATGGGGGTACCTTTTTTGGGGCTCCTTATAGTAAGGATCCTACTTTTTAGGGTACTATTTTGGGGTCCCCTATTTTCGGAAACTCCCATATGGGTAATGTCGTACATATACAGCAACAGCACCCTGAGTCCTAAGCCCCAGCACCTGAGTACAACTGCTTGACCCCAGCAGCCCGAGTTCTGTCCGAGCAGGATCAAGTGGTTACAAACATCTCCTTCCACAACGTCACGCTGGACCAAAGTGTGGCTGCCTCAGAGCACCCTCAAAGCAAAAGGAGAAGGGTGCAGGGTGGATCCCGTTTAGCTTTCGACTCTCAGGCCTCAATTCTCACTGACTTCAAGTGAAAGCCCTCGAACCCCGAAACATTGAAACATTGACGTTTTAGAGGGTTTCCGGAAAGCTGTGTACCCTCCCTACACTTTACTTTAAGGGCATGGGGATAATGATATTGCAACTTTCTGGCTTCTACCTTACGCCAAGCTTCCTACTTCCAGCCGCTGTCCAGATGCACGGCGCACGCATCAAGACGTGGAAGGCCGGCTCAGGGTCCCGCTTGCTAGAGTACTTGGACTAGGACCCAGAGTAGGCCCTTATTCCCTTTTTTGAGGCTTAGGTTCCCTTATAAACCCCCTTTAAACCAAAAAGGGCACCCTTTTTATTCCTAGGTTACTCTTAGGTCTAGTGGAGGGTCATGGGACTCAGTAAGTAAGGTTATAAGTAGGTTGTAATTAGGATAACCCCACTTAGGGGACTTATATCCCTAGTTATAACCTACTAAGGGATGAGGGTTGAGGGTGAAGTAGTTTAGGGCAATGGGGAATGAGCCCCAAAGGGTTCTAAGTACCTACATGGCGGAGCGTAGCGTTTCTAGGGGGAATTACGATTACGATTTGGCAAAGTATCCCCCATAGTCAGGTTGTCGAACTGCTGGGCCAATGTTTCAAGGGCCAGCCCGGGCACAAAGTAGGGGCCTGATAAGTAGAACAGGGTTCTTGGGGTATTTTCGTATCAACATACAGTACAGTGGATACTGTAGGGCCTTAACACTTACCGATATTAATTATTTTTGGTCACAAGAGAACACACCACGGCTCCCAATTTCGAATCTATCACAGGAGAAGGTCCGTCTCGCCGTTCAGAGCAATGCTACTGTTCGGTCCGGCGCACACATAGCACTAGGAAATCTTCATGCAAGAGCTGCTTGTTCCCAGAGATCCGAATACCCCTTAATTCGCGAATATACTTCAAATTATAAGAGGATCCCTAATATGATTTAAGGCATATTCCTTAATTAAGGGATATTGGGTTCTCTGGATTGGAGGCATCAGGCATCTGGGAGACTTGCACGCACTGGTCACCATCGAGCCTTCACATTCTCAATGCCGATTGTGGCCGACAGTGCGTGCAGTCGAACACAGTGGTCGCAAGGCCAAATGTCCAGCACTTCCACCGACTCGACTAGACCGAGCCAGTGGTGTCACCAAGAAGCCAACTTCTGAAGATGTACTACAGGTTGGGGGGTTCTTTATGATGACTAGACTATAGTATACAGGGCCCCAAAACCTTATTCAATTTATTCAGGCCCCTATATTAGTCACGGTGAAGCACAGGCAAGGTTTGGCAGGCACACAGCAAGAAAGTCTAGGGTTTAGGACACCGCAGTCACCTCGAATCCAAAACTTATATGCCATAACCCTAAATCCGAAACCCTAAAACCCTAAACCCATAGACCTAAAACCCTAGCATCACGCATCTTCCTCCTGAAGAAGGCGCTCATGGTCCGTCCTACCATTGGGAGGGCTTCATTGATGAGGGGCTTTAGGGGTTATGGATTTACGGCTTAAAAGTTTAGGGGTTTCAGGTTTAGGGGTTTAGGGTTCAGGGTTTAGGGTTGCTTCAGTTAGCTACCCGCTGCGTACAAGTACCGGGTAATCATATACTCCCCCAAAGTCTAACCCACATTGCTACCCGTACAATCCCAATCCCAAGCACCGGCCTTAAACCCTTAATCCCAAACCACCTTTAAGCCCTTACTTGGAGGGTCAGGGGACTTAGTCAGTCGGTAGTAAGTAGACTTATAAGTACCCTAACCGGGATCCTAATTCGGGTTATGATACGTATAAGTCTCTAAGAAACTATTTACCACGGTTGATGACATAAATCCTGCATTACCCAGGATAAGGAATATACCGTTATTCCCATGGTTTAGGATCCTTATCAGGTAATATGCAGGATTTATATCATCAACCGTAAGTCCCCCAACCCTCCAAGTAAGTAACCCCTAAACCCTATAAACCCTAAATCCTAAACCCTAAACCTCTCTACCTATAGTTATTTAAATGTTAATGGCTTCGTGGGCAATTGACGTTTTCAGCTGATCACTTCATCAATCTTCGTGGGCACTTCATCAATCTTCGTGGGCTAAACCGTTCGCCCTAGATTTAGGGCGGCCCCTAAACCGTTAGCTCGAGATTTAGGGTGGCCCCTAAACCGTTAGCCCTAGATTTAGGGCGGCCCTAAACCGTTAGCCCTAGATTTAGGGCGGCCCTAAACCGTTAGCCCTAGGTTTAGGGCTGCTCACTTCATCAATCTTCGTGGGCACTGCATCAATCTTCGTGGGCACTTCATCAATCTTCGTGGGCACTTCATCAATCTTCGTGGGCACTTCATCAATCTTCGTGGGCTAAACCGTTCGCTCTAGATTTAGCCCTAAACCGCTAACCCTAGATTTTGGGCGGCCCTAAACCGTTGGCCCTAGATTTAGGGCGGCCCTAAACTGTTCGCCCAAGATTTAGGGCTAAACCGTTCGGTCGAGATTTAGGGTCTAAACCCTTGGCCCGAGATTTAGGGCCTAAACCCTTGGCCCGAGATTTAGGGCCTAAACCCTTGGCCCGAGATTTAGGGCCTAAACCCTTGGCGCGAGATTTAGGGCCTAACCCCTTGGCCCGAGATTTAGGGCCTAAACCCTGGACCCGAGATTTAGGGCCTAAACCCTTGGCCCGAGATTTAGGGCCTAAACCCTTGGCCCGAGATTTAGGGCCTAAACCCTTGGCGCGAGATTTAGGGCCTAAACCCTTGGCCCGAGATTTAGGGCCTAAACCCTTGGCCCGAGATTTAGGGCCTTACTAAACCCTTGGCCCGAGATTTACCCGAGATTTAAACCCTCGGCCCGAGATTTAGGGCCTAAACCCTTGGCGCGAGATTTAGGGCCTAAACCCTTGGCCCGAGATTTAGGGCCTAAACCCTGGACCCGAGATTTAGGCTAGGGTTTACCCTAGGGGTTTAGGCCCTAGGGTTTAGGATTTAGGGGCTAGGGTTTAGGCCCTAGGGTTTAGGGCCTAGGGTTTAGGCCCTAGGGTTTAGGGCGTAGGGTTTAGGCCCTGGGGTTTAGGGCCAAGGGTTTAGGCCCGAGGGTTTAGGGCCTAGGGTTTAGGCCCTAGGGTTTAAAGCCTCGGGTTGAGGCCCTAGGGTTTAGGGCCTAGGGTTTCTTAACGCCCCAATAAGCGAAACAATTCTGCAAAAGGTTTTCCTTTCTAACGCCCCAATAAGCGAAACAATTCTGCAAGAGGTTTTCCTTCCTAACGCCCCAATAAGCGAAACAATTCTGCAAGAGGTTTTCCTTCCTAACGCCCCAATAAGCGAAACAATTCTGCAAGAGGTTTTCCTTCCTAACGTCCCAATAAGCGAAACAATTCTGCAAGAGACCTCCATTCCTAAAGCACCAATAAGCGAATCAATTCTGCAAGAGATTTTCCTTCCTAAAGCACCAATAAGCGAATCAATTCTGCAAGAGATTTTCCTTCCTAACGTCCCAATAAGCGAATCAATTCTGCAAGAGATTTTCCTTCCTAACGCCCCAATAAGCGAAACAATTCTGCAAGAGGTTTTCCTTGTTAACGCCCCAATAAGCGAAACAATTCTGCAAGAGGTTTTTCTTCCTAACGCCCCAATAAGCGAAACAATTCTGCAAGAGGTTTTCCTTGTTAACGCCCCAATAAGCGAAACAATTCTGCAAGAGGTTTTCCTTCCTAACGCCCCAATAAGCGAAACAATTCTGCAAGAGGTTTTCCTTCCTAACGTCCCAAACAATTCTGCAAGAGACCTCCATTCCTAAAGCACCAATAAGCGAATCAATTCTGCAAGAGATTTTCCTTCCTAAAGCACCAATAAGCGAATCAATTCTGCAAGAGATTTTCCTTCCTAACGTCCCAATAAGCGAATCAATTCTGCAAGAGATTTTCCTTCCTAACGCCCCAATAAGCGAAACAATTCTGCAAGAGGTTTTCCTTGTTAACGCCCCAATAAGCGAAACAATTCTGCAAGAGGTTTTTCTTCCTAACGCCCCAATAAGCGAAACAATTCTGCAAGAGGTTTTCCTTCCTAACGCCCCAATAAGCGAAACAATTATGCAAGAGTTTTTCATTCTTAAAGCTCCAATAAGCGAAGCAGTTCTCCCAGAGATTTTACTTCCTAACGCCCCAATAAGCGAAACAATTCTGCAAGCGGTTTTTCATTGTTGATAGACAACACCTAAACAAGACGAGGATAGCAAGGAATATAAAGACCCATTGATCAACGAAGTTTCCCGCAGCATGGCATGATGTTTTCTTTTTGTGTTTGTAGTATCTTGCGGCCATGTGTGCTATGATTCTATAAGCTAGGAAGAAGTTGTGTCCATTGTTAACAAAAAAAGACGAGATCGTATGCAAAATATAAAGTATTATTAAAAGAAGTTCCTAAGAAGAATCGTCTTCTATCCGAATATAAAATAAAGATTGTTATTTCATAATGTGAGGGGAACCTATGGGCGGGTGGGGTTTTGACTTGAAATAGCTTGACTCGAAATTTCCAAAGTCAGAGAAGCTGAACCCTAAACCCTAAACCCTAACCCCTAAACCCTAAACCCTAACCCCTAAGCCCTAAACCCAAAACCCTAAACCAAGTAACCCAGCCTCCTGACGAGGGTGCTCATGGCCTGGTCAAGAATGCGCGGAGCTCTATTGACCAGCAGAGGGTTTGCTTGGGTTTAGGGGCTTTGGGTTTTAGGGCTTTGGGTTCAGGGCTTGGGGTTTAGGGGTTAGGGCTTCGGGTTTAGGTTTTAGGGCTTAGGTTTTGGGTTTAGGGTTTGCTTGACATTGTATGCAGGTCTGAATCGGCGTGGCAATCTTGTTTCCTAGAGTTGCCGACTTGCAAGTCTACAACAGAATGGTATGCCCCCATATGGGAGATTCCGAAAATTAGGGTACCTTATTTAGGGGTCCTTATAAGAAGGATCCTACTATTTAGGGTACTATATTGGGGTCCCCTATTTTCGGAAACTCCCATATACTATCGCCTGTTGTAAGTTTAAGGTCGCTACATCACTCTGACCTCAGGAGCTCTTGGTCTGTGTTCAGAGCTTTCGGGTGTTATGGTTCTGAAACTGTGAGCTTCGGGCTTTCATGGTTTATGGACTTCAAAGTTAAGGGGCTTGCGGCGTAAGGGACTACAGGGTTCTCAGGGTTTACAGGGTTTAGGGTTTAGGGTTTAGGGTTTAGGGCTACAGGGTTCTCAGGGTTTACAGGGCTTAGGAAAATTGTGTTGCAAGGTTTGGGGCTTGTGAGAGTCTAGGGGTGAGGGCGTTGGTAATCCATAAAGATCCATACAGTAATCTTATAGACCCTGACGGCGTAACGCCCTAAACCCCAAACCCCGAAACCGTAAACCTTCCAAACCTTCCAAAACTCTCCAGGCTTTGCTCAGGTCCGCGACCAGATGCTCCGAGACCTACCTTTACCTACAAAAACTTACTTTATTGCAGAGGTCCTGTAAATTTCCATATCAGGGTTTATGATCAGCACCTGCAAAACAGTAGGAGCTGGTAGTTTAAGGTAAGTCTTACCAAGGATCCCTCGTTGATTTCAGGTGTAATGCTTGATAGAGAGGTTTTCGGATGGTCGCGCCACGGCTGGGATTGGGGTTTGTCAGGGTCCCAAACAAAAGGCTCTGCACGGCTTCTGGGTTTGGCGGTTTGGGTTGGAGCGACTTGGAGTTTCATGATGACTGCAGCTCAGCGCAATTTTTGGACGGTTTGTTGCCAACGGCTACGATGAAGACCCTTGTGGTATTGAAAGCCCATAACCCCACATAAAAATTTCCAGTTTGTATGTATGCCTCTTTGCTCGCCAACTCGTCAGGTGACTTTCAGCATGTTCAAGACAGTGAGAGTCGTGACAGGCAAGCCAGGGTGTGTTGGGGTTTGGGAAACCTAAACCTCAGGAACTAAACCCTGAACCTTGATTCCCGAAACCCTACTGATTTAGGGCAGTATCTGGAAGTTTTCGTAGCGCCGAGGATAAGGCAGTGTCAGCTTCGGATCCTGTGTTCGGTGCCAGCGTGGCGGCTGTTGCAGCCTCGAACCTACACAAGACAAGCCGTCAACCGAAATGAACTCTGAATCCTCTTCGAGGTCATACGTCGGGATTGCGGCCGCAAGTAGGATGTGGGGTTTAGGATGTGGGGCACCAGCAGCAGCGAGTATGTAAAGCGCCATGTAGCGCGAAACCGTTCCAAACGCGGTCGAGGCATCTTGATCGATCAGACCTACTGCCCACCGTCACAGAGGTGCCAGAGATCGAGTGACTGCTCAGGGAAGCTCGGTTGAGGCTTTTCTTCAGGTTCTGTGGAGCAGGTGTTGTTCTGGTAGCCAACCTAAAGGTCCAAAGTACCCATATAGTAGAGTGCAGGGTCTCTATTAGGAATTACAAGTATGGTTTGGGGAAGTATACGCCGAAACCCCTTTGGGCAATAAGGCTTTAAATGGTTAAGGATCTTTGTGGGTGGAGGGTCGGAGAAACGAGCTTGGGTTCAGGATTTCGACCCCAAGTGAAAGCCCATGGCCCACCCTTGCCTTTCCCAAAGGGTCCTAGGTATTGTTATGGGGGATACTTTCCCAAATCATCATAGAAATTTTTAGTGGAGAAACCCTACATTGGGGGAAGTATCATCATAGTAAGTCCTATAACATAGAAGGAATTCTACTACATAGGTACTTTGGACCCTTAGGGTTTCGAAACTCCAAAGCCGACAGCCCCAACAACTGCAAAAGCAACCGAGAATGCCCCAGCCCCACACAGATAGAGGATCATGGGACTTAGTAACTATGGTTGTAAATAGGGTAACTATAGTTATACTTAGTTGCATCTCCGATCAAGGCACTTACAACCTTACTTACTAAGTCCCATTATCCTCCAGGCACAATCTCATTGAAAGAGCCTTTCAACAGGCGTCTGCTACAATCCTAAACGCCACAATCCAGGGTTTAGGGTTTAGGGTTGCTTCTGCTACAATCCTAAACTGGGCCGGAAGCCCCGATCTGCAGGCCTGAAGGTTGCGCAGGAGGTCCCTCCGATGCGATCCGCATCGAGGCCAGACTTGCTGGTGCTAGCAGGGAAGGTGTTGTGTTGAGCGGCGGCGGTGGTACACATTCCATGCCGAAAGCCTCGTCGCGTTTTTTCTGCGATGCTTTTGGCCCTAAACCCTAAACCCTAAACCGCTAGAGTCTCATGGAAACGACTGCCATCATTGCCCAAGACTTGGCTCCTGAGGCAAAAGAAGAATTCATCTCCCCTCGATCTTACATACAGAGGGATGCTACATGTAGTGATGATGGCCTCCGGGGAGGAACTGTTGACCCTCTCCGAGGACGAGTTTGAGAACTTGGCGATCCTTTATGGCGCAAGAACTGCCTTTGCCTTGAAGCAGCACCTGGTCCTGGTAACAGGGAAGACACGCTTTCAACAGCGGCTGCTTGAAAATGGGAGCATTTTGCAGGACGATGCCTTGCTTCATTTGCCCCTGACTATTGCCCTGGTCTTCTTGTCCTTCTGCACTCTTGATATGCAACGCTCGACCGCTCTAGAGGTTGCGATTTCCCAGGACGACGCAAGCTGTGTGGAAGCCCTTCTCCAGGAGCCTTTCGATCCTAATGCCGAAGGCTTCCGAGACTTTCAATTCCTGAGCCGGGCGGCCTCGGCGAATAGCGTGCGATCGGCGAAGTTGCTTGCCGAAGCTCGAGCTGAACTGAGCCGTCCAGATTCTGATTCAGGATTAACACCTTTACACCATGCGTGTGTGAGTGGCAGCGTCGCCATCACACATTGGCTGATCGAGTCCGGTGTCGACGTAGCCCGTCCTTCCGCGACGGGGCATGTTCCGATCTTGCCGTTGGAGCTGGCCATTGCTGGCGGGAACACTGAGATTGCTCGACTGCTGATCCAGGCGTCGGCCTCTGCAAATGCGGTGGCAGACCGTCGTTTAACCCCTCTGGGGCTTGCTTGCAGCGTGGGCGAGGTCGAAATGGCACGTTTTCTCGTGGAAGCTGGTGCCGACGTGAACTACCGCCACGACAGCGGCACGCCATTGCATGCTGCCTGTACGAGGGGACGGCTGGAAGTTGTCCGCTTCTTGGTTGAGGCTGGGGCTGACAAAGAGGTTGTCGGCACAGAAGGTCCTCCTTTACATACGGCCATAACCTTTGGGCACACGGACACGGTGCGCTATCTGCTCGAGGCGAGTGCAAGCATAAAGGCCTCACCTCCTATTGGCAGAACCCCACTTGTTCTGGCCTGTCTAGTAAGCCAGCTCGAATCTGTAAGGTTGCTCACCCAGTACCGAGCATATCTGGACCAGGCGGATGAAAGAGGTTTCATCCCTTTGCATGTCGCTTGTTTTATGGGTGACCTGGAGATCGTTCGCACCCTCATCCAGGGAAGGGCAAACTTGAACATCATGGCTGACGGTGTATCCGCTGCTGAAATAGCCCGCAGCCGCGAGTTTTACGACATCGCATCCTTGCTCACAGATGCCGCTCGTGGAACTAATGAACGACATCCAAAGAGGAGACGCCGTATGAAGGGACCACCATAGCTTCCAGTCGTGCCATTCGCGCGATGGAAACAGCCACTTCTTACCAGGGTTCTCAAAAGTTTTGCCAAGCCTTGAGATGTTGCACTGATGCATCTGTTTTCCCTGTGGCCCCCCAAACCCAAAACTCCCCAAGCTTGAACCTGCCTCGAGCACTGTAAGCAGTAAGCAGGCCTAAACGCAACACCGGAAATCGTGGGTTGAGGATCTCTGGGTTCAGGCTATTGGAGAACGCCTACCCAGAGAACCCAATATTCCTTAATTAAGGAATATACCTTAAATCATATTGGGGATCATAATATAATTTCAGGTATATTCCTTCATTAAGGGGTATTGGGATCTCTGGGTACGAGTTCAGGGTTTAGGGTTCAGGGTCTGAGGGTCTAGGGTTCAATGCAAGGGTCTAAGGGCTTAGGGTTCAGGGACTTTGGGTGTAGGGTTTAGGGTTCCGGGTTTAGTACGGGTTTAGGGTCGTAGGATGTCTTAGGGTTTAGGGTTGAGGGTTTCGGATTCAGGGTTCAGGGTTTAGAGTTTAGGGTCCACTGTCACGCATACGACTTAAATGTGAAACTCCACGGTGGATCGTGTACAGTTTGTAGTCAAATCCTTCGGGGTTTACGGGCCCACAGTTCCGTTTCCATGAAGTCTGGGGTGGGGATAGGTCTACACTCGTGAGTTTTAGGGTTGCACATCCACAGTCGAAGCTGTTTGCGCAGTCTGCCATGGTGGCTACGAAGCAAGCCTCAAACCTAAGCCCGAAACCTTTCTACCCTAGACCCACACCTTTTAAAGCATCCAAACTGATACAGTGGACGAGCCAGAAGCTGTAAAGCCCGAAATGTGGCAGGATGTGCACTTCCGAGACTTTGTCGGGACTTTCCTGCATCAAGACCGAAAGGCAGGAGGATATCTTAACGCTGACGAAAGCCATAATGGAGATGGTCTGTTGGGATCTAATTCCAGAGTAGTAGTGTATAAGGACCCTCTGGGTATTTTAGGGGCTCCTTATTACAATTATACTAAAACATACTATATTAATATATAATATACCATGATATATGTATATGTATATATATATATAGAATAAAATATGCCCCAGAAACCCTAGTCTAATCATTACGGCGCCTACATTATCTGAAGATTTGTCGAAGGCGTTTGCGTTTCTGCGGTCCTGAGCTTGGGTTTGTGGAGCCGCAGGCCTTAAACCTTTACCTTTAACCTACACTTACCTACTTTGTTTGTAGGGTTCCTATATAATCCAAAACAGAATTTACAATAAGAGCCTACAAAAAAGTAGGTTATGGTAGTTCAGGGTATCCCTTAAGCCCGGAGCCGCAAGTTTACGTGAATGCGTTCTGGTATGAGCCCAGACCTTCCAAAATCACTTCATTAAGGAATATACCTTAAATCATAATAGGGATCCTACTATAATTTAGGGTATATTCCTTAATTAAGGGATTTTGGAAGGTCTGGGTCGTTAAGTTTCATTCCGGCGCTTCGAACCTGACCCTTGCAAGCCTCACCTTGACCTGAACAAGCCATGCAGGTGCTGTGCTCCTTGCCGCTGCCTCGGTCGCAACACACTATCTCTGAACACCTTGGGATTGGTGGGATTCTGCTGCAGGTATTGATGGTTGAGATACCAGCGGAGGTTCCGGTTGCAAGCAACGTCGAGTCCTTCCCTGTTTTCCGTCACAGGCTCTTGGCTTTCGGTTTCAGGGATGAGGGCTTCATGCGCAACTCCGAGAACCTGTGTTTAGAGGCTTGGGCGTGTGGAACCTGGCCCTGCAGATGTTTTGCAGTGCAGAGCCCCTGCATCAAACGACTGATATTTGTTTCGAACACATGGTTTCGCCATGGGTTCGGCGGTTTGGACAAGAGTCAATAGTTTTTGGTGGATTCGGGGTTTCGTGTGTTACTACTTGCTGTTTATGATTTGTTCTTTTGCTCGTCCTGTTTTGAACACCCGCCCGGTTGTTCAATAGTGTTTGAACGCAAGCCAGAAGTATGTTTGCGAGAAGCGAGGAACCAATGATGCTGATGATGTTGGGTTTCGGGTGTTTCAAGATGGCCACACAGGAGAGTAAACCTAAACCTTAAACCCGAAGCCCTAAACCTTAATCCCAAAACCCAGCCCTTGTGCCCAAATGCAGCGGCATGTCCAGACTTCGCTTTGGTTTAAGCCCTGTATGCGACAACCGTGATGCCAGTTGCTCGCATCGTTTTTCCAAAAGTCATTGCTTTGCGGCAAGAAGAGCGCAGAGAATGCTGCAGAAGCTATGACTCCATGTACCCATATAGTAGGTACTTATTGGCCTTGAAGGGGTCCCTATATAGGTACTTTATTGAGGCCTAGGTACCTACTATATGGGTACATGAGGCCTTTGGGGAAGCTATGATGGTTCGCACGACTCAGTTCATCCCCCGCGGACCCGATCAGTATTTCTGGGTTCTTTGCGGTGATTGAAATGCATGATACCTGTACTTGGAGGGTCGGGAGACTTAGTAAGTAGGTAGTAAGCAGACTTAGAAGCACCCTAAAAGGGACCCTAATTGGAGTTATGGTACCTATAAGTCCTTAATAACCAGCTACTAAGTCCCCCGACCCTCCTAGTAAGAATGGACCAAGCAGTGTCGGTGCACTCCAGATCCCAGCAGAGTGCCTCAATCGTATCTTTTTCAAAGAAGCTCCTGCTAGCCACTCTTTGCATAGCCATATAAGCAGGACTTGAGACCCCCCTGGACGTCTCCAGGGTCGCTGCACTATATGAGAGTTTCCGAAAATAGGGGTACCATATTTTTTGGGTCCTTATAATCAGGATCCTATTATTTAGGGTACTATATTGGGGCCCCCTATTTTCGGAAACTCCCATACAGTTTCGCCCACCCCCCACGAGTGTCTCAGGTGCTCAGGCGTCACCTACGAAGGAATCAGCTTGCAACCGGCCGCGCATGAACCGCGTTCCTGGGCCCGGCGTTGATGCCGAGCCGACCCGATGGGCGTCGGATGATGGGGTCATGGGTTCTAAACCCTATAGACTATAGACAGACCCTAAATCCTAAACCTTAAACTTTTAACCCCCAGACCTACAGGCCCTAAACCCTTGAATGTAGGAACCTCAGGGTTCAGGGGTTTAGGGGTCCTGGGTTAGGATTTAGGGCTTAGGGTTCAGTGGTTCGGGAATAGGAATAATTAGGGGCTTTTGGGCCTTGGGGCCAAAAGTCCGAAACCAAGAGAAACCCAGACCTTCCAAAATCACTTAGTTAAGGAATATTCCTTAAATCATAATAGGGATCCTACTATAATGTAGGGTATATTCCTTAATTAAGGGATTTTGGAAGGTCTGGGGAAAGCCAGATTGAGCTTCGATTTGCGCCCTACAGGAGTATCCTGAGGCCTCCCAGTTTCTGTAGTATATAATCCTCGATTCTAACCATTGTTCAGGCTTCAGCCCTTATTAACACCCTAAAGCCGAAACCTAAAGCTTAAACCCCAAAGCCTGAAGCTTAAACCCCAAACCGTTTAGGGTTTAGGGTTTAGGGTTTAGGGTGATTTGCTAGCCTCTCTGAGGCTTCTGACCCGAGCGGGAGGAAAAAGGCCTTCTAAGCAACCAAAAACCTAACCGTTAAACCCTAATAAACCTTACCCCTAAATCTGAAGCCCTAAACCCCCACAGCCGAAAATCCCACACCCCAGCTGCCATCCGCAGCCGAGCCTTCGCCCAGACTTGGTTAACACTTCGCCAGCGCGCTCTGGAGCTGGTTGTAGCTAGGATGCCCAGTAGTACCCTTATTCCCTTTTTGTAGTCCTAGGTTCCTTATAAAGTTACCCAATACCAAAAAAAGAGAGGCCTTTTAATTCTTAGGTTACTGGGTATCCTAGGTAGAGTTTCCGGCTTAAGTGTGGAGGTTTTGAGGTTTGGGGTTTGGGGGTTTGGCTCAAATCTTGAGGGTTCCGGGTTTAGGGTCCTCGGGTTTAGGACTTAGGGTTTAGGGGTTTATTCTTGTAAGTAAAGCATTGGGGGCTTGGCTACAATCTTGAGGGTTCCGGGTTTACTTTGCCATAGTTGGGTAACATTTTACATGTTTATGGGTACTTGAACTCGATAGGGAATACAGATGTACGTTTTTATTCCTATCCCAACAATGAACTAGTTTAGGGGCCTCGGGTGTAGGACCTAGGGCTTAGGTGTTTGCGAGTTCCTTTGGCTTTCGGGGTTTAGGGCTTAAGGTGCTGACGGGTTTGCCATGAGGGGCCTTGGGTTATTTTGGGTTCAGGCTTTAGGCTTGAGGGGCGATGACAGGTCTGCCATGAGGGGATTTAGGTTTGTGGAGGGTCAACGTAGGGTATTTTGCATGTCAATGTGTTTCAACGAGTTGTCGTACATCTCCGCTGAAACCCTAAATGCCCTAAACCCTGGGCTTGCGGATTGCCCGAAATGTCCGGTGCAATGTCACAACAAACCAGAAGCCCCAAATCTACGCAACACCAAAAAGGGACCCCTTCTTATTCCTAGATTACTGGGGATCTTAGTAAAAGAAAGGTCCCTAAACCCAAAACTCTAAACCTCTAAGCCCTACACCATCCGCAATCTCCTAAACCCTAAACAATCCCTAAACCCTCCCTTCTTGGGCCTTAAACTCAGGGTTCGTGCTGAGGGTTTTGGGTTGAGTGTTTAGGGTGTGGGAGTTTAGGGTTTAGGGCTTTTGGGGTTTATAAGGTTTTAGGGTTTAGGTCTTGAGGGATTTAGGGTGTAGGAGTTTAGGATTTAGGGTTTTTAGGGTTCAGGGTTATAGGGTTGAGGGTTTCTTGGAGCATTGTCGGTTCAGTTCTGGAGGTGATAACAATGCTCCGGAGGGCGCGTGGCTACTGGAGACAGCCATTGGGGAGGAAATTGAAGGGAGCCTGTTGACAACAACCCAAACCCTGAAATCCTTAAGCCGGCCTAAGCGGGTGGAGACAGGAACTGAATCCAAAAACCTTAAAACTGATCCCTGATCCCTCAAACCTGGCCATAAACTCTAAACCCTAACACCTAAACCCTAAACAGTCGGAAAAAGGAGCCAAAAACAAAAATGCCATAAACTCCGACCCTTCAGGGAACCCTTGGGTAGCTAGCAAGGCCCCGTACTAGAGAATCCTATAAAAGCCCATAAGAACCTTAGAAGCGCCCCCGGGATTTCAGAACGAGCGCTGCAAGATGCAATGATGCAAGGGTTTAGGGTTTAGGGTTTAGGGTTTAGGGTTTAGGGTTTCAAGGAGAGGTGCTGGAATTGGTGGAAGATGGGTGAATGTAGGGGCCGGAAGAGTCAGAATTGGGTTCTTTGAGGGGTAGAGTTTTGGGGTTTCCACAGTTTGTGGTGCTGGCCGCATTTCAAGTATGCACACGGTTCCGGTTTAGTGGTGATGCTTCAAACTTGCTCCTCTGCTGTCCCAAGACAGATAATGAACCCTGTGCTACGAGCGCATCAAGTGCAGGTGAAAGAGGCGCGCTTGTGAGGCTTTGCTCAAAAGGCTACCGGCCTCTAATGTAGGGGCCGTAATGATTTGACAAGGAGATCTGGTGTACATCTTCTAAGGCTTGCCCTAGGGCTCCAAATGGCCCAAAGTATGTACCGTTTATAGACTTTACCTGTGACCCCAAACCCTACAAAATAGTAGATTATGACCCCTTAATTAGAGGGTCTAACCCTAGAAACGGTAGGTTTTTGGATCCACAGGTAGAGCCCAAGGTAGGTACATTAAGTATACTTGGAGTCTTAGAGTTAGACTCATCCGTAATCGAAAGCCTGGTTTAAACCTTAAACTGTAAAACCCCAAAGCCCTAATCCCTATAAGCCCTAAACCCTGAAACGTCAATGCAAAGGAAGCCTCGGGCCAGAGTGGGATCGTGTCGGTATTCCTTAATTAATGGGTATTGGGACCTCTGTGTTCGAGTAAGCTATGAGCCTGAATTGGTACTAATAATACTATAACACTATTGCGACTCGACTTTGCTCCATATACGGCGGGTGTTTATGTTTCCAGACCAAGAAGACAAAAGGTAGAGGTCTCTTTCTCGACCCTATATATGTATGTAAGTATGGCCTCCATGCATACATCTGCACGCATATGCTCATATGCATCTAAGCCAAGATGTGTTCGAATGTGCGTGTGTGTGTGTGTGTGTGTACGTGTATGTGAATGTGATGCCAGCGTGCGGGCACCAAGCCCTAAATTCCAAACATTGGCATGCCAGGTGGTAGGATGCATGCAGCCCAGAATATTTACATAGACCCTGAAATGTAGTACCTGTTTTTGGACTTCATGTATGGTTACGATCCTAATTTTAAACTATGGTAGCCAAAAGCAGGTACTGCATTTGGGGGTCTAGGTACTGTGCATGTCATAGGTATTGATCATTTTTCCAGTGTGCTGCGCTTCTATATTTGCTTCGCGATCCAGTAAAATACGGCTCCCCTAATTATATGACTTCTTCTGGTTTGCGTGGTCGTATGCCTTCGATTGTGCTGGCAAGCTTGACCTCCGCCGCAGCATTTTGACAGAGCTCCGGCTAGCCCCTGCGGTTTTTGTGTAGCGGTCGGCAGAGCAACACTGACAGGCTGGATGCTCCGGCTGACGCTTCAGTTGGGATTGTTTGAAGCATTTCGCTATCCAGTATTCGGATTTTAGTGTTCGATTTTCGCCTTGTGCTCGAGAGCTAAGACGGTTGCGTGGGAAGCTGTAGCGGCTGGAGGTTGAGTTTCAGATTGGAGAAGAATAGCAACGAGCCTCTTCGTTATCCGTGCAAGCATATCATCATCACCCCTCACACCATCATGGCCATCATCTACCATGTCTTCGTGTCGTCGCCATGTTTCACATCAAAACATGGGATGATCTTCGTCGCTATTTCCCAAACCTGGATCCGTAAGATGACTTGCAGTCGTCTGTTGCAGAATCACTGATCACGGAAGTGATCACAGACCTGAGCCCCACATTGCCAAACGGGCCTTCAGCGTGCTACTCAGCTGCAAGGGCTCAGCCACGGACACCTCAGACGCGCAACCCGAATCCTTCATCGCAGCATGTCTTGTCGGCAGATCTTTGACTGATGCGTTGCTGCAAGCATTCTTTTCCAGTCTTTCTTAGTTGCCAACGCTTCGGTCCGCTTTTGTGGCCTGACCCTTCCCGGCCACTCCAAGCTCTGTTGATATGTCTCCGGCTCAAGCACAGTGTCCTTCTCTTCCCTGCAAGTCTGCTTGTTGTCTTAGAGGATGTCAACTCGTCTCCTCATCGCCATGGCTGTGTTGGGGTGTGTGGCATCAGTCCGGCCGGCATCCGAGCCAGCGCAGCAGCTCCATGAAGACGTCTCCACGCGCACAAACGTCTCCAAGCACACGCAGGCCAGTGCAATGCGCAGATGCCAGAGCTCTGAGCCAACACATACGAAATACTGTGTATCTTCACATGCGTGCATGTAAGGATGTATATTCGTATGCACGTGCGCATGTATGCATGTATGTATGGATGTATATATGTACGTATGTATGCATATATGTATGTATGTATGTATGTATGTATGTATGTATGTATGTACACATGTATGCAGGTAGGTAGGTAAATTCTCCAGGTAGATAGGTAGGTAGGTATAGGTATATGTATGTATGTACGTATGTTTGCATTTATGTATGCATGTTTGCATGTATATGTATGTATGTCCGTGTGTATGTATGCATGTATGTATGTATGTCTGTCTGCATGTATGTATGTATGTATGTATGTATTTATGTATGTATGTTTGCATACGTGTATACGTGTATGTCTGCATGCATGTAAGCACCTTTTTGCTGCGAGCCTACACAAGAAACCTCTGACATCCTCTGACCATGTCAGCAGCTCGTCCAGTCGTCCTCGTCGATCAAGCTTATACCCTTCTTACAACCCATAGTATATACCTATATAGGCACATTGGGCCTATTTGGGGGTACATGGACGCTTAGGGCAACAGATGTTCTGTCCCTTTTTTCTTCATCAGAATCTGGGAAGACCCGGGAGGCTGACAAGTTCTTCCAGACCTTCCAATATCCCTTGAAGAAGGAATATACCTTAAATCATCTTAGTGTTCAGGTATACTCCTTATTTCAGGGATTTTGGAAAGAACGTCTGGGCTCTGCAGGCCGACAAGTTCTTCGACCAGGGTGGCTCCTGCTGCGCATGCCATAAGGTCGTCATCAAGGGGGGCTATTTCAGCAAAGATTCGCGCCTCGCTTCGCAACTAGTCCAGTGTCTCTGTTCATGATATGGGAGCTTCCCAAAATTGGGGGTACGCTAATAAGGATCCTACTATTTAGGGTACTACTATTTAGGGTACTCTATTAGGGTTCCCTATTTTCGGAAACTCCCACATGCCCCACAGCCCATCAGCAACTCCTCCACCCATCTGCCCCCGAAGGTTGTTTTCTAGGCAAGCTCTTGAGTCTAACCCCGCCCCCCCCCCTGCCTGGCAGGTATGCTAATAAGTGCGCCGACGAAGTTGGGCCTACGAAGAAATGTGGGTCCAACTGTTCGCCTCCCGAAAAGGGGTGGAAGTGCTGGGCCCGCTTTGACCGCAATGCTGCTTGGCCTGACATCTTCGGGTTTAACCTGCGGGTCGAGGTTGTGACACCACGTCTTCGTGCGCATGCAGGCATGGTTTACTACAGGGGCCCAAACAAGTACCTTTTCGATTTTTTGGGGGTCCTTATTGCACTTATAGTATACTCTACCGCCAACCCTATTCTAATCATTAAGGGCTACATTACCTGGACCACCAAAGTATGTAGAATACTGGCCTTTTGTAGGTATTGGGCCATCATCTTACCTACTTTGGGGGGTTTAGATAGGGTCTGAGCACTCCTGAACCAAGGGTCGCGCCAAGTGCTGAGTACAGGCCTATGTTCCAGATTCCGAAGCGACGGCGCTTCGTTGCACGGATTATGGAAAAAAACCCGCTGATACCTACCTTGCTCCGAGCCAGAAACCTTCCAGACACTAGATACTGCGATGGGAACCCGACTTGGAGTAATCCCTGTTGGAAGCCAACAAAACCATGCACGCAAGTTAACCTGGCAAGGCATTTTTGAGAACCTGAAGTTTAGCCATCTAGCTACCAACCCTAAACCCGTAAACCCTAAAGTCTTAGATCCTCAACCTTTAATAACTTGCCCCCGAAGGATGCTAAACCCTAAAGCCTGAAGCCTTCATAAACTTGCCATAAGCCTTGATCTCTAAGCACTACGAAAGCTAACGCAATATAAAAGCCTGGACAGGTACCAATATTATTCACTAGGGTTTCCTTACCATAGTTACAGTGTAATATACTCGAGAAACTAGTTTAATTATCAAGGCTCCAGTTAATCCTTATAGAATCCTGTAAGAGAAGGAAACCTTTCAAGGAGCCCTGCTCGAATCATCAAGGCTCTTGCGCGCAGTAGTGGCCCAAAGACCTGCAGAATCATAAAGATCAACCCTAAACTCTAAACCGCAGCTGAGCGTTTCTGGAGCCTTTCTAGAGACTCTCATACCCCGAAAAGCGGATCCTTTCGTGAGGGTTTGGGGTTCAGACCTTCCAATACCATCATATTTTATAAGTATAGCTCTTATTATTATGCTTATTTTTGGTACCGTTGCTATTATGAGTATTGTTGCTATGATGTTTTTTATTAATATGATGTTGATGATTATGATGACCACTATATGGCTGTTCAACATCATCATCGTCGTCGTCATCACCACCACCATCATCACCATAATAATCAACACCCTTGCCATCAGCATCATCTACATGCAGCACCACCACCATCACAGTCAACATCAGAATCGCCATCACAATGATCACTGCCAAAAAACAGTGCAATCACCATCTTCATGCATCATTGCCACTAAACCCTAAACCCCGGAACACTGAAGCTTTAAATCCCTGGACAAAACCCACAAGCGGCCCAGTCGTCAGTCTGGGAAGGCAAGTACGAAAACCTGACCTGAAGTTTCGGCCATCTCATACCTGAAACCCCTAAACGCTAAGATCTAAATACCAGGCTTTAGGGTTTTGGAGTTTAGGGATGTAGGGGTTAAGGGGTGTAAGGGTGTAGGGGTTGGCGGTGGTGAGGGTTTGGTGGTTTACGGTTTTGGGGTTTATGTGAAACTTCGAAACCTACTTCGTATGTTACTCTGACCCACGAGCGCTTGGCACAAGCACTTCCTGGCACAGCGCAACGCAGAGAGTTTCTTTGTCTTCTTTTGCGGTGGGTGTTAGCTGAAGTTGCCTGTTCGGACCAAAATCGGAAACGCTTGGAGCTTCAGCAGTCCTTTTCACAACTAACCGTCCACAACCTAAACCATCAATTGCAAACAAGCGGTAGCGAAGTCTTCGTGCTCTCTAGGTTTCACACTTTAGGGTTTAGGGCTGCAGGTTTAGGGTTCAGGGTTCGTGGGTCTGGGGTTCAGGGGTTTTGGGGGTCCAGAGGTTAAGAGTTCGCGGGTCTCGGGTTCTGGGGTTTAGGGGTTCAGGTATATACAGTAGACCCCATAAAGTTGGAAACTGGATTAAGGCCAAATAGTGCTGGGATTCCCTATGCATTATTCTTAAGGACTGAGGCTATTGGGTTTCCAACTTTTGGGCCTCTACTGTTTAGAGTGAAGGGACTTTGGGCTTTCGCCGGGTTTAGGTGGTTCTGGGACCCGGCCTCTCCGTCGATGTATCCCCGGGCTCAAGCTTTCGACACTTTCGCGGAAAGTCCCGTGTTGCCTGTGAGTCTACTTGTCCAGCTCAAGGATGTCAGCTCGTCTTCTCATCGCGATGCCTATTCTGGGATGTGTGGCATCTGTTCGCCAGGTGTCCGAGCCAGGACTAGATCTCTTCTATTTTGGTGATCCTTATTGCACCGACAGTGCAAGCCACCCCCAACCCTATTCTAATTATCAAGGCCTACATTAGGGTCTGAGCATTCCTGGACCAAGGGTCGCGACAAGTGCTGAGAACAGACCCATGTTCCAGCTTCTGAAGCGACGTCGCCTCATGGTTTAGGGTTTAGGGTTTAGGGTATGTTCCGGCACATCTGACCTTCCGAAGCGATAGCGCCTCGAGTTTCAAAATCCGCATCGCGCGATGAATGGCTAGTTTGGTATCGTGGTATGGAGCATATGACATATAATAATAGTAGCAATACTGGTGATATGACTGTGGTGATGATACTTATGATCATTAGTAGTCGTAGCAGTCACAGTTTTGCTAGCAAGAACTTTGAACATGTTTCAAGCTTGTTACCCTAAACTCTAAACCCTAACTGTTAGGTTGAGCCGGTTGAGCCCGTTCAAATTCCGGGAGCGTGGTGTCGCCTCGGGGGACATGCAGCATTCCTGAGGCATGGCTGTTGGGTTTACCCATAGGCTCCATGGTAGTTCCTGTTTGGGATTAGATCTAGGATTCTGTAAGGTAATCCCAAAAAAGAAGGTAATTAGGGTCTATGGTTTTAGGGAAGGGCTTTCGGGTAAGATGTTCTGGGGTAGTAAATCCGGAAACATGGCTACTCTGATGTTCCGCCGAGGTGTGAATGCAACCACACATGCCACATATTACAGAAGTACTTGCTGTAGCACTAAGCTTCCCAACAACAGCATAGCAACATCATGATGCGCTACTAAAGGAATATACGCCCTTTTGTTGTAGCGGTGCGCGCATGCATCCGTATTGCTCCCATCCACCCACAAAAACGTACATACACACAAACTGACGTGCAGCTATGCATGCATAACACAAGACAGCCATATGGGAGTTGCCGAATATATATAGGGGACCCGAATATAGTAACCTACATAGTAGGATCCTCATTATACCTTTATGAATTTTCGGAAGCGGCCATATGATGCATTGACGACGGTGAAGCTGTCTGCCTTTTGCTCGCAAGCAGTTTTAGCAGCGCTCAAGACTCCTGCAGAGACTCGCTAGACCGAAGTCGTCTCGAGTGCAATGGGCTCTACGTGCTGTTCCGGACAGGAGGCTTGTGAGTGGAATCGGGGTTTAGGGTTCGGAGTTTAGGGTATATAGGGGGAAAACAGGTTTCAGGTTTAGGGTTCAGAGTTTAGCACTTTATGGCGTTTAGGGTTTCGGGTTTAGGGCTCCGAATTCAGTGTATATAGGGGGGTGCCCTCCATATCATGGGTATAACTGAGAAGAGTTCCGCTTGACGGCGTAGGAAGGACCAGATTGCTAGATACTCCGTGTTCTAGACTCGAGTATGGTTCATATATGTACTACAGCGATATGCCTCCACATGGGCATAAATCATATTGTGAGACAAAGCTGTATACAACATTTATAGACTTACGCAGCACCTTATAGACTTACGCAGCACCTTATAGACGTACGCAGCACCGATATGGCTGACAAAGCCAGAACGGTCGTTTCTTTGCAGACCGGCTTCAAGCTTGCGATCTTTTTCTAGGACGGCCAGTAGTACCCTTATTCCCTCTTTGTAGTCCTAGGTTCCTTATAAAGTTGCCCAATACCAAAAAGAGAGGCCTTTTTACTCTTAGGTTACTGGGTATCCTAGTTTCTGTTCTTTTTTCTGTTCTTTGGGACATTTTTTATTTACCTTATTTGGGTTTATAAGGGACCCTATAGATATAAATATTTGGGTACCCCCCTATATGGGGTCCCCTGGGTTTTTGCACACCCAAACCACTAAACCATTAAACCATTAAACCATTCCTTTTGCTCCATGCCACTACACCAATAAACCATTAAACCATTAAACCAATCCTTTCCCCCAATGGACCCAAACCAATAAACCATTAAACCATTAAACCAATCATTTCCCCCAATGGACCCAAACCACTAAACCATTAAACCATTAAACCAATCATTTTCCCCTATAGAGAGAGACACATCCCTGTATGGGCCGAAAGCATTGGTTTAATGGTTTAATGGTTTAGTGGTTTAGTGGTCTAGTGGTATGGAGCAAACGGATTGGTTTAATGGTTTAATGGTTTAGTGGTTTAGTGGTATGGAGCAAACGGATCGGTTTAATGGTTTAATGGTTTAGTGGTTTAGTGGTATGGAGCAAAAGGAATGGTTTAATGGTTTAACGGTTTAATGGTTTAATGGTTTAGTGGTTTAGGGGGGAAAGGATTGGTTTAATGGTTTAATGGTTTAGTGGTTTAGTGGTTTAGTGGTATGGGGTAAAGGGATATGTTTAATGGTTTGATGGTTTAGTGGCATGGGGCAAAAGGATTGGTTTAATGGTTTAATGGTTTATTGGTTTGGGTCCTTTGGGGGAAAGGATTGGTTTAACGGTGTACTAATTTAATGGTTTGTTAATGGTTTAATGGTTTAGTGATGGGTCTAGAGCTGCCTACTACGCAGGTGTCCTGGTTATAACCGGGGACAGAGGTTATAACCAGGCGGCAAAATACGTTCAGGGTTTGAAGACTCCCGCCGTGCCCTAAAAACCAAATGGATTGGCTTATTGGTTTGATGGTTTAAGTCTTCCGTGTCGTATCGCACAAGCGAGCCGGTATAATAGTTTAAGTTTAAGTCTCCCCCAAACCCTAGCGCCAAACCCTAAGCAGTAAAACCCAAACAAACCCAACACTTGATGGTGAACCTGCAATATTGGTAAACTGTGTCGAAACACCGGGGGGTTACATACCAGGGTTGTGGTTTGTAAATTGGGGTGCCTTGATTGTTTGTTGCACACTATAAACCTTACGAAGCAAATCTGTGCCACCGCTACTTCATCAACACCTAGATCCAAACGTTCGAAAGTTTCGGTGTTTCAGGGGGAATGTAACCGCAATGAAATTAAACAAGGACTAGAAGAATAGAGGGTCCGAGGTAATTGGAATGTATTCGGTTGTTGAGGCATGATGCAGTGCTTTGTAACAGACAAAATTCCGGGGACCATATGCGCATTCCCCAACTTTAGCGGAAAGGCTATATGGCGGACTTTACATAATGGTCTGTCCGTTCCAGTACATCGGGTTTATGAGATCTATGTACACATTGAGAGAATAGCCACTAACATGTCACTGACCCAGGAATCAAAATGCGGAATATGAAGGGGCTCTATCGGGATTACAGTAGGTCAGTAAGTGTTGTCAACATTGGAAAATCACGGTACACAGAAAGTTGAGATACGACTGATATGACGTCATTGTAGGGAGAGACAGTATTTCTAAGTTTACAGCGTGGTCAGGTTTCATCACTTCGTACATAGGCGAACTGGTTGCAACGCTATGTTCAAAGACCGTTCCAAGGAAGCAGGATTTCGATGAGACAAAACTGATAAGAATATGTGTGGTGAGCGAAACAAAATTTGCAACTTGCAAACCGTTAAATTTCCTCGCTCGGTACGTAGAAAATTCCTAGCAATGCTACTTCCAACTACATGGATGAACCTCTTTCGAGGAGTGATTCGGTGTGTGTTTACCACTTTTTCTAACACGAGGATCAAGTTCTGGACTGGGAACCATGGCTTCTATTCGCCCTTCAGTCAATATTCACAAGAACACAAACAGAAATTCGGACAAGCTAGATGTAGCCTTCTGGTTTTCAGTCGGTCATCACTCAGCATATAGAAACAGTGCCAAGCCTAAGAAGCGACGCTTCATGTCGTCCCCCAGGAAAAACACTGTACAACGTTTGCTAAGCTTGTAGTGTGCAAGTTTTCAATGTTGGCTTGGGGCAGCCGTCATACAGAATTAAGGAATGCACCACTCAAATATACCTACCGGATATACCAGTGTTGAAAAGCAATCACATAGGGGCACAGGGATATGTCATTGAAAGCTATCAGTTTGCCAAAACGTGATAGCAATGCGTCCAACAACAGAGACTTTGATGGGATTGTGGCATTACAGTACAAAGATGGAAAGCTTTTCGTTCCAAAATCTAGTTCGCGATAAGGAATGACTGAGCCAGACTAATGACTACAGCGCGCTTGTTGGAAAAAACTGAAATACAGCGGTTTAGATACAGTCACACAAAGATGAACTACGAAGATATATCGACGGCTTCAAGGCAAGGATTTTAGCACATTGTAACGGGGTTTCGACGAGGGTGTCATAGAATTCTTAGCGTTGTGCGGGCTTCAGCATTCTGAAAGCATGGGTTGTTGCAACTTCCCGGGTTAGTCTTCAAACCGGATATAATACTGTAGTCGATGGCGTACACCATTGCCATCGAGCTGCTCCATACAAGCATAATACTATATTCGATAATGTATACCTGATTATAAATTAGTCGACTGGTTATAACCTAGTCGGCTGGTTATAACCTAATCGGCTGGTTATAACCTAGTCTGGTGGGTAGAGCTCAGTCAGATGATGTAGCGAAAAACGTAGGGGACCCCAAATAGGGGTGCGCCCAAATATTTTTCAGGGTGTTTAAAGGCCAACCCAGTCTTGCTACGAAACTTTGACCTTGCATGTCCCCTCCAAAGTCCAACTTCATGCCAAAAACAGCGGGGCAGAAACCCTAAACCCTAGACCCTACACTATAATCGTTCGCTTGAGACTTCGGGGAAAAAGGGGCTCAAAAAAAAATGATAAACCCTAAACCCTAAACCTAAAGCCCTAAGCTTATGGTCTCTGTCCGCATGCCGTGGAGCTTCTTTTCAATGCAGCTGGAGCCTTTTGCTGGTTTGGTGTTCGGTCACTGCATGGTTCGGGATACTTAGAAATAGTTTTTTTTGGTGCCTATGATCCCTCAGAAACAGCAAAAATTACATATGTTGCTAGGGGTCTAAGTTCAGTATAGCATGTTTCAGGGTTCGAGGCAGCGACGACCGTCTCTTGCTTCAGATTGCAGGGCGTTTGGACCGACTTTCGGTTTATCAAGCAATTCCTGGACCCTATAAAACCTTCCTTTGTAGGGCTTCCCATTATGATTTCCTTCTATAAGTCCCTAAAAAGGTAAGTTATTTAGTTCACCTAAGAGTCCATGTACCCCTACTTCAAGGCCAAAGTATATTACTAGATGAGTACATGGACCCTAGGGTTCTGTCTGCAGGTGATTGGAGAACAGGACGTGATCCTCAATGTTTACGACGTGGGAAACAGCATCTTGCCTTCAAAAAGTAATGAACTTGTTGCTGGCTGCCGTGATACGCCACCCGGTGTAAAAGTCCTAAAGAACGCCAAAGCTGTGAGTGCGAAGCCAAGACGAGTTCTTGGCTCCAGGCCCTTCACACTCATCCTACTAAGCTCATCCTACTAAGGCCTCCCAACAATAACCAACATTCTGAGGCCTGAGATGCTGCGCTTAGCCCGGAAGTAGACCGTCTTGGGTAATGCAACATCCTGTTTCCACAGTTCAGAAGGATTCCAAAAAACTCAAGCCTCGGAGAATCGTACGTGCCCAGGATTGTTTAGTCCGCTGGTCATGAAGTATTGAAACTGCACAGACCTCGAGTTTAAACTATAGTAAGCAGGGTCATGAATAAGGTAGCTATAGATATCGTTACTTATAACTCCGGTCCCTTTTAAGGTACTTATACCCTTCCTAACCTTAGTCCCATGATACTTCAAGTGCCCAGGCCTCGAGATGGATTACCTTAACAATGTTCTTTACCTGGTCGGCACGGGCGTCTACCATGCAGGGACCCAGATCGGCAAACAGGCAGGCGGTCATAGTAGCTTCGAACGTAAAAGCATAGATTAAGATAAAGCATCGACACAAGAATGGCACAATACTAGTTGCTAGAAGAGAACAGGGCAGAAGAGAATCGAATAGAGAACAGAGGTTTAGGGTTTAGGGGTTGAGAATAGAGAAGAGAACGGAGAATAGAACACACCAAATAACATATCATCGAAACGTATAGAGCCTTCTAGAATGCAACATCTAGTTGAAGCTAGTCTGACCTAAAAGCACAGTTTTGGATATTGTGATACAGTATAAATGTCCAACCTAATCTATTAGTCTTATAGAACAGAATAGAGTAGAAGAGAAAGCAAGAGAGTGTAATGCAATATCATGAAGTTGCCTTTGTTGACAAAACAGACCCCGTCGCTTGTGAGCATTGGTGTCGAAGCCAATAGAATCGAGACACCAGGCTCGCTAGACATTTGCTGTTCATGGGAGGAGGGGCTGCTTGAATAAATGCCAGTATCGCTCATCAGGTTTACTCTATTTAGTTACAATAATGCCCTCTTCCGATTACTAAGGCCCCAATATATCATGGCTGCGAAAGTCTGATAGGATTGAGCGATCGTGAGAAGAGTGATCCTCTCTAGCTGTTGCTTACTGCCTTTCGCGGCTTGTGTGGCTTGGGGAACCCAATGCCCAAGCTCTATATGATGGAATCCAATATATTTATTCCTTACGGTTGATTTGTATAAGTGTACCATACTGTTCTAGCTGGCAAGGCCCCTATATATATAGTCTCTCTGCACTTCGCAAGAGACAGGTGGAGTGGGCCTACGGCTACACGCCGAAGGGCTCCGGCGTGTTCCACTGCGCCTTTGTTTGCCTAGCAGTGGAGCCCCATCAAGCTTAGAGTTTCACGGGCTGTAGGGGTTTGACTTGTTATTTTGGGCCGCAAGGTTTGGGTTCAAGTGTTCAAGGTTTACGGCTTTAGGGTTTTACATGGTTTTAGGGCTCAAGGTCTGGATTCGGCTAGAGTGGGCTTTTGGTGAGGAAAGAAAAATCGCGGAAGTAATTGCCAATACTATTATTTTTTTCTAGTGTCACATACCCCCAAACCCTATTCTATCTATGGCCCCTATTGCAGGGGTCGGGGCTGCTTTTGAGGAAGCTTTAGTTGTCAGTCGCTTCCAAGCCCACCTCCAGCAACCCTAAAACCTAAACCCCTAAACCCCCAAAAGGGTTAAGCAATACACGCCAGAAAGCAGGTTCATGTCGTGTAGCTGAGAGCTGCAGGTTGGGCCTATCGCGGCTTCAGTTGTCTACCCGGAACCCGAAACCCTCAACCCCGAACGCTTTACCCCAGAAGCTCTCATAATGCAGAAGCCTAGAATGTTTACCTATATTATTCCTTAGGGATCCTTGTAGTTAGTAGCTATACTACAAACGAGATCAAGAGCTTATTCTCATTATTAAGGCCCCGGGCCTACATCAGGTGCCTAAACCCTTAAGCGTAAACTTACTAAACTTCCTAAAAACCCTTACACGTCCTAAAAAAACCCTAAACCCTAAACTTCCAAAACCCTAATCCCCCAAACTTCATAAGCCCTAAACCACTAAACCCCTTTAGGTGAGCCGAAGGGCTATCCGTTCAAGTTCCGCCAGTCGATCAAGCTAGGGACCACCCCTCTCCAGGGGGAGGCGCTAATTCAGGGTTTTGGGTTTAGGGTTCCTTAAAGGGATCTATAGGGCTCCTTAAAGGGATCTATAGGGTTCCTTAAAGGGATCTATAGGGTTCCTGAAAGGGGTCTTTGGGGTTCCTTAAAGGGATCTATAGGGTTTAGGGAGTACTTAGAGGGTCATGGGACTTAGTAAGTGGGTTATAATTTGGGGTTATAAGTCCCCTAAGTGGGGTTATCCTAATTATATCCTACTTATAACCTTTCTTACTCAGTCCCATGAGCCTTTACGTAGGGGGTTGGGGGTTCAGGGTTCGTGGTTCTGGGTTTAAGGGGGTTTGGGGGGGGGACTCGGAGGCTCGATCGTTTGCTCTCGTTCAGGGTCCCGAGCCGGAAACTTCCATCGTTACCCTGCTACCCTAAAGCCTACTGCAATATGGGTGGTTGTCAAAATTATGGTCCCTTTTTGGGTCTCGAATATAGTACGGCACCTAATATTTAGGGCACCCAAAAAGGGACCCTAATTTTGACAACCACCTATATGGCAGCACGATGGGTTATGGGCTGGTAAATACAGAGTTTAGTGCTTGGGAATCGTATCCCCTGACCGTCCCTTTTATACGTCTACATTATGAATGCGAACTAAGACTAGGTGCAGGGTTTACATGGTTCAGGAATCAAACTCTCAGGATTTGCAGGATGGGCAAAGGCTTTGGGGTCTAGCGAATTCGCAATCTTCACCCAAGCGCCACATGCACAACAAGGCAGCCCGAACGCCCGGAGTTGACAACGCACCCTATCACGGTACCCCGGAGCAAATGAATTTTTTGACCCTCGAGAGCTACGCCCCAAACCCTAAACTCTACGTAAAACACCCACCCCAAACAAAAAAAAAGTCGCAGCCTGAGGCGCGAAAGTCCGAAGGATGCTGGGACCCTCAACCCTGAATATTAATATAGGAACCTGGTTAATTAAGAAACCTTGGTCCTTTTCTTAGTGCTCCTTATATGAATCCCGCTCTTCTTGGGCTATAGGACCCGGGTTTCTTAATCAGGTTCCTACATTAATGAGTCAAGTCGCCCTGAAGCAGTCACCCTAAGCCCTAAGACGCTCAAGCCCTGAATGACCTGAAACCCTAAAGGAAACTCCAGAAAGTTGGAATATGGTTTCAGGGTAGGATACCCTACAATTTACCATAAAGGGTTTAGGATAATCATACTCCAACTTTCTGGCTTTTCCTGTAAGACGCTCAAGCCCTGAATGACCTGAAACCCTAAATTTTAGGCCCTAAACCCTAAACCCTAAACCCTAAACCCTGAGACCCTGAGTGCGGTGATTCTCATGTTCCAGAGCAAGAGCCCCTTTCACCTTGAAGCCCGAAGCTCTTAAAACCCCTAGACCCTGAATCGCCTAATCCCTCAAATCCCGTAGGGGCCTAAATAGTAATACGGTGGATGATATATATCCTGCATTACCTTAAGGACCCTAAACTATGGGAATTATGGTATATTCCTCATAATTATGGGTGATGCAGGATTTATATCATCAACAGTAGTTATTGTAGGAAAACCCCCAAAACCAAATTCTAAATATTAAGGCCCCTGTATTGCACCCACCAGGAGCTGAAGGAAGCCATTGCAAAGCTTGAGGGGGAGCTCCTCGTCAGTGCACTACGTGCCTGCAGACTAGATCTGATGCAGATGGCACAGTTCTGAAAGACTGCGTTTTGGAGATGGTTTTGGCATTGGGACGAAGGAGAGTTGCATGAGAGGAAATAAGGGGGGAATTACTTAGATAAGGGTTCTAGAATTTGGATCCTATACCCTGGACCCTATACCGTAAATCCTATAACTCCATATACCCTACTTCTAAGCCCCCATTCGTGCATTGCAGCTGTTGGGTCTTACAGTTTTTGCTCTGAGTATGATCCGCTTTGGGCGTCCATGATGTTCGCAATGACTGACCACGCTGGAATGGACTAATACAGTGTCCTACATAGTTCCCAATACTATGTTGGTGTTCGTTTCATATATAGTTATAGTACGATATTCCCCCAAAGCCTTATTCCAATTATTCAGGCCCCCGTGCGATCCATGCGAACAAGCACAAGTTTCCGATTCGGGAATGTATCAATTGTTCAGGGCTTTGGCTTCAGGTGGCTGCCATGTGAGCCTCTGTACAGTACTGTACAAGAAGCGGGTGCCTCACGGCGGAACAGGTTCTGGTCAGCCATGTCGCGCCAGCATGCTACTTCAAGTCCTGCTCTTCCTGGTCAAACTCTTTTTGCCTCCTCCATCAAGCCCAAAACTTCCTAAACCTCATAAAACCCTGGACTTATATACCCTAAACCCTACAAGCCGAAGCCTCAGGCCCTAAACCCTAAAACCTTGAAAAAAACCCTGAGCCCCAGACCCTAAGCCCTAAAACCCTGAGCCCCAGACCCTAAGCCCTAAACACCCTTTCCCCCCCCTCAAACTCGAGGTTCCAAGGCGAGGACTATGACCTTCTCCATAAGAACTGCTGCCACTTTGCCGTGGCACTGTGCCAGGCTCCCCTCCTCATCTCGACCACCGGGCTTTCAAAGGAAATAGCTCACATAAGGACCTGAACAATTAGAGTTACTTTAAGGGCTACTACAAGGGATCTATTACAAGGTCTCATGGTTGAGGGACTTTAATAAAATTAGTTTGAGTAGGGTTTGGGGCTCCTCTATAGTACACTGATTTATAGAAAGAAAACCGACGGAATGATATTGGTAGTCATTCAGGCTTCTATATATGTGGTCCGAAGAAGGACCACGTCCTATGATCATGCTAAGAAGGGGAAGTGTGTCCATGGAGGTTCGAGACCCCATGCCTTGAAGTCAGATATCATTCATGAGTCTGCGGAACATTGCAGCAGTGTTTATCCCCCTTATGTATATCAGGGCCAGAGCAACAAAGTAAAGCAGTAGGCGTAGTAGCCATAACATCAATCATCAGAGTAGCCGTGATAGAGGAGCTTAAACCATAAACCCTAAATGGCCTCTTACCTGTGGATTGCAGATGGAAAAAGGAGCCCAAAACAACCTAAACAAGGCTGTTCTCCTCGACTTCGCCTCAGGTGCTGAGTGTTGTGCTTTAGGTGAACCCAAGCTCGCTGGTTGGCCGGTTACAGAGCACAAACCCAAACCTCTTTCTACCACTTCATGTTTAAACCTTAATCTGGGTTCCCCAGTAGTACCGTTTGGGCGTTTTTCTTTGGGTTTCCCTTTTTAAACCCGTATAGTAGGACAAGCGGTACCCTTATTACTAAGGGCCTACTGAAAAAAGACCTTGTGCTGGGGTTTGTCGAAGCCCTTCCAATGACAACCCTAAACCTTAGGGTTACTTATTTTTTTGGTCATTATAATGCCTAAGAAACAGCTAAATTATAATTGTTGCTGGGTTCTAAGTTCAGTATAGAAACCCCAAACCCTAAACCCTAAACCCTAAACCCCTAACCCTAACCCTTAACCCACCCATGGCAGGCCCTGCAAGTCGAGAATGTGCCCCATTGGGTCACCAGCCTTGCTGGAATCGCCGCTTTTATGGTGGATGAGGAGCAGGCTCAGAACCCCAAAGGGTCCAAGTATCATTATGGTATCTTGATCATAGTTGGGTAACATTTTAGATTTTTATGGCTACTTAAACCCAATAAGGAATAAAATTTAACTGTCTAATCCTGTCCCAACCATGAGCTAGGTATAGACTTATGGGGTATTTTGGGGGGTCCAAGTATATACCATAATGATACTGGGACCCTTTGGGAACAAGGGGACGATACTTGCATTGGCGTATGATTTTCGGTTACATATACGGGTGCATTGGTTTCTGGCATGTGGGGTTAAAAGGGTTTAGGCTGTATGTGTATGTGTATCATTTTATGTATGTAGATATAGAAATGTACAAGTATACACCTATACATGTAAGTCTATGTGTTATATTTCAGTTTTTTTTCGTTCAGGGCTTGGACATTCGGGAATCAGGGCGCGTTTGTTGAGGGTTTAAGGCTTCCGGTTTACAGGGCTTACGGGTTCGAGATTTATGGCAGCTTATGGCTTTCGTGGGTTGGCTTCGTGACTGTTAGGGTTTATGGTTTATTAGGGTTTAGGGTTTATTAGGGTTTAGTGTTCAGGGTTTATGAGGGTTTAGAGTTTAGGGTTTATTAGGGTTTAGGGATTAGGGTTGACATGTTCATTTTCGTCAGGTGTAGGGCATCGAGAGACGGAGTCGACTCTCCCCACCCAAGACCGAATGAACGTATCCAACGTCCTGAATCCCATATTGAAATGGCGGTTCTTACATGAAGGCTTTCTTTGCTGGGGTCCTTGTACCCAGAGACTCCGAAAACCCTTAATTAAGGAATATACCTTCAATTAGATTAGGGATCCTATTATAATTTAAGGTATATTCCTTAATTAATGGGTTTTGGAGGCTCTGCGTACCCGAAGATCCTACTATCTATCTTTGCAAGTAAACGACACACTTAGGGGTACTTAGAAATATTGTTTAATTTTTGGTTACTATAATCCCTAAGAAACAGCTAAAATTACAAGTTCTGCTAGGGTTCTAAGTATAGCACAGCTAAGCTGACAACGGAATAGCTTAGAAGCTGCCCCCACCCTGTAATAGTGACTATAAGGATTATATTAGGGCCCTATTATATTCCTATTATACCACTTTTACAGGCTGGGTCCCCCTTCTAAGGAATAGCAGGCTGTCGCCCCCCAACTCCCGGAAGCCTGGCAGGCGGTTGCACATGAGCTCCACAACCTGTGGAACAAGGACCTCGGCCCTTCGAGAGGGTTTAGGGTTTAGGGTTTGTTAGATTTAGGGTTTAGGGTTTATTCGGGTTTAGGGTTTAGGGTTTATTGTTCAGTTTATGGTTGAGGATGAAGGGCTTTTTAGGAATACAATCATTCAATCACGGAAGCGTGCAGGTCCAACAAGGGGCCGTAAGACTTAGAACAGGGCCTTTAGTTCGGGTCTGTATACTAACATTCGGGTTTGTAAGGCCCTGGGGTAGCGTGGAGCCTGATGTAGGTAAGGTGAGTGAGGGATTTTGGACAGGTTTGGGCAGCCTGTAGATGGATCTTAAGAATCACTCCTGAAGCAAAGCCGGAGCTGCGAACGTAGAGAAAGCACCCGGACTCGACGGGCATAAAATAATCCTTTTCATGAGCCTCGCCTGATGCAGGTTCTTTCAGGTGCAGAGGAGATTGAAGAGAGCCTCCATGATGCCATTTGGGGTCATGCGGAGCGTCATGCGGAGATGATGATCATGCAAGGTCCGTCCTGTTCCTCAACTCCATAGACCCGAAACCCTAAACCGCAAATCTTACACCCTTAACACAGGGATTGGATTGCAATAATAATTCGAGACTAAAGGGAACTCGAGTTTCGGCATAGTGGTTCATGGCTGAACCGGTTCAGGGATTAGTGTGTGACATTGCAAAAACTTGCAAAACCCACTTGAATTATTCCTCCGTCGCACTACGGCTTCGGTGTTTCGGCTAGGTTATGGTTTCGTGGTGTTTTGGTCGTCAGCGAGGTTGAGTACCTGTGGGGGTGAAAGCACTATCTCGGTGAGTGTGCAGGAGTGGTTTTCCTTGGGTGTCCCGATCTCGATCGGGATCACTCTATATATTAGAAGGGGCCCCCACCCTGTAATAGTGGTATAATAGGAATATAGTAGGGCCCTAATATAATCCTTATAGTCACTATTACAGGGTGGGGGCAGCTTCTACTCTATATAGGTTGACCAGTTCTTGAAGTACAGAGGTTCTTTAGAGTTGGAGGTGTCTTGCGGGAAAACCCATTTCGTTGGTGAATGCTTCCCAGACTCCTGCGCGGGATCGAAAAGTTGGATCCCCCTAAATCCTAAACCCTAAACCCCTCTCTTCTGGCAGGGCAGCCGGCTGATGGTGGAGTTGTTCAAATTCAGGAGAAGGTGGATGACATCTACAGCACAGATTCTTGGTGTTCTTCTGCTTGGCCCTTAGGACTGTACCTTTTTTGGGTTTCTATATGAACTATACTAAGTAGGCTAAAGGTTTAACTTTTATTAGGGGTTCAGAAGTCAGCCCAGGATTGCTGGGGCCGGAAGAAGGTGACGGCCAAGGCTAGCGATGTTTTGAAAAAGGCGGGCAAGTTGGAAGGGGATGCCGGCTTGTGCTGCGTGTAGGGCCAAGCCCCCGGCAGCAAAAGTTGGCCCTCCGTGGCCTTGGGCTTCTTCAGGAACTCAAGGGGTTTAGAGTTTAGGGATTGGGGTTTTTAGGGTTTAGAGTGTAGGGTTTTGAGTTTAGGGATTGGGATTTAGGCTTTAGGGTTCAGGGTTTCAGCAAGTGCGTACACCTTTGGTGTCAAAGTACCGGCATCCTTGACAGAAGGCCACTTACTCCAAGAATCCTGGGTCTCATAAAACTTGTACCTCCAGAACCAACCACATCCCCAAGATGTCGCCAATGGTGACTTTAGATTAGAGACCCTTAATGATTAGAGACCCTTAATGACGCCAACATGACATACCATGTTGTAGGGATATCCTTACCGTATTGGGCTTCTTTATCAGCAGGTTGATATGGGATATCCGCCTGCTATTTGGCATCCTTAATCAGCCAGCCTAAACCCTAAACCATAAACCCTACAGCCTGAACCCGCAAACCCTTAAACCCTAAACCCCTAAACCCTAAATCCTAACCTTCACAGCCGTTCACAGCCATGCGATTCTTGACCAGACTTTGGAGCTTACAAGTATAGTCGATGCACCGGCAGTGAAGGTGTCCGCAGATGTGGTTGACAGAGTGACAAGTCCTTAGTGCTGAGCTTACCTAAAGAGAGGATAAACAGTCGCTATATATATATATATATATATATTTATTTATACATATATATATATATATACATGCATCATATAAAAGCATATAAGTATATACGTATATATATATATATATATATATACGTATATAATTACATACGAGTAACCCGTTGTTTGTGCGTTTGCAGCCCTTGGGACTTAACAAATTGCTAGCATTTCGCAATCGATGTGTCGCTCATTGAAGCCCAAGTCCTTGTAGCTTCGACCCAAGGCATGCTTCCTCCAGGAACGTGCAGGGTAGGTTTTGGGCTTAGGTTTGGGACGCAGAGTGGTGAGTCTTTTTCCATCGCATTCCCAACTAGACTCTAGGCTGCGGCACCCTGTTTTGGAGGAGTTACAGGGTTTCTGCTTATGGCCCTAATCAACAAACCCCAAGGGTCCAAAGGACCCAATAATTAGGTACTCGGTTTTAGGATAGTAGTGATGTAGGTTAGGATTTTGGAGAGTCTATGATTATTGGGTACTTGGACCCTTGGGGAAAGAAGCAAAGTTACCCGTGACAGGTACCAGATGTCTGGGCCTATACCTATAGTCTCCAATGTAGTTCTTTTTTTGGTTAACCAAAACCTATATTGTAGGATCCTATCCATAAAGCCAAGAAACGGAACTACAATGGATGACAAAGGAAATCTTCCTGGTCCGAGCGACTTCGCATCGCAAGAACTATGGTCTCACTAAACGGTTTAACAATAGAAATTAATGGTAATGATAGCATTATGGAATGGTAATAGTGGTAACGGTAGTCATTTTAGTGATAGTAGTAATGGTAATACTCACAATACAAGGTTTACAGGATTTCTTGGTGCGAAGGCTTTGGGATTGGCGTGTAGGGGTGCACTGGCGCCTGGCCCGAAAACCTGCACCCTGGGGCGATGCAGTTGCTTTGAAGCCTCCTCTTCATTGAGCTGTTGGGAGAGCGCGTGTCTATATTGCACAGCAGCCAGTAGTCAGAAGACGCTTCCCGAACGGGAAGGGACGTCAGTTGTACCACAGGCTCAACTTAGGGCCTCGCAAGCTAACTTGCGCTGTCAAGAGTGGGTCTGACTTCCTCTTGGAGCCCACCACAAAAACCTGGTAGCATGCGGTGACCCTAATTCTACATCTTAAAGCCCTAAACCCTGAACCCTAGTAGTTCCTATTACAACCCTAAACCCTAAACCCTGATTCTAATGAATTCTACATAGAGGATCAGGGGACTTAGTAAGTAAGGTGCCTTAAAGGGTTCGAGTAATGGGGGTTCCTTTGAGGGATCTGTAGGGTTTAGGGTCTACTGGGAGGATCAGGGGACTTAGTAAGTAAGGTTATAAGCAGGTTCTAGTTAGGATAACCCCACTTAGGGGACTTATAACCCTAGTTATAACCTACTTAATAAGTCCTTTGATCCTCCAAGTATGGGGTTTGAGGTCAGTTCAGGAAGCCTGATCGTTGTTCGAAGGGGAAAAGGCGGGACCGTTAATGAGGAACCCTACCCTATAATGGGCTATATCATGGGTATATAACAGCTATATTAAGGGTATATACCTAGGGGTCCTGATTAAGGGTCCCTCCTTTTAGCCTTGGAGTTGTGGACTTCAAGCCAAGGTCATGGCTGGTAAGACGACGGCAGCTTGTGTAGGAGTGCAGGCAGGGCTTAGTCTCGAGTGCTGTCTACAACTCGGGGTGCTTGCATATACCCTAGCCTGCCATAGCCTACCGTGGCCTATTTTCGGATAGGCTCAGTATGTTTCAACTGCAAGGCTTGTATGCAGATGCATGATCCCAAGCCTTAACATAGCATGTTTAGGGTCTAGGGTCCAGGGATGTCTAGGGTTTAGGTAAGCAGAGTTCGGGCTTACCTGATTCGGTCTTACGTTGGGTGGACTTCGCTGCCCATTTGATTTTCCGACGGCGCCTGCGGTTGCCTGAAGCCCACTAAGCCGACTGTCCTTGAAACAAGAAGCTGGCGCTTTGCGGTAAAAGTGGGGTTATGGGTTCCTCGCTTTCCTTCACGGCAGAACTCAAGAGAGCGCGACACCCGGAACAACTCGACTCATACATAGAGGGCACGATATTTCGTACTTATACTTATAGCTATACCTCCTTACAATTTGTTTCAATTGTACCATCATCTGCCCCAAGACACTATTCCATATGTCCGACTTCTTCATGCTTGCGGGATTGTGGGTTTTGGCGAATTTCCAGGGGTAAAAGGAGGGACCCTTAATAAGGACCCCTAGGTATAACTGTTATATACCCATTATATAGCCCATTATAGGGTAGGGGTCCCCATTATATAAGGGTCCCTCCTTTTCCCCTGTGAGAATTACCGACGCTGCTTGCCAAGATTCAGGGGGTATGACTTTCAGGCATCCTGTAGACCACCGTTCTTTGAGGACTCTGCCACCCGGATTCCAACTAATTACATAATTAAGATCCTGATTCAGGGAGCGGTGTATTGTAGGAACCTGATTAAGAAACTTTGGGCCTTTATTAGGGTTTTTTCCTTATATGAATCCTGCTATGTTGGGGTTATAGGCCTAGGGTTTCTTAATCAGGTTCCTACATTAGTAGCCAGGGCTCTAGCTTTTGTGTCTACCTGGGGTCTGTGTGAGTAAAATATTCGTGGCAATGTTCCCTCACGGAAGAGCCAATCTTCATAGCATCAACTATACTATACTTAGGGGTACTTAGAAATATTTTTAATTTTTGGTTATTATGACCCCTAAGAAACAGCTAAAATTATAATTTTTGGTCGGGCTCTAAGTTCAGTATAGTATAGGAGGCTGCAAAATTGCCTGAATAATGATCCCTCCATAGAGTCTCACATTGGCCCCCAAGCATTGTTATGCTTCTTCAGGCCCCTAATTTCGCCGCAACTTTGAAGCCCTGCACAAGTTCCTGGCATCCAGTCTGCACTGCCAATGAAGCATCCCCGTTTCATCGTCGAAGCCCCTGAGGCAAGCGAACCTCAGTTTAAGCTCCGAACCCAGACCTTTATCGACCCCTGCACAGAGGCAGCTCGACATTTAGGAACCTCAAGTTACTCAAGTTGAGCCTCAAACTCCAGTGTTCAGTCTTGAACCCCAAACCCAGAAGAACCCAAGCCTTAAGCAACAATAAATGGCTTATTGCGCGCACCTGATAACCAAAACTACGAAACCACGTGACCCTAAGCTGGGAACCTCGGCAAGGCCCATACCTGGACCCTTAAATGTAGTGCTTTTTTTGGATGACTTGTGGTTGCCCATACTGAGAAACTAAGATAACCCAAAAAACGTACTACGTGCAAAGGTTCAGGTATACTCTAACTCTATAAGATAACCCGAAACACTAAGTGCCCAAAGCAGGCAAACTTGAAGCCCTAAGGCTTATGCATGGTTCCCGAAAGGGCTCCTGCACAGGGTACTTTGAGGCTTATGTTTAGGGATTGTGGATCCTAAACTCGCACCCTATGCCCGGAACCCTAGACCCTAAACCCCCTAAACCCTTGCAGGTAAGAATGGCGTCCCTGCTCCGAAGCGCAGTCGCCCGCGTCGCGCCCACCTTGGTGACCCGCCCCCTGCTTTGCAACAGAGCTGTCTGAAGTGTATCTAGCAATTAGTGTTTATGCATGGAAATTCCAAAGGATGAATAAGCATGAAAGCCTTTCAGTATGGTTCTATGGGCGATTGTTGCTTTGGGGGCATCAAGTTTAGGCTGTGTAGGGTTCGGGTGTTCAGGGTTCAAGGGGTTTAGTGTACGGGGTTCTAGGCTTTGGGTTGTGTGTTTATGGTTTTGGGCTTGAGGGGCTTGGTGATCTTAGCTTTGAACAGACGGGCCTGGGTACTGTGATTATTAATACTATTCTGACTGTTCCTTGGAGTTCCGACTTGTCAGCAGTACGTAATCTACCCCTATCCCCGCCTCAGCAACTAGTCTTTTCACGTCTCCCCTGTAGGCTTACAGGACCCAGGCTTGAAATGAAGGCGTACAAGATTCACGACCCTGAAGCCCAAACCCTAAACCCTTAATGATGAAGATCTTTTTTTTTTTAAAGGGATGGCTCTGAGGTTGGTCCGGAGGTTGCTGTTTTATGGTCAAGAGCTTCTGCACCCTCCATAATACCAAGCTAGGGTTACAAGATTAAGGATGTTTGTCATGGTTTTTGTAGGGTTCAGAATTTGGGCTTAGCTCGGGGCCAAAGCTTTCCTAAGCTTGTTTGAGTGACACCCTAAACACCGCATTCTGAGGGTCCGCAGATATTATGCGAACCAGTGACTAGGTTCCTGACTAGTACCCTTTGGCCCTGTTTGTTTTAAGGTCCCCTTATTGAAACCGAATAGTAGGAA